GGGGGGGGGGGGTCTGGAGAACTTACCCAAGGGAACCAGCTCCAGAGCCGATAGTAGTAAAGACGGGTTTCTTAGTTGATTTTTCTAGTAAATCACGAGTTGCTTGATATAATGATACCACTCCATATGCATTTACGTTAATGTGGTCTTGGATATCAGCTCGCTGAACATCCTTTACCAGTGGGTAAGATTTTGAAATGCCAGCGTTGGCTACGACAATGTCAAGGTAGGTAACTTTGTGCTTCTCTTTCAGCTCCTTTGCTACATCAAAGGCATCTTGTTCCACTCCTGCGTCATACTTGACGACGATAAGACTGCTGCCATCGGCTTTGGGCAGGTCAGCAAGTGCCTTTGAAGTCGAGTGGCTTGGATCCCGATTGGCGGAAATGACGGTCTGACGATTCGAATTGTCAATTTTCTTCTGATACATGGTTTGATAGTTTAGCTGTGGTACTTACATGGTTTGGCTGCGAAAGGAAGCTCTTGACGAGCCCCAAACCCAATCCACGATTTCCACCCGTAATTAAGACGAGAGTTTGAGCCATTGTGTGTGTAAAAGTGAGATGCGTAAAGAATGCCTTCTTGTTTTGTACAGCTTACTAGTGGCGATAAGGCTATGTTAAGTACGAAGTGTACTAAATACATGTACCAACCTATACGTACGTGTACTTCGTTGCACGCAACCAACTGAGGTGCGACGACCTGACAAATTCAAGCAACATGTTAGATGACAAATTCAAGCAAACCTTTAGATGACAAATACAAGAATATTTTGGATGACAAACGCAATCTTGATAATCAGAAATTGTAAACGTCTGCCTGTAGATTATATTAGACCCAACAACATGTAGTGGTTGGTAGATGCGTTGGGTTGCATCTGCTAGTCCAACCCTACTTGGCCGCCGCCAAAGACGGTTTTCTTTTCGCGCATATGGAGTACCGTAGTGTTCAAGTACTCCACATCAACTAGCAGGGGTTTAGTTTGACCCTCCGTATGAGACAGATTCGGCAAACGTTGGTTACGATACCCTATCACATGTATCCTGTCAAGTATCAAGTATCACGGTTTGTACAGTATAATTGGGCTAATTTTGATGGTTGTGGGGGTCGCTACGGAAATCCTGTCTTACTACATACCCCTTGAGCAAAGAGACATTGTATTGCGTTAGGAAACGTTGCTGACTTACCAATCCTCGGAGCTGAAATTCACGGTAGCCTGGCTAGTACAGTAGATTTTGCTTAACATGTGACTGATGTGCAAGGCAACCCTATCTTGATTATTTCGGGGTTATGAGCTAATAGCTATGCAATGTATTTTCTCTAACTTCCAATGGGGCATAATACTAATCTCTCATTTACAGATTTGTATAAATAGCACTAGCTTGAAGTGGGTATCTGCATGCTTACCGTGCATGCATATACTTACTCATAGAGGATAATATTCTTATTGCAATATGGTATGATTATATGTATAATTGGGGTTTCTTGAATGGCTGGCTATTAACCTTGGACAGTAAACATACATGTCCATACGCATATGTGTGTATGTGTAGTATATGCACCTATGTGATATGTAGCAGGTGATATGTGGCATATGGTCGATGTCTACAAGCAGCAAGGACGAGAATGATATATAGCACGTATTTATGAGGTACATGTGTGCCTTGAATTATGCCAAATATCTTTATTTGTCTCACATTTGATTTACTTAAAGGATGAGAAATCTCTGATCTAATACAAATGCTAATCCCTGAATTGATTTCGGCCGTTTTATTAGCTGAGAGTAGAACGATCTTCGCATTCCTAAAATGCAAGCTGACATGCTTAGTTGCCAGCTCTTTTCCCGACATGCCGTCGCCCAAGGCATCCATACCTCATACGCCTTCATTATGGCAATTGTGGAATGATTCCCCTTTCTAAACATATATTGCAAAGACAGACCATTATCCGTATTAAGAAATTTTGTCGTGATACTGCGAGCTCCCGGTAGTTGTTCCTTCGTCCCAACTTCTGTTCATCCCTTGCACAGCGAACCATATACCTTTTGTCTATCACCTTATAGTTTACCACCAAAGCCAATCTTCCAAGTGCCTCTACAATGACTATTTCACCCCAAGCAGATTGCCTGTTTGAGGCAGGTCTCAAGTCTGACCAGGTCTTCACGGCTTCTGATGCAGGATTCAGTGCACGTCAGTCATCGTACTGGTCTCGAAGTGCCCAATCATTGCAACCAGCCTGTATTGTTCAGCCACGTTCCGCTCAAGAGGTAGCTACAGTGGTACGCGCTTTGGTCACTGCCCGCATTCCATTTGCAGTTCGTAGTGGCGGGCACATGACTTGGGCTGGCTCAAACAACATCGGAGCCGATGGAGTCACGATCGACCTTGAGCATCTAAACTGGGTAAAGCCGGTCGTTGACGAAAAAGAAGGCTCTGCCGTAGATATAGGTCCTGGTAATCGATGGGGTGCAGTATATGCACAGCTAGAGAAACACCAGCTGACTGTTGCTGGCGGACGAGAGGGCAATGTAGGCGTTGCCGGCCTGCTTCTCGGAGGGGGCATGGCCTTCTTTACCGCTCGGCACGGGCTGGCGTGCGACAACGTCGTGGAATATGAGATAGTGCTCGGTGACGGCCGGATTGTGCGTTCTCGTGAAGACGGCGAACATGCGGATCTATTTCGGGCTCTGAAAGGTGGTGGATGCAACTTCGGTATAGTCACCAACTTTCGAATGCGTGCATTACGGTCCGGCCCTGTCTGGGCAGGCATGACTGTTCACCCGAAAGAGGCTATTCCTGAGGCTATCACTGCCCTCAAAGAATTCACAGACAATGTGCCGGCTGATGTGGACAGCAATTTGCTCTGTTTCTTTACTTATACTGGTATGTGACCTGCGCTATCTATCACTCCCTTGTGGAATGATGCTAATGAAGAATAATGCGCAAATAGTGAGTATTGCTAATGTCAAATCAATACTGCACCGTCTTCCTAACTCTGTTGTCTCCAGCCTGATTTCAAGGATATCGTCGTTCTTGGTGCTTTGATCCAGATTGCCGGGGTCGATGAGGCGCCAGCCTACAAGAAATGGCTTCACATGCCTACAACAGCCACAACGTGCAAAATCACCACAGTGCCGCAACTAGCGGTGGACTATAGCCAGGCACAAAATTACTAGTGAGTGGTTCATAACACCCCAAGCTGTTTCTCTACTCTCTAGAACCATTTCGCTTATTCTACGAAACGAACAGCAATACTTGGTTCACTGCTACGTTTAAAAATGATGTTCGTGTAGTGGCCAAGGCTGCTGAATTACATGAAAAATTGGTGGCGGAGCTCAAGAGCTTCATCCCTGATGGTGATTTCATCACCCAGTGCTTGTTTCAACCATTCCCCCGACTTTTTGGCCAGCACTCTGCGGCGGCCGGCGGAAACGTAATGGGAGTCGAAAGGCAGCCGGAAAATGGTCTCTTGTGGCTCGCTAATGCGCAAGTTCGTACGCAAGAACAGGAAAGATTTGCCTACAATCTAATTCGCAATTGGGTACACGATGTGAAGCAATTTGCTGCCACCATCGACAGCAATCTACCGTGGGTATATTTGAACTACGCAGATAAGAGTCAAGATCCATTGGCGAGCTATGGGCTGGACAATGTGCGCAAAATGAAAGACGTTGCAGCGAAGTATGACCCCGAACAGGTTTTCCAGATACTCTCTCCTGGAGGATTCAAGATTTCGAGTGTGTCTCTGCCGAATTGATGTTGTTTCCATCATTGATGTCAATCATCCATAGTTTAGAAAAACACGTGTAGAAAACACCAACCATTCACTGAGCACTCCTTTTGCGCCCTTGGTTTATTTCTTAGTCTACATTCAGCCGTCGGTCGGAAACTACTCGCATCTTTGGTTGTTCTAGTTTGTACCAATTACTATAAAATAGCTGGCCGTCATCGTTTCAGTCTACGCCGCGACATGGCTGACAACGTAACCACTTATCAAATGAATTCGCACTAGTCTTACTTAGATGGGCAGAATATGATACGATCAACTTTCGTTTTAAAATGTGAATTGTAAATTGCTATGTCAAAGAAATGTATTTATCTGGGCATGGCAAATTGATTTTACTATGAAGTACTGGTCAGCTCTCGAAGCTGGATGAAGCAATCTCTGGGAGCATTTGCGGTGGTCATTTTCGCCGTATATCGTGATATTTCCGGAGCACATTGAACAAGCTCAAAATTCCAGACCAGTAGCGTAAGTAGGATTCTTGATTCGACATAGGTGAGTCTCTTTCCGTAGCATCCTCGAGTGCCCAGGCCAAAAGCGACTTGCGGTCCAGCTTTAGGGTTGAACTCAACCTGACCATCCGCATGCTTCACAAGCCACCTCTCTGGTTTCCATAGAGAAATGCCCTCACGGTTCCAATTGGGTGGCACGACGCCTTGCCTGCGAGCTACCAAACTCGATGGGCTGCGCAGAGCCTCGTCGATTTCGAAAGCCGGTGCAGTGATGCTGGGACCAGAACAGGGTTGAGCCACAACGGTGCCCTTGGGGATGCGGTATCCGAGGATTTGGGTGTCAACCAGTGCCATGCGGTCGATGGTTGGCGCTGTAGCTGAGACTCGGAGCGACTCCTCAATTGTAGCCTCGAGCCAGGGGACTTGTTTGCTCGTGATTTCTTCTACAGTCGGGGCGCGTCCTGCGGCGCGTGCGTCTGCAAATTGCGTATGTAGAGCCTCCCGAAGTGTTGACTGCGCGCTGGGGTTATCGGCCAAGAATTTGACTGCCCAGCTAAGCATGGTGCTTGTCGTCTCATGTCCCGTATAAACGATTCCAAAGACCTCATCGACAATGACCCTCGAGAAATAATTGGGCTTTCGTCCTGATTTTTCCGACAAAGTCTTTTCGCGGAAAATAATGTAATCCACTGCGGACGTTGGCTTCTCTCCGTTGCTTTCGTTGACTCTCTTTACGGCGTTCTTTAGCTCTCCACGGATATAACGCTCTTTAATCTTGTATGCCTTTCTCGATGCCGGCTTCCGCAGGACGTATGCCCATGTCAAATGAGGGAATGGATTGCCGAGTAGATGGGCCACCAATTCTGTGAGTTCGATAAAGGCCCACATCACATCAGGCAGTTTTCCATGAGGGAACGACACTGGACGCTCTTTGGCACCGCTCCTCAGGGCTTTCTGTGCAGCCGCATCCAAGCCATGAATGGCATCAGAGGTGGGCTTGACGGTGCTAATGTCGAAACCGTGACCAAACGTAAACCCAGACATGGCGTCAAGGGCAAAATGGTAGATGTCTTCATGAGCATCGAAAGGCCGGCCATCGGCTATCCGAGCCTTTGCACGCCACACTGTCCTCTTCCATGTAAGCAAAGCTTTACGCATAGTTATGCAGATTAGATATATAACTTACGCTCAATCAAGTCTGAAGCAGTGTTGTACAAGACCGGGCCAGCAACGTTATGAAGAAAGGATGGGGTCATAAGGTCGCGGACTAACAAACGCTGGTCCTTCCATTGTTGGTTGGTAGGAAGGTGGACGTGATGGCTTGGCAAGATACCAACCAACAAATCCCCCAACGTAGCAGATCGTTCGAATTCTTTCTCGCGGCGAATGAGCATGTCCTGGGCTTCGGCGAAGTCTCCTAACAATACCAGGGGCTTTCCAAATGGGAACATGAACACCTGCACGACTGGCGAATTCAGACGGTCCATGACTGATCGGAGGTACGTTACAAATGTGCCATCGGTTGCCTTGATATGCTCCACCATGGCGGGAATATCGCCAAAAATGCTGCCTGCCGATGCTTCGATATATGGAATGCCGGGGATTGGCTTCGGCAAGAGATACCAGTGTAAAAGCTTGAGCAAGAGACCGACTCCTAGCACAGCTGCGACCGCTACCCCGGGTGGGATAGTTGACACTCTCTGTACAACATCATTCACATACCGCCCGAGAATTGGTTCAACGTATTCCTCCCAAATGGGTAGGGGCGCAGACACATTTGCCATGCTGGAAATGTGGGAGGTGGGGAATGGTCCAAATCACATGTGTATTCTTTCCAAAGAAAAGAAAACAGAAGACATAACGAAGTTGGTTTAAAAATTGAGGGGGCATATCATGTTTACATCGCCCTTGTCGTCCTCGACTGCTCATGTTGGCCAATCATAAATCAAGATAAGGCATATTTCGTTCAATTACGTAGCATCAGGCAGCATATTGTGTCTCTATTCCTCATGTGTGTATTTCGCGTCCTCGTTGTTCCCGTGTTCTGCGTGCTTACACGTCGGCTTATCACCCTTGGTAGCTACTCATGCATGATTACTGGCCTTGGATTATTCATGAGCTTATTAACGAGATGGCAACACGCAATACTGCAAGACACCCTGGCTGGCAGCTTCGCACAGTCTTGATTGTGATATTCCGAGTTATAAATGCAATAGTTGGCAATTGTCGAGATGGCTCATTGAGATATAAACATCCTGTAGCTTTTGAAGACTTCTCAAACATTGTTTTGAGCTGTGGCCATGGAGTCCTGGGCTGATTCCGCGCAGGAGCTGCTGTCTCCGCTGCAGCTTGGCCGCCATGGAGGACTAGCTAGGCAGTGGGGATTGTCTGCAGGAGGCGTATTCCTTGCGACAATCCCCGTGTACTTTGTCGTTATTATCCTGCACCGATGTATGAAGCCTCACTCGCGGCTAAACTCGCTCTTGTGCTAACTTTGATTCAAGTGTATCTCTCACCCCTTGGCAGAGCAGGGATCCCAGGCCCTAAGTTAGCTGGTCCGTAATTCCCCTGTCAATGGCGAGCTAGATGAATCGGTGTTCTAATACTGCCTCAGCGATAACCTTTTGGTATGAGGGCTACTATGGAGGGAAAATGTTCCTCCATGTTAGAGAGCTGCACAAGAAATACGGTTTGTCTTTGATATAGTTTCCCCCTTGCTAGCTACCTTTTATTGACTAAAATCAAGGCCCTGTCGTGCGAATCACTCCCGACGAAGTACACTTCGATGACCCGGAAATTATCGATTACATCTATCCACAAGGTGGCAGAAAAACAGACAAACCTGAGTGGCTTCATACCAGGACTGGCAGTAAGTGAAAAAAGCCATTGTCGGGAACCGCTGAGAGTAAATCCCACTTATTTACCAAACTTGTGTCTCACCACATAATAGCACCCGAGTCCATCTTTTCCACTGTACACCACGATCTGCACCGACAGCGCCGCAACACAGTCAGCTCTTTTTTCTCTCCAGCAAGCGTTCATAGACTGCAGCATGTGCTAAAAGAAAACCTGCTTAAACTACTCAATCGTTTTGATGAGCAAGCAAGATCCGGAAACATCGTGCAAGTTCACTACGCATTCAAAGCACTTGCAAGCGACCTTATCACATTCTACTCTTTCGACCAGTGCATGAATATTCTAGATGAGCCTGATTTCGGAAAGACAAATTTCGATGCGACGGATGAATTTTTCTTCCTCACCCATCTTGGGAAAGTTTTCCCATGGCTTATGGGGCTATTCACTACCGCCCCCAACTGGATAATCCGCGTCTTGTTTCCCAACATGTATTCCATGAGGGCAAGACGAAACGTATGTTGAATCCCTATATTGATACTTTCTTAGTTCTACTATTCACATTTGCTCTCATCTTAGTGGTGGAGTGATGCGGTACAGGATCTTAAAACCTCGCCAGACCCTCAGCGAATCAAAAGAACAATATTCGAGGGAATTCTGAACAGCAAACTGCCAGACTCTGACAAAACCGACGCCAGAATGGCTGGCGAAGCACAGCTTGTCGTCTTTGCTGGCGAAGGCACAACAGGTCAGTATTCTAAAGTGCAGTCGCAAAAGATGAGGTTCTAACTGGTCAACTCAGCATGGACAATGCATGCAGCGCTATATCAGATTCTTGCGGATCCTATTGTGTGCAAGAAACTCAGAGCCGAGCTGACCACTCTGAGTTCAACTGACGACGGCATTCCATTACTCACAGAAGCTGAGACATTGCCTTATCTCAGTGCAGTCATTCAAGAAACCATTCGATGCCACCCGGGTGTTATGAGCCGACAGATCAGAGTTTCCCCAGAAGTGCCAATTGTGTATACAAATAAGGCTACTGGTAAAGTGCTATCGGTCCCGCCTGGCACGGTGTACAGCATGTCGCCACTCGACATTCACATGAACCCTCATTATTTCGAAGATCCCTATGAATTCCGACCCGAACGATGGATCGAGAACCCGAGTTTATCCAAATACTTTATTGGATTTGGTCGCGGCTCTCGCAATTGCCTTGGGTAAGATTTCATCTTTGTACCGTCATCTCAGATCGCCGTTACTAATGATCATCTCTATAGCATGGCTCTTGCCAGACGCGAACTGGCCATCACATTGGCGGCGATTTTTCTGAAATACGATCTATATCATGGCCAAGACGGTCCAACTATGGAATTATATGACACTCTTCGAGAAAGGGATATTGACGCTGATACTGAATTTATTGCCCCGTTTCCGACACCGGGAAGTAAGGGGCTTCAAGTCAAATTCAGGTATTAGAAATAGTTATCTTTGATTGCTTTATATAGGTACCTAGCAATCAAGGTTAGAATTTCGAACTCCACCATCTCTAGATTCTAGAGATACCATGAAAAATAGAACTACCGATGTCGCTATTGCGTTCTTATATTTGGTGGTTGCTCTGATGTTGTCTGCGACTCTTATGCTTTGCTCTCTCCGGTCGGCATCTGTAGGAGCGTAATCATTGGCTTGATATACTCGAGCTCCCAAATTTCTGCTAGACTTTTATTGATTACCTACAAAAGATTTTTGGAACGGTAGCCATTTTTAACCTTACAATAAATGGCTTATTACAATGAATGGCTCAGGACGCACCGACAATATGCTCAGTTTTTTGAGACATGCACATGGGCCGTATTTGTGTTTTCTACTTCCTTCCGATACACAGAAAGACATATACGATAAATTGTCGCAGCACTTTCCGCCTTGCCTCCGTATGATACTGGTAACAAATGGGACTGGCCATAATTGCTTCTAATAAGAAAGGAGTTTCTTGAGAACATTTATACTTGTGGTTGATAATTAATATTTAGCAAGGAGCCAACATTAAGTAGAGATAAGTCATAATCGACTGTATAATTTACACTATGACGAGAGATAAATAGCATATTCACCAAATTCCTCATCTTCCAGCAACATGTCCATCTCATCCTCGAAGAGATTGACTACAATTTCGGTCCCAGCTCCGCTCTTCCGCGGCAAAGGGAAACAAAGGCGTGCCGCGGTATTGATTGCATTCCAAAGTGGCCGTATAGAGTCAGCACCACCTCCTCTTGCGAACGTGCGGCTTCCCCAACGCATTTCCTCTACTGGAAACATAATGAGTGATGAAAGTATCATATCGTGTCCACGCAGCGGCGACAGTCGCAGCCCCAGAGAAGACAGATCTTCGGTGTTGCGAGCGATTGTATATGAGCCAAGCATAGCTTCCGAAGTCGCAGCGTCTGCGACTTGACGAATAGCGAGAGAAACAGCAGCGATACTTGAATCCGGCGACGTTAGAGTCTGCAACGGCAGTTGACACAGATTCATAAACACTAGATTGCCCAGATAGATGTGAGGCATAGCTCCAGCTCGTGAGATATCAGGTCGCCCATCAAGAGTGAGTTGCAGTTTAGCTACTGCCCCCTCAAGCTCAGATTCTTCTACACGAGCCGCCTTCAGAGCGGCTTTTCTTCTGGCCTTGAGAAGAGCACGCCATATGAGCGCTGTCATAGCATCGTTGCCAGATATGCGTGCCGCCGCGCCCACTTCCTGCGCACAGCGCTTTTGAAGAGCCGTAAACTTCTCTGGAGATATGTAGAAGATACCCGACTGCATAACTTCATCGAATGAGAGCACCGGATTAGCGGGAGGCCGAGGATTTGCAGAGTTTGGAGGATCCATGTCCAGCAAAGTCCATGATACGGGTTGAATGTCTTCCTCTCTCCTGACTTGCTTGTGTCCTGGACCTTCCGTTGCCCAGATCCGCTCGATTAATTCGCGATCTGAGCTCAAGGGATCTGGGATTTCCGGGACACTGCCGGACTGCACAGCCTCACAATTGGCCGCCCATATTCTCCATACGTCAAATTGACTGGTTCCATCGCAGACGTTGTGATGAGTTGCGCCACACAAAAGTACTCCGCCGGGCATAAAGTTGGCTTGAGCTTTGAAGCATTCGGCTCCCTTGTCTTCCTCCGGTACATTGATATAGTCTCCCCACAGGACGTCCTTGTCGGGAAAAGTGTCCATCGGAAATCCGCAATCCTTAATTTCTTCGTAGCTCATGGGAAGCTCAGCTTCATCTAGCTGTTTAAATTTGAACTGAGGCATGAGGGCCGAAGCATTCTCTACCTCAGCTGGCTCGTAACGGATCTCCAGCTGTCCCTGTCGCCATCCTGTAGTTGCCGGCTTTTGTTTGAAAACTTTGCCGCTCAGCCAAGGCAGTTGCTTGAAAGTAAGGCGCAAGCCATCTTGGAATGCAGCGAAGGCTTCTTGCGGCGTCACACCATCTTTGAGTGGGATATACCAGCTGATGGCAGTGTAATTGGGAGGGCAAAAGTGGTCTAACACGCCGAGGGGAACGTGGACGGTGGCAGACATGGCGACTGCTGAGGATTTTTTTCTTCTGGCGATTGTGTTGCGCTGAATGAAAGGCAGCAATCAAATGTCCCGATCCTTTAGATAGGTTTGAACAAGACTTTTCTTACCCTGCAATACACCACCGGGTGTTCTGCAGTAGGGGCTCATATCCACTCTGTCTAACCCCTGTGATATCGCGTAGTATCGCTGCTTGCTTACCATGCCTAATCTCGATAATTACTTGGTACTATGCAGCCTTAGGAGCATCCCATCAAAAGCAAGCTTACCTCCGATTTTGCGACATAAGCAGTATGCTGACATGGCGCTTCAAAAGCAGGCTTACCTATTTGTTCAACATAAGCATTATAATGAAGTTGAATTACGACACCACGTAGCAACCTTAATCTCCACATACGATCTGCAAATGTGACGTGAGCAAGAGCAAAGAAAGAAAATGGAGAAAAAGCAACAAGAAAAATGAAAGAAAAATGAAAATTAATAACAATAAAATTATAAAAATTCTGGGTTTACTGTAATGCTAGGCGAAGTACCTAGTTCTTAGCTTATTCTTACTAGTATTACCATATCCTATGGGACCAAGATTCATGACTGTTTGATTCAATCGATGATAGTACTAATATCGACAACTATCATTGTGTAACACTCCGTGCCCTTTTGTCTCTCTACATCATTCAAGGAGATTTTAGGAAACTGGTATCTCCTTAGTTTGAATTTTCCAAGCCCAGAAGCCGTCTTCGTCTGACTTTGGGCTTCTTTCTACCTGCAATCATGGCCATCAACGATTCAAGCGTTCCAAATGGCACGCCACAGACGAATGGCAGTGGCAGCACCAATGGAGCAAATCATCATGATATGAAGCAGGCTTCTTCGACATCGACATCTCCCGTGCCGATTGCGGTCGTTGGTATGGCCTGTAGATTTGCTGGAGGTGCTACTAGTGCAGAAAAGTTATGGGACCTATGTGCTTCTGGTCGGGATGCCTGGTCTCGAATTCCTGAATCCCGGTTTGACGTGGAGTCATTCTATGATGCAAACAGTGAGAAGCCAGGGAGAGTAAGTATAGCATCTGTCGACCCAGCTATTCTTTAATAGAAACGGATGGCTAACTGGAATTCTAATGATAGAACCATGCTACTGGAGGTTATTTTTTACAAGAAGATGTTGGTCTTTTTGATGCTGGGTTCTTTAACTTTACAAGCGAAGTGGCTGGTGTAAGTATTTTGTATCCTGTTACTTGTAAGATGGTGATGTTCGATAATGGATGACGTGCTGATATGTGCCTTGTATAGACTATGGATCCTCAGCTTCGATTACTACTAGAAGTGGTATACGAGGCAACAGAAGATGGTAATAGAATTCCACGTCCAATCCTCAAACATGGCCATGTACTGACCCGCATGGGAATGAATAGCTGGCATTCCTCTTGAAAAGCTCGCGGGGCCGGGACCCAACACATCCGTCTTTACGGGGTGCTATACCAAAGATTACCATGATCTGCAAACTCGAGATCCAGAATCAATGCCGCCGTCAACGCTGACGGGTAACTACACAGCGATGTTTTCCAATCGCGTATCTCACTTTTACGACTTCCAGGGAGCCAGCATGTCGATAGACACAGGTTGTTCGGCTGCATTAGCGGCTCTACATCAAGGATGCCAGACTATTCGTTCAGGAGAGTCGGATATTTCCATTATTGGTGCATCAAATACCATTTTAAATCCAGATATTTACATCGCCATGTCTTCATTAGGGTATGTCTTGAATCTCCTTAGTGCCTCATCGTTTCATCAAGATGCGGATTATTAATTGCAGTACATGATTAGCATGGTTGGTGAAGATGGGCGGTGTTACGCGTGGGATTCTCGTGCTCAGGGTTACGGTCGCGGCGAAGGCGTGGCTGTCATCGTCTTGAAATCCCTTGAAGCTGCTTTGCGTGATGGCGACAGAGTGCACGCAGTGATACGCAACTCAGGGCTCAACCAAGATGGCAAGACTAATACCATCACATCTCCATCGATGGATGCGCAGATACGGCTCATAAAGGACACCTATCGGCGTGCTGGTCTTGATATATCTGACACCGGATATGTTGAGGCTCATATGACTGGAACAAAGGCCGGAGATGCTACAGAGGCTGAATCCCTGGCCCGGACATTTGGGTCGAGCCGTCCTTCTGACGATCCCGTGTGGATTGGCTCAGTGAAAACAAACGTCGGGCACACTGAGGGTGTCAGTGGGCTTGCTGGAATCATCAAGGCAGCCATGGCAATGAAGTACAAGTCGATTCCACCCAACCTCAATTATATCACAGGCAACCCAAAGATTCCTCTTAAAGATTGGAATCTGCAAGTGCCCACGCACCTTGTCTCCTGGCCGAACGATAAGCCGCTGCGGGCATCTATCAATAACTTTGGATATGGTGGAACTAACGCACATGTGATTCTGGAAGGGGCACCTGAACAGGCGCTTACGGATATTAGTGGGAAAAGCTCTGGTGTTGCCACAGAGGATGTGTCGAGGCTCTATGTCCTCAGCGCCCAAGATTCAGCTACTGTTAAAGCTCAAGCGAAGAATCTATCAACCCATCTTAGAAGCATTGAGTCGAAAGCGAAACCATCAGCAGTTGACGTGGCCTTCACACTGGCCGAAAGACGATCGCGGCTTTCCTGGATGACGACTGTACGGGCTAGTAATCTGGATGATTTGGCTCTTCGACTTGAGGAGGACTCAGCAATAAAGGTATCACACCTTCCGACGAACAAACAAGCACCCAGACTTGGGTTCGTTTTCAATGGCCAAGGAGCACAGTGGCATGCCATGGGCCGGGAACTGATTCAGGCATACCCCGTGTTCGATGATGCTATCGAGAAAGCGGATGTTGCTTTAAAAGCACACGGAGCTGACTGGTCTCTAAGAGAGGAGCTTTTGCGGGATGCCAAGTCAACCCGTGTGTCTGAGATTCACCTCGGTCAGCCGATTACGGTGGCGCTACAGATTTGCTTGGTGATTCTACTCCGCTCGTGGGGTATCAACCCTTCGGCAGTTACCAGCCATTCCAGTGGTGAAATCGCTGCTGCGTACGCTGCCGGCGTGCTCTCATTTGAGCAAGCGCTTGGTGTCACCTACTGGCGTGGCGAGTTGGCGCGTACGTTGCTCGACCAGAAGAACTCCGGTGTCGTTGGGAGCATGGCTGCTGGAGGCTTAGGGCCGGATGAGGCAGAGAAGTATGTCGCCAACACGTCATCCGGAGGACGTGTTGTTGTGGCCTGTGTCAACAGTCCTCAAAGTGTCACTCTTTCAGGAGATGTAGATGATCTTGACGAGGTCATTGGCCGTCTCGAAGCGGACGGAAAGTTTGCTCGCAAACTCAAGGTTCCTCTAGCCTACCACTCTCATCACATGTTGCTCATGGCATCGGCGTACACCGAAAAACTACTCGAAATTGTTCCACGGAAGCCCAAGTGGTCCAGCGATATAATATATACATCGCCCGTCACTGGTGGAATTATCACATCCCCTGAAGCGCTAACCCCTGATCACTACGTGAAAAACTTGACAAGTCCTGTCCTCTTTAGTCAGGCCTTTGAGAGTATGTGCTTCGGTTCAGATGGCAAATCGCAAGCTCAAGTAGACATTATCGTGGAGATAGGTCCACATAGCACACTGGCAGGCCCCATCCGACAGATCCTTCAGAAGCGGAAACTGGCTTATGTTTCCTGTCTTAAACGGCCTGTCGATGCTGTTGAAACTATGCAAGATCTTGCAGGTGACCTCCTTCGTTCTGGTTATCCTGTCTCCCTAAGCGCAATTAACCACTATGAATCAGCGGGAACAACACCAAATTTCGTACCCGACTTACCAACCTATCCATGGAATCATGCTACCCGCTACTGGGTAGAATCTCGCGTCAATCAGGATATTCGCCACAAAAAGTTTCCTCCACATGAACTTCTCGGGCTTCCGATATCTGGAGCTGTTACACCATCATGGCGTAACTTTCTGCGCCTTACTGACTTGCCATGGGCAGCAGATCACCGTGTTGAAGGCGCAGTTGTACTTCCTGGCGCAGCTTATATATCCATGGCTATTGAAGCAGTACGACTCATCACTGATCCATCCGAAAAGAGCATACGGGGATATCGTGTCCGAGAGGTTGAATTCCTCAGCGCTTTGACTATTCCTGAGGCGTCTTCTTCATCAGGCGGCGTTGAAACGCATATCCGCCTGCATCCCTGTCATGAAGATGGTTTTGCCGGTTGGCATAAATTCGACGTTCGTTCATTGGGAGCCAATGGCGTATTGGTGGAAAATTCGCACGGTTTTGTCAAATCCGTTAGTGACGCAGACGAAGTCGAAGACGCTATTATTCCCGAAAAGACAACTTTCTTGGGCGCTTCAAAGTTTGGAACGAAGAAAGCAAATAAAATACACGAGATTCCTGGCCCTACGTTGAGAGCGCATGTGGCGGAGATGGGCATCGAGTATGGACCTACCTTCCAAGGTGTGACGAGTGGCAGTGCATCCAAAGCCAACAGCAGAGCCATAACACACCTTGACATTAGTTCACTAGACCTGGATGCAGAAGATGCAGCCTCGAAGCAGCCCCAGAGTCTGACTTCATATGTCATACACCCAACAACACTTGACTGCGTCGTGCAAGCAAGTTATAGCAATCTGCCTCAGGGAACAGGCAAGACGTCGATGGTTCTGCCCAGGTCAATACGGGGCTTGTTTGTCCCCAAATCGTTGAATAGACAAGCAGGCAAGAGTCTTGTTGTCTTCAGCGAGCTCCGTGGTGCGATACAGAAGGGTTTCACTTCAAATCTATCTGTTATAAATGGCGAAGATGATGGGAATGGAACTGCGCTTCTTGAAATCGACAGTCTCTTCTGTCAGGCAATTCCTCGTGCTATAGACGATGGCCCTGATGTCTTGGTTAGCGAAAGTCGTTGGGTGCCAGATATACTATATGATATCCCCGAGTCGGTGAAGAACGAGATGCGCATCACATTAAGTGACGAGGATATTGATCGAGAGAAGAAGCTTTTACGAGCCACATACTACCTGATATCTGACGCTTTATCGGTGCTTGAAAATCAGGGTTCAGATTCCTGGGCACCTCACCTTCTTGCGTTATTCAACTGGATGAAAAAAGTCGTGGCTCTGGGCAAGAGTGGACAGCTGGCTCCAGGAAGCAAAGTATGGGCAAGGGCTAGCAAGGGAGTCAAACAGTTGTTGTTTGATGAACTCAGAGCGACAAAAGGAAGCAGCAGCGATCTTCTTGTCTGTATTGGCCAGAAGCTAGCAGATATCATTCGTGGGGACATTGACGTCGTTGAAGTCTTACAAGTTGATGAAAGCAGCCATCTGCAAGCCCAATTTTGCCATGGATTGCCGAGCACCCAGTCGAGAAGCAATAAGCAGCTAGCAAAGCTGGTACAACTTTTGGCCATCAAGAATCCCGGTGTGAAAATTCTCGAACTTAACGCTGGGACTGGAGGATTAGCTCGGTCAGTCCTGGAAGCACTGGAACATGACGGAAATGGAGGAAATCTCGTCGGAAAATACATTTTTACTGATGCTTCCGATGCCCTTTTTGACATCGCCAAGCAAAAGTTGAATGCTTGGACCAGCGTGCTTGATTTCCAAAAGCTTGACATTGCAGATGCTGAATCTTCACTTGGAAACTTGGGAGAACACAGCATGGATCTGGTCATTATTTCTACGCCTTTGTATGCTACGAATGATGTGCAGCAAAAGTTGAACAACATTCGGAAATTGCTCAAACCAAGAGGCAAATTTCTCTTCATCGAGCAAACGCATGATCGTCTCGACGCGCAACTTGTTTTGGGCACACTGCCTGGCTGGGAGAAAAATGGCGAACCGATATTTGCAAGCAAAATTGAGGACCTGAACGATTTACTTCGCGCGAATGGTTTCACAGGAACGGACTTCAGCATACTGGACTGCGAGCAATCTCAATATGAAAGAGCAACAGTTGTTTTGACTACCGTTGCCTCTACGCAGGACGTAGTTGATGAATCCGCATCAGTTAATGTCAGCATCGTCGTCGACTCATTGGCATCCAGTTCCCAACCATGGCTCTTGCAATTGGCGCAGGCTATCCAGACTGAGATGCGAATCCAGCCCGTGATAGAAAGCATCCATGAAGTGCAGCCAGACGAGAACAAGGCCATAATTTTCGCTGTCGACATTACGAGTGACGAGACTCTGCTCGATACGCTAGACCAAACCACATTTGATAAATTGAAAAACATACTCCTAAGCAGCCCTTATGCCCTCTGGCTCACTAAAGGTAGTATAGATGGGCCTGAGCCAGCATCCTCACAGGTGCAAGGTCTTTTGAGAACGGCTCGCCAAGAAGACGCGAGCAAATCTTACATTTTACTCGATTTACCGTATGAGTGGACGGTTGCATCTGAAGAGAGCATTAAGCAAATTTCTTATGTGTTCCAACAAACCTTTACCGCTAGAGATGGCAATGGCGACATCGACAGCGAATACGCGGTTATCAACTCGGCGCTTCACATCCCACGAATCTACCCCATAAGATCTGATAAAAATGACAAGTTTGAGGTCGAAGAGGTGTTGAGCTTCCAGCAGCCCGACCGTGTTCTCGTGTGGGAGCCCTCAACTCCCAAGGGCCCAAGCTTTGTTGAAGATGTTACTGGTGTTGCTGCTGATGTCCCCAACGGGTTCGTCGAGGTCGAAACAAGGGCTTTTGGCTTGAATCATCACCACTCAAACAGTGATGATGAACAAAAAGCCGGCGTTCACGAAATTTGCGGTATCATCACACGTCTGGGTCAAGATACCGAAGCTAGTGGTCTTCAAGTGGGCGACGCAGTCTGCGGCATAGTCAATGGGCCATTCTCAAACAAGAGGCAAGTTGCCTGGTCCAGCGTGACAAAGTTACCTGATAATCTGTCTTTGGAAGACGCGGCAGCGATCCCAATAGCGTTTGTTGCAGCGCATCATGCACTTGTTCATATTGCAAGAGTTCAAAAAGGCGACAAGGTTCTCATTTTGCACGCGGCCGATAGCCCCGATGGCCAAGCGCTTTTCACAATTGCCAAGCAAAGGGGGCTTGACATATTCGCTATCACGAACGGCAAAGAGGCAGAAGTGCAGCTGCTTACCACCAAGTACAATCTCTCGACAGATCGCATACTATCAAGGCAAGATAAACGAGCATTGGTTGAGGTCATCGCATCACAGACTCGTGGCGAGGGCGTAAATGTTGTTGTCAGCAGCCCGACTTTTGCGCTTTCGGACTTTATCCTGCGATATGCTCCAGAGGTCGTTTCGCACTTTGGTCACTTTATACATGTTGGCGATTCGGTTACTTCTTCTGATACGTCCTTGTTAAACGCACGATGTGTTCAGTATGCGCGGTTTAATGCAGCGCAACTGGCTGAGTACAACAGTCAGTTGATGAGGGAATCATTACAAGAGAGCCTTCACATCATCTCCAACTCTCCTTCGATATCCGAGCCGCCCATCACATCCGTAACGCGACTACCCATCTCCCAGCTCAATGAAGCCCTGCAACAAGCGAAGCAGACGAAAAGAGTCGATGGCAAGAAAATCGTCATTGCCTCTCAAAGCAGCGACTTGGTGAAGATAACATCACACACACGGCCCCTCTCATTAGATAACAAGAAGGCGACATACCTTGTTGTAGGCGGCGTTAGTGGTATTAGCGGTGCTATAATATCTTGGATGATATCGAAAGGGGCTAAAAACATTGTTGCTGTGTCTCGCAACGTAGAAGGTAACCCTGGCGCGGTATCACTTCTGCAGGATGCTGAAGAGGCAGGGTGCAACCTTCAACTGCGCAACTGCGACATCTCGAGCGAAGACGGCTTTTCTGAGTTTCTGCGGCAGATATCGACGTCTTTGCCTCCAATTCGTGGGGTTGTGCATGCTGCTGCCGTCTTAGAGGTTAGTAAACCGAAGCAACGTCTTCAACACCGAATCTACAGATCAAGTGTGCTAATTTTGAATGTGAAAATAGGACACCGTTTTGGAGCGCATGACCTTTGCGCAATGGCGACGTGCAGTAGAGCCTAAAGTTGCGGGTACTAGAAACCTTCACAAACACTTGCCCAAAGATGTCTCTTTCTTCGTGCTTCTTTCATCTATTACCGGTGTGGTAGGACACTCTTCGCAGGCAAACTATGCCGCTGCCAATACCTTTGAAGATGCTCTGGCCCGGCATCGTGTTGCTGCTGGTCTTGCCGCTACCAGCATTGATCTGCCCGCTATCAGGGGCGTGGGAATGGTTGCTGACGATGATGACGCACACCGCCGCATCGAGTCTCTCGGAACCGAGTCTTTATCTATCGACAGTGTACTGGGAATCATAGGCGCCGCAATCGAGCGTGACATGAATCTGCAGCAGAGACGATCTGGCAAAGCCAAGTCTCCTAATGAGGCTCAGGTTATTGCAGGTCTATTGCCATGGAGTCTTTTGGCCCCGGAGGCCAACATCACACGCGATAGACGCTTTGGCACGTTGAGACTTGCGAGGTCTTCCTCGTCTTCCGAAGCGTTTTCCGATGACACAACCATGGACCCAACGGCACTGCTCATACATGGCCTTCATATCAAGAAGGGCGGCGCACCTATGGAAGAGGCAAGAGAAAAGGTGGCAGGAGGTATAGCAGCACGCCTAGCCTCCATTTTCAACGTGCCCGTCGAAAGTATAGACCAAGGTGCGGCAATATCAGCCCATGGAGTTGATTCCTTGGTTGCGGTTGATCTGCGGAACTGGCTTGCTACGGCCAGCAAAGCGAAGTTATCAATTTTCGACATCATGCAGAGTTCCTCTTTGAGAGAGTTTGCTGGTTTGGTGGTGGAAAGGAGTGCGTTGTCGAAGTAGAAGAGTGACTCTAACCTACCTATATACTATCCATAATAAACGAAATCGTATCTCAATATCAATTCGTTTGCGCCGCTAAAGAAAAGATTGGGCGATTGACACCCGCAATAATTTACTACCTGGTATCCATTATGACGCGTGTGACTTTGGCTGGTGGCACTTTGATGTATGGACATTATCAACGCGTATAAAAGGAATTCCGCCGCACCCTATGCACGACGGACTTAAATTTCCGTAGTTCCGCTTTGTCGGTTAGAATCATCGTCTACATGCAAGAATAGACCCGGAGTTATTATTGCCTGAATTGGAAGCAGGCTAATCCGGTCGAATCACGCTGTCTATTCCTTGATATATAACTGCGTATCCATCATTAAGAGCTTCGCTGTCCCATCTTCTTTCTCCAATGTAATAGATCCCGAGGGATGACCTTTCTCATTACGCTGCGTTTTGCTTTCTAATTTTTGCTTTCAATATTCCAGAATGGCAGATTTCAGCCATCTTGGGGGCCCTTCCGCGGAATGGATAGAATTCTCGAGGCAGTTATCGCTGCCACCCCGCCCGAATTTCACACCCAACCTCGATATGAAAGCCATTCGTCAGACTATCAATTCTCAGAGGTTCCTTGCCAGAAATGAAGAATTGAAAGCGATGGATGATCACGGCGTCAAATGCGAAACCATCATGGTTGTAACTAGTGACTATCTCGAAATACCCGTTCGACTGTATACTCCGCCCAAACGAAGAAACCCAACTTCAATCCTCCTATACTTTTTTGGCGGCGGTTTCTTCTCCGGATCGCTATCTGTAGACGACGCTGCGTGCATCAATCTGGCTCGAAACTGCGGACTGGTTGTAGTTAGCGTTGGTTACCGGCTGACACCAGAATGGAAGGCTCCAACGCAGTTCCAAGATGCCTGGGACGTCCGATGCTGGGTATTAAAGAATGCAGAAGCTCTTGGTATCTCTTCTACCTTCAATCTCTATGTGATGGGGATCAGCGCTGGTGCCTGTTTGGCTGCGAGCATTGTTATTCGGGAGAGGATGGTATGTATTGTGCCGTTTCAACAATATAGTCAACATGATCAGACTAACGTTTCAATACGACCCCCAGTCAGGTGAGATGATTATCAAGGGCCAAAGCCTCTGCGTACCGTGGCTTTGCCTGCCCGAAAAGTTCCCCATTGAAGAGATTCTTCCTGAGAAAGCTTCGCCAACCCAATGCAGAGATGCGGCACTACTTCCTCAGAGTTGGGTTGTAAAGTACGCAGATATGTTGGATACACCGGAGTCGCATCGTGACGGTCCAGTGATCAATCCCCTCTTGTTTGACGAGCAGGCTGCTACGAGCTTGCCACCCTCTCATATCATGGTCTGCGGAGATGATCCTCTCCGCGACCATGGCATGCTCATGAAACAAAAACTTGACCGCTTGCGGTAAGTTGGCTCTCTCTACCTATTGAACACAGTTGCTTTTGTGAATAACAGCTATTGACTCGTTTCCGCCTCCAGTGTCCCAACCAAGCTTCACACATATCCAGGATACCCTCACTTCTTCCGTCGATTTCCGAATTGTCCAGCTAATAAAAGTTGGGATAAAGATTTACTGGAAGGTATTGAATGGATGATGACGCAATCGGAGATGGAATCAGTGTACAGATGAATAGAAAATTATTACACCATTTTGCATGCCAAATGGTCTAGTACTGAAGCAGCTCTGAAGGACATTGGGGGTTTCCATCGGCATCGGTGTAAGAGCGCTCGTAATCCTAAACCACGAAAGTCGGCGTGACGTGGCACGAGTCTGTAGAACCAAGACAAATAGGCACGGCAAACTTCCGGTAGGTAGCCCATGTTGCGCTAGTATTATCGAGGTCTATAAGATCCTCTACTTGTCCTTGTCCTTGTCCTTGTCCGTGTATCTCGCCGCGTATGCCATTGTGGGGGGCCGATATATGCCGTCAAATGTTCCACAATTAACCCCGTGTTAGATGCGCAGGCTGGATCCAGCAATATTACCCAACATGCAACGCTAAGATGATGATCATTCCGGACGGGCCGCAAGTGCCATTCACTGATACATGTATTCAACATATACTAAGAATGCCGGGGTTAATGTAGGATGTTGATGTAAAACCTAGGGTTGGAGAAGAACTGCGGCACACTTTGACTTAGAGAGCATCTAATTGACGTTCGTCTTTGGTATCTCGGTCAATGTTAGTGCCTACTGAAGAATTGGCGGCGAGTCAGAAGCAAAGCTGTCCTTATGGCAGAGCTTTCATATTAACATTTACTTGTATCAAGTCTGATGATATGAGATAGCTATCACCTATGGTCATCTAACAAGTAGTTGTCCATCTTTTACGAGCAAATCACATTGACCCGCTTTCTCTATACACCAGGAGACTGACCTATCGGAACATGTCTTATCCCTGTATGCATTTACCGATCTCTCACTTAGTCTACCTACTCCGTACATTGTAACACGTTACTACATGGGCAAATGGGGTTTTCCAAATAAGGAACAGCCTCGTTGCTACGCTCTGGTAAGCTCACATGATAAATCAGCTCCATCAGAAATCGCTTCGGTGTTGTTGATCTGCACTGCTCTATCATATCTTCTCCGAAGAATTCGGTAGTGACCGCCTTTCATCGTCTCCCGAGGAGTAGTTATTAGCGGGTGAAACCGATGCACTTCTTCCTATACATATCAGCTCGCCAAAGGAACAAAACGCGCCTCGAGAATGGAAGAGAAGTATGTCTTTTTGAGATCAACATCGTCAATCATTGGGGCAACTAACATAGTCTTCTTCAAGGTTTACCCTCAGTCAGGAGACCAAGAACCTGCCGGCGCGTGATTTTGATATGCTCCTCCGTAAAAGACGTCGTCTCCGTGCAGCAAAAGCATGTTACCCATGTAGGCGACGGAAAGTCAAATGTAATCTCCGTCAACCATGTGGGAGTTGTCTTATCCGGGGCCACCCAGAGCTTTGTGACTATAGCGTCCAAAGTCTCCCCGGTAGAGAGCAACTCAGCCAACCTGAGGACAGCAGTGGCGGAGGGCCGTCCGATGCCACTAATGAAAGGACAGCAGCCATCAACATGGACCAAGGGCTTTATCTGGACCCTCTTTCACACTACAGCACTAGGGTACATGTGGGATATGAGTCGCTTCCTAGTCTTATCTCCATCTACCAAACATTAAGCGCCAACCAGCCACAGCCGGCTCAGAAAGCGTGGACTCTCGGGCCCACCACAAGTCCGCAGACCGTCTTTGAGCTCTTGTGCCTCCAAGACTCAAGCACAATGTTTCCGTTCATGAATATTTGGGCACCCGGAGATGGCCCGGACAAAGTTTACAGTGCCTTGCCTGAGGACGAAGCTATATTGAGGCAAGTGTCTTTCTTTCATTTGGGGTTTGCTGTTACTGATGATGTTCAAGCCATCTCAAGTTTTGTCAGGAATCATTGTTCAGTATCTTGCCCCCATTCATAAACTTTTCGCAGTTTGAAGCCACTCTTTCTCTATTTCTTTACGAGAGAGCAAAGTCAAGATCAGATATCTTAACAAACCCACCATTAAATTGTACCTCCACGTGGTTTGCTCTTCTGTTTAGCATATTAGCATGTGGCGTACAGCTTGCTTCCTCTGACGTGGATTCTGAAATCCTTAAAGCTCGTGTTTTCGGTGAGATACCCATCAAGCACTGCATTTCTTCTGCCCGTGATAGTTATTCTAACTTGATTTCAGCCTGTTGCGCATTCCAGTGTCTAAGATTCAGCAACTTCCTTTCTTTTCCTAATACTGAGACTGTCCAGACACTTATACTACTAGTGAACTTTCTCAGAAACCAGGCTGATGCAGGAGCTTCATGGTCATTACTCGGTACGTGCAATAGCCACTTCATCATCAAGTTTCACATAACACACTTACATGAACGTTGCTCCTAGGCCTGGCCATACGGCTTGCTCAAACCATCGGGATGCATTGCCCGCCCGACCCCGAGAGCATATCCGACCCGACTGAAAAGGATGAGGCGATAATACACAATTATATCTGGTAGGATATATCACTAATTCTCGTCAATTCTTGGCCTATACCGATAAATATGAAATAGGCGCTCGTTAATATGGCAAGATACGCTGATATCCCTGTGCTACGCCCGGCCATTGGGCATAAATGTCCTACAAGAATTAACACCAACAACCCCAACTGGGCGAAGCGAAGCCCGATTTGACTCTTTTTCGGACAGTAGCCATAATCTTTTCATGGTTGCGAATAAGATTGGCCAGGCTCTTCAGTACGCAAAATGTACAAAAGAGCCCCTCTCACTGTTGAAGATACATAAATTCAAGGACCTGATCAATCAGATCGAGTCTCGCTCCCTTCCCCACATACGACAGGTGTTGAAATGTCAGGGCCGGACTGATTATTTCCAACACTGTTTCTTCCGGCTATTTTCAGATTCGGTCATGTTATGTTTATGTCGTCCCGCTGTACTGTCCGGCCATCATGAATATGGCCAAGAACTTGGCAGTCTCTGTATGAGCCGTTGTCGCTCCGTTTTGCGAACATACCTAGAGCTGCTCAAGCTGAGCAACCCGCTGAGACGGTCGTGGATATTTATGCACGTTACACTTAGTTGCGCATTGTGCTTGGGAGTCACTGCAGGCATTGGAAAACTCAAGTCAGACAAGATGCTACTCAAAAAGTTCTTTGATGCTTTGTCGGAAAGCACGATTTGTCTCAAGATACCCCCATACGCAAATGCCTTGAAGCTGCTAGGGGATCTCATCGGCAACCACGAACTGAATTAAATAGCAGCACGCTTGACACTTGGTACCTGTATTTGTGTAACACATGTAATTCATCAGCTTGTGGGAGTTGGGATGGGACTTGTTGGCACAGTGGCAACGAAGCTGTTTCTCGTATAGGTCTAATAATATTTATCATGGAATTTAACATTTTCAATCGGTGTAGTTTGCGTAATAACGGTTTGAGATTCCTGTATGAATGCTTCCAAATGTTCTTGGCTTGTCGCTTCCATCCTAACCAATCAACTCAGTAAAATCTCTCCAAGTCGCATCATTCGCTAGACCAACAAAATCCTCGTGAAACAAGCTCATTCCAAGATCCATGTGCCCTTCCTTATTCTTCGGCATCATGTACACCAGATCTGGAAGCTCTGGAAGCTTGGCCCTACGGACAAAATCGGGCACGCCAATCGCTGTACCGAAGCTGCAGTTTGCTAGCCAGTGCAGCTGCACCCATGACGAGATTAATATGTCCTTTCCAATTTTTTTCTTTGCTGCGTAGAAGATTGTAGTCTTATCTTCCGTCTCGTTGATGAGCGTCGCGAGACTGCGCATGTAAAAGTCATCGATGCGGTTGAGTGACTCCCTGATACTGATGGCGGCATCGGCAAGAGAACCATCAACAAGCTCACGAGCTGTAGGCCAGGCCGTATCAGAGAGACCGCATAAATGACCAAGATATCCTTCGCTGACTGGCGGGTCTAGCTTTCGTCTCCCATCTACCGCTCGAAGGCAGTGAACATCTTCGTCTGGTGCCACGCGATTCACCGCCAAGCGAACGGCTGTAAGTCGCTGTATATAGAAAGCCGTGACAGCATCATTCGTAGAGACCCAAGTGCGCCCACTCGAGGCAATCTCCTTGAGTTTTGCAAGCTTCTCGGCTGGGAACCGCCAGTAATTCCACGGTGCTTTGCCTGGCGCGCCGTGGTGGCCCGACTTTCCCAAGGACGATGGCTTTCTCAGATCGCTGTGATCGAGGCCGATTTCGCCTGGCTTCAGCAGCGGCACAATGGTGTCGGCATCTTGATTTCCTGCCTTGACCAGCTCCGCATCCAGCTCTTCTCCCCGTGCGGCAGCTGCAAACATCTTGAGAACGATGCCCTGTCCGTTCATATCGAGGGCGTTATGCATAGAAGCGAAGCATAAAAGTAATCCTCCCTTTACAAAATTGGCCTGCATAATGAAGACTGGGCGCTCCGTCTCCTCAGTATAAACATAGCCCATGCCTTTCTTAGGGCATAGGATATCCCCGTCCAGCATAGCGAACGGCGCATTGGCCCTGACAATCTGATCATAAGAAGGACACAAGTCGGCACAGTCTTTTCGGCGTACAGGAGATACTCCGTCATGAGACGGATACGGGATGATCTCATATCTGCCAGAGCTCGTAGCTGATTGTCCTCTTTTGACGACCTGACCAGCAAGGAATGGATAAGCCTCGAGGAGTTTTATAGCGGCCTTGTCTAGTGCTGCCATTACTTCATCCTGTTGCACTCCGGGCTGATCGGGGAACCCAAGAACAACTACGGTGTAGGTGTCCCAGCCGAGCTGCCCGAAAATTCCGGGTTGGCGAAGTGTTTTTTCCATGTTGTGAGAATGATACAGCGGTTCAAACAAGGTATTGAAGAGACTTTAAGAAACTGCATTTTGATGGTGGTCACGGACCTTTATACTTCCAAGGAGTGTCGTGTCACCTCCTGATTCACAGAGTGTCTTATATGTTAGTGAGCCATCTTAGTATAGCTTCATGATCTGACTCAGATAATTAGTCAATAGGGCGGGCCTAGATAATTTCTATGGCATAATACGAATAAATTCTTACATACCTATATATTCCTTACTAATTAAAGCTCAGCATTCTGTATACACGAGTCTGTTCACAGAATCACAGCTACCATATTTCCGGACCTTCGCAACTCAAACGGAGATAATTATGGGTCGGCACATTTCTTGTCTGCGCTTCTCTTCCCGACAGGGATACATTGAGAGCCTGTCGCCTTTTAACTGCATTCCTAAGAAGCGCCCATTCATGCCATGCAATGTAAATCTATTTACAAAACATCATTAGGTAGGTCCGGTGATTGATTGGACCTCGTTGCCAACTTGTCTTAACTACAATTTATTATGAGTGTTACAACGAATGTAACCGCAGATCTCGGAGTTGACACGCCGCTATTACTACTGCTCGAGGCGTTTATCAGAGAAAACGGTGCTAATACCATAGTAGTTCTAGGAGTACTGTGATAGCGTCCAGGGGTTTCCCTCGGTTTCTAATCATAGTTGGAGATGATGTTTGAGTCGCTAGGTCAGTGGTAGTAGTGACAAAGCAGAGGCCTGCATTATCACTGTAGATCCCAGGTTCATGACTTGATGCCGAGCTCAACTGTAATAGCAGGGCGCATATTTGTTTCCGAAGGAGCCGTTGATGGCCTTGATGACGCAAACAGGGTGAATACGAGACAAATAATAATATGAGAGTGCCGTAGATGCCGAATTGTGTGGTAAATTGGAGGGTGTAGGGGTAACCCAGCTCGGTAGAAGCCATTAGTGACACGTATTTATCGGTATTGGGCCTGTTTATGGATCACCGCCGATAATGACACCATGAGCTGTTGGAATATGGATAGAATCCAACTCTCGCTGTTTGTGGCTGAGACATAGCTGTAGGCTTGAGGCAATGAGAGATACTGGGCTAATTATATCGTTCTCAAAACCTCTGCCTAACTCTGAATCTTGAAGAAAGACTTTAAAACAACATCAATCGCAAAATTGATATGAACGCCGAAACTTTAAACTCAGATGGAGGAACATTGATGCCGTCAAGTCGGGGCCTAAGAGAGAAGAAAACAGGCCCCCTGGTTTGGGTAGCAAGGTACAGGTATTTGCCATCCCATCCACCAGCCTCGTCAAGGAGGTGCCATGTATCTCTGCAATGCAACAATAAATTTTGACAATAAAAGCCCAACTTTCCGCCGAGCTGGCAGGCTATGTTCACGCTACGAGCAACCAATCGCCAATCGAATAAGTGCAAGCCCGATTGAAAGTCACGAAGAATTTTAGTTTCCAACAACATGTCTGTACCTTCCAAGATTTTGAGAATTGCAATCGTTGGAGGTGGACTGGGTGGACTGGGTGGCCTGATGGCAGCCCTCTGTGTCCACTCATTCTGCGTTTCAGCTGCAATTGAGATTGATGTTTACGAGCAGGCTTCAGAGTACAAAGAGATTGGTGCAGGCGTCAGTCTTGGTAGAAATACATTGAGTCATCAAACAAATTGAACTTTATGAGCAAACTCATGCAATGGCAGGCAAGACTAACATTTGGTTATCGGCTCGGCGATACGACGACACTGGTGAAGAGATTGTCAGGATGAAGGCAGATGGTGATGAGCCATCACATTTGCCGGTGCATAGGGCTGAGTTTCTAGCCCTCCTCGTACAAACGATTAAAGATAGGGCCGCTGCAACTCTTCATCTCAATAAAAAATGCTTAGCAATAGAGGTAAGAGGTTTTACTTACCCGTGACAGACTTCCGTGGCAGTATCTCATATACCAGAGTTAGGAGATGGATGACGATATTGTCCTGAGCTTTGCAGACGGTGCGATGGTCACAGCAGGCCTAGTAATTGGGGCTGATGGCATTCATTCTCGTATACGCCAACACTATCATGTATGTTACATTAATACCATGCAAAATTATATATACGAAGCATTAATTTTGTTAGAACGATGATGCCCAGTTCGGTGAGATGGTTGTGTATCGCGGCTTGGTTCCAACGGATGCTATCAAGGACTGGTGGCCGCTGGACACTTACACTCCCATCTGGATAGGTCCCGGCAGATACTTTATCGTCTACCCCGTTAGTAATGGATCCTTGCCGAATATTGGCGCATTCATTGCGACTGACGGCAAATCATTTGAGAGCAAGACAGAAAGCTGGACACTCAGGGGGGATAGATTCGACCTGGAAAAGGATTACACGGATTTCGACCCCACGGTTAACCGTCTCAATCAATGTTTGGACGAAAAGCCTCTCAAATGGATCCTGTATGATTATGAACTCTAAATATAAACATCTCAGCCACATGTCCATTAATACTGAGATACACTGATGTCAGTCAGTTCACATAAGTAATAATTACTCCGCTAGTAGAGAACATTGCCACGCCTTCAGTTGGTAGAAAGCCATCCATCACTTCAAGGTCCATAGAATCCGGCCCACCTCGTGATTATCCGAGATTCAACCGGCACATCTTCCAAACCAACAGTGAGCTCACCATCACTAAAGCTTCAACCTACAAACCACCACAGCACCAATTTCATCTTTAGAATCGCGCTCTCTCCGTCGCGTTTGATTCCGCTGTATCTCGGCACTATCAAACCTACAACCGATCATCCACGCGACGCATCCGCTGCTAGTTTCCCACTCGTAGAGAAGTGCAGCAAGATGGGCAAAAAGAAGCGCGGCCATCCCGATGTCGAGGAAATCCTCTCGCGACCATGGTGTTATTACTGTGAGTGCAGACTTCATCCGCATGCCCCGAGGCGTCTCGGTTTTCGCACCGCTAACTGTTGTTTCTGCCATAGGCGAGCGTGATTTCGAAGATCTGAAGCTCCTCATCTCCCACCAAAAAGCCAAGCACTTCAAATGCGACCGATGTGGCCGACGCCTAAACACTGCCGGAGGTACGTTTTCAATTGTGCGAGCCTTGGTGGATAGAAATGCTTCGGTTTTCCGAGCAGAGAGGAAGAGGACTGGCTAACAATTGGCGCGCTTTCAGGTCTCTCCGTCCACTTGAACCAGGTTCACAAAGAGACGCTCAGCCAGGTTGAAAATGCGCTGCCCAACAGACAAGGGCTCGAGGTCGAGATTTTCGGCATGGAGGGCATTCCGCAAGAAGTGCTCGAACAGCACCGGAATCGTATCATCCAAAACTTCTACCAAGCACAGGAGGACCGCAGAATTGCGACCGGCAACCCCCCGCCTGGCCAATCAAAGAACCCGAGAAAGAAGATCAAGATTGAGACAGCAGAGGAGCTCCTAAAGAGATTTGCCGAGTATCGGGTCCAACGAAAAGCGGCGGTAGCAAGCGGCGGTACCATGGAGGGCGTCGTACAGACAGGCACCGCCTTCCCTCAGCAAGCGTTCAACCAGCCCGGCTTTCCTGGACAGCAACCGCATGGACAAGCGGCTTACGGATTTTCCTCAGACTCCCTTCCAGCGCGGCCATCTTCAGGCCTCGTTGTAGCACCGGGTTTGCCCCAACGACCCACACAGGCCGGATTCTGGGGTGGCTCAGCTCAAGCTACGGCTTCTGGCGATGAGATTGATCAGTTGATCCGCATGGCCGAAGCCGGCGTCAAGCCACAGAAGAAGCCAGAAGATGGCGAGGAGGGCGAAGGCAAGAGCAAAAAAGACAAGGACAAGAAGGGTCGCATGATCTACGACGACGCAGAGTTCAGCCCCGAAGAGAAGATGGCGGCTCTTGCTCGCTATGCGTACATACCGCCAGTCGGAGCTTAAGTTTTGTGCGAGAGTGCTATTGGGTACGTTGAGCAAACAAAGAGGACAGCTCACTCGAGGACGAGGAACGGGCACACACAAACTGCAGAATTCGCTTTACAAATAATGGCCAAAGGCACTTTTGACAAGGATAGGCGTCTGGGATTGTGTATAATACAGTGGACTTTTTTTTTCTTCACGCTTCTACGGATTTTGATGTAGGTAGATCTGACGTGGAGAAATCAGGATGATTCCCACGGTATGATCATACTACTACAAGCTTTTAAATGCTGCTATTTCATACCTGTTTCGAGTGAATAAGCGGGTTGGGACAATTTCTGGGTTTGAACGGGTACGTTGGACACTCGACATTGTTGACACGTTGCTGTGCTCGCGATGGAGGGAGCCACAGTATCAAAACTTTAAGCTATCTACTGGTATTAAAATGATATCTAGCCCGTGCTTATAAGAGACGGCGTTGAATCCATGTAGCACAGAGTTTAGTGCAGAAACTTGGAGCGGTGGAACAATGAAGTCTCTCCTGTTAAACAACAAGCAATGTGTAGTGATGGTCTTGTGATAGATACCTCAGTAGTATTATACACAAGTTAATGTACGAGTACTTCAGTGCCGGTCGATCTACCTCTTTATTCCCTGCTTTAGTCACTTCTACTGTGTATGTCATGGGTGTGATGCTGTCCTGTTGCTTGATCCCACAGCACATGCTGGTCAATCTCAACTTGATAGACCCAGTGGTGTACATGTGCTCCGTAAAAGGGTGGGAGAGACGGCACATGTACATTGTGTCTGTGGCCAATCACTCTCCACGCTGCCCGTCACCGACACCTTCATTCCCATCAGTTAAAAATGATAAACCTTTACAAAACCATCTGACCGCCATTCTCATCACCACTTGGCCGTTGAGTTGGCGCTTCTTCTGAAGCTGACCCCGGCAAATCTCCAGAGTTTACAGGGTAGCTGTCGCTGCGAAACTCTGTTCTTGGGTGCTGTGGGTGGAGCTTCCCGCAGCGCTAGACGTTGTCAGGGCAACACCGCCATTTTCCGTTTTCCCTCCTGACAAGGGTCAACAAATAAACCCGATTGATTGGCACGTCACTCGCCCGGCTAGACTTGTTCCATTTCGTACATATCGAGCTTCCACGGGACATCAATTGAGGCCCAATCGCTCTCTCCATTTTGCATTTTTGCCTGCAGCCATTGTGTTTGACTATTCGATATCTCCTACGAATTACTGCTGCTACTGCTCGTGTTGTGTTAGATCTGGTTCTTGGGGCTGGCTGTGTCTTTTTCTTCTTCTCTTCCTGTCGGCATTTCTCCATCTCAGCTCTGCCGGCCCCCCCCCGGTCACCGATTCTCTATCTAGATCGTTCAGCACCGATTTGACCAGGCATCGCTGCGCACTGACGACCTCTTGATACTGGGAATTGGGCGTCTGTCGACCAATTTGCACGACCTTGGAGAACACGAAACGGCAGCCTTGCGCTGGGAGCACAAACATTGAAGTCTGTCCATCACGGGAAGCGGTGAACCATGGCCGACTCGGGGCAGTCGTCCATCACAGTGGCCGGTATGTTCACGGTCTATTCTGTTCTGTTCTTTTCTATTCTGGCAGAGATTATGGTTTGCTGACGTTGAATGGTGCAGTCCGAGTCCGGCCGTTTACGATTCGAGAAGCAGCTTCGCTGTAGGACTTCTTCTTCCTGGCTGGCGGTCGAATCCATGCTAACCACGCTCAACCTTTAGGCAGCGCAACGACGATGGCACGATTTTCCTCGGCGACGGCTCCTTCGCCTCGGCACCGACTCCCAAGCTTCACCACAAGGGTATCCGGAATGTCATCAAAGTTATGGACGATCGTTGCCTGTGAGCATGCTTAACGAATGCCATTGGCGATCCTCTCCATCGGCTGACTCTTGCTTCTGCTGCAGAATATTCGATCCGCCAGAGGAAAGCCCCGTCCAGAAATTCTCGCGAACCGTCGTCCCGGGCACGAAAAAAGTAAAAGATCAAGTGTTTGCCTTTGATCGAGTCTTTGACGACAACACAACGCAGGCTGAGGTTTATGAGGGCACGACCCGAGGCTTGCTCGATAGTGTCTTGGATGGATATAATGCGACTGTATTTGCCTACGGCGCCACTGGATGCGGCAAGACGCATACCATTACCGGCACAGCACAGCATCCCGGGATTATTTTCCTGACGATGCAAGAGCTGTTTGAGAAGATCGAAGAGCGCAGCCAAGAGAAGTCTACAGAGCTGACGCTGAGCTACCTGGAGATTTACAACGAAACGATCCGAGATTTGCTGGTGCCCGGTGGCAGCAAGGCCGGCCTGCCTCTTCGCGAGGACAGCAATGCGGCCGTCGCCGTACCTGGCCTGACCAGCCATCGCCCTCGGGATGTCCAGGAGGTCATGGACATGATTATCCAGGGCAACGAGTACCGAACCGTATCACCGACCGAAGCAAACGCAACATCGTCTCGATCCCACGCCGTCCTCCAGATCAATATTGCGCAAAAGGACAGGAACGCCGACGTCAACGAGCCTCACACCATGGCAACTCTCAGCATCATCGATCTGGCGGGCTCCGAGCGTGCGTCTGTCACCAAAAACCGAGGCGAGCGCTTGACGGAGGGCGCCAACATCAACAAGTCGCTTCTTGCTCTAGGAGGCTGCATCAATGCTCTCTGCGACCCGCGAGGAAAGATACACGTGCCGTACCGCAACAGCAAGCTTACTAGACTCCTCAAATTCTCGCTGGGCGGCAACTGCAAGACCGTCATGATTGTCTGCGTCTCGCCGTCGAGCGCTCACTACGACGAAACCCAAAACACCTTGCGTTATGCAAACAGAGCCAAGAACATCCAGACCAAGGTCACTCGCAACGTCTTCAACGTTAACCGCCATGTGAAGGACTTCTTGATCAAGATTGACGAGCAAATGGCCTTGATCAACGAGCTGAGAGCACAGCAGAGGGAGTCTGAGAAAACCAGCTTCGCCAAGTTCCGAAAGCAGTACGAAAAACGAGACGGCATCGCGAGAGACGCCATGCAGAGACTTCGAGCTGCGTATGACAACGCAGGTGCCGAGCGTCAGGAGCGTATTACCTCGATGAGAAAACTTAAGCACTTTGAGAGGCGCATCAGTCTGCTGTCTGCGTGGATTGCGGCCTTTGATGCAGTTGCTGAACAGAGGGAGAACGACGCAGAAATGCCGCAAAGCCTCGCAGCCATTCGCAAAACTGCCCAGGGGATCATGCTGGAGCTGGAAAACAGCAGACATCATGTTCACCAAAGGCTCGATAAGTCGGCCTGGGAGCGTCATCTCGACACAGCTTTGGCTCACGGTATCAGACAGCTTGAACTCGCCGAGGGTGCCGATACCGGCGAAATCGAGAGCTTGACACGCGAGGCTGAACTTCTCAAGTCCGAGTTCAGCCGCGAGGCCTATCGCGAAGTTTTGGAACAGGAGAAGGCGGGAGATGCTGCCATGATGCAGATGCTTCTCACTGCCCAGTTTGAAATCATTTCCTCCCTTTCTGGAATCATGATGATGGACGAAGATGGCGCGGTGTCGCACGCCAAAGAGGCCATTTCTCGCCTCCTGCAGACTGGCCTCACGGCAGCATCCCAGGTGGTCAAGCCCGATGGTTCTCTGGCTGCTATGCCTGACGCTCTTCCAACGACACGACGCACGCTGAGAAAGAGGAAGTCCTTGTCTGCCTACAGACCAGTTGTGCCTCCGGCAGTCGTGGCCGTACAAAACGAACATGTGTTTGCAACTCCCATGAAGGCGTTGCCGCGACGGCGTAAGGCCCTCGGCATGCCGAAGAAGGGAGTCAGCTTTACACCAGTCAAACGAACCACCAAGAGCCGAGGGGTCAGGTGGAGGGACGACGAGACGGAGGACGGCACACTGGAGGATTTTGAGAAGACGCCGCAGAACCTCTTCAGCTCCCCTTCGGTGCAGCCGTCGCCAGTAGCTAAGAGCAAGATTCCCTCGCCGCCGCAGCTAAACAGCGTTACTAAGGATGACGCCGCTTCCAACGACGACTCCTCGATAAGCCTAGAGATGTCGGACGCGCCGAGCCTTTCAATCGCTAAGCCCGGTAGGTTTCAAGCTGGCTTCCTCTCAAGGGGCGCGCGATTCTCATCTGTAGGTAGCGGGCTGCCCGTGTCCTCGTCGCCCCCTACTTTGAGCATGCACCTCCGCTCCTCGAGCTCTCCCGACGTGGCCAGAACGCCGCCTTTGAGATCATCTCTAGACGGCCCCAGAGCCGAGAACAATTCATCCCCGCTCTCCTTGAGCAAGGTTCCCCGACCGAGTCCCCCACAATATCATCAACTGCAGTCGGTCATGGATGAAAACAATCCTCCAAACGCCTCAGGATCCGACTCTGAGTCTGGCACGATTGATATGCAAAAACTCCGTAACGCTATTGCTTCGAAAAAGCCCCGCAGAATGAGTCTCGTGGGCCAAACTTCAGTCCCCGTGGCTAGAAGGGTGACTTCGATCGCACCTGCTGCCATCGAGAGACCACCTTCACGTTCTACCATGCCCATGATGGGCAGCGCCGTCAACGGCATCTCCCGCCTTCGGAGAGGGAGCTTGGAGCGTCGAAAGAGCCCGCCGCTGTTGTTCTCAGCCCCAGATCCAGAGGACCATCTCACTACTGGCCAAGCGAGACGCATGAACATGGGGAGCAACCTACGACTGGAAAACCTCGGAGCTGCCCAACGTGACGGGATTGGCCTGGAGGGCCCTCACCGTGTCACCATTAAAGTTGGGACAGGCGCTACCGCTGCAGGCGTCTCTGCACACCGAAGGCTGGATAGTCGAGGAGGTATGCCCATAAGATGAAGTCCATACCGACGGTGACCGCTTGCTTTCCCTTATATATATATTACTTTCTTAATATTTTGTTAGCCCTCTATATTCTGCTTTATGCAGCGGGCATTTCTTTTGGGTTTGCAAACAACGAATGGCGTCACGGTATATTGTGCCTTTTCAGGTCACAAGATGACATATATGAGCATTGGCGTTTGGGAGAAGGATTGGGCCGTAGAACTGGCATTTGATGACCCTAGATGTTTTTGTGTATGACTTGTTGTATGCATACGTATGGGACAGAGATGGCTTAGAAATCGGATTTCTTTTGCTCGCCTTGATCACGATGATGATGATACGATTAGTGTACGGCTTCTGTAATGTCTGTAATTGGGTTTGTCTTACTCAGGCAGGTAAGTAATATTCTTGTATCTATATTCTGGCTACCTTGGTATTTACTATATGAATATGATATATCTGTCGTTCTTCAATATACCACTTTCCTCTTCTCTCCCGTCCTGTTCATTCCCCTGCCTATACTTTACGAGAACAATAACGTTGAAAGCGGTGTTCTTTGTGTTATACAGTGTAATAACAAAAGTAAAAGACTGTATAAGCTCGCCCAAGTCATTCGTCTTAGCACAGTGCTTCCGCTCTCCTCTTATCCACCAGCCATCAACTTCATAAAAACTCTGTGGATATAACAACTTCTGACATCCGCACTTCCGTCATCCGCCTTCCCGCTCCTTTTACACCTTGAATAATAGCAAAACCACTGGCTGAATAGTTTCTTTGGTGGCCGCGCATCCGGCAGCGTCGCATTGGGCCAATCGAGACGACTACAGAGCATAAAAATCGCCTCCCTTGTCTCCCAATGGACTTGGACCATGGCTCAGGATCGGAGCCCGTTCGCTACATCCGCAGCCGCATCGCCAACGCCTGCGACGGGTGCAAGGCGCGGAAAGTCAAGTGCGACGGGAAACTGCCATGCGGATTTTGCGTTGCGCGACAGAGGGCGCAAATGTGCCATTACTCGCCCCAGAGGAGACGCAGACAGTCGCAGAAGCTGCCGAGGTCACCGCCGCCGTCGGTGCGGGAGTCGCGGGATCAGGATCGGGATCGGGATCGGGATCGGTCTACTAGGGACGCTTCGTCGGTGAGGTCGCCGTCGCCGGGTCAGACGCCGGCTTCGAGACGCGTGTCTTTGGTGGCTGGAAGGGGCGTGTCGTCTGCTTCTGCATCTGTTTCGTCTCCGGTGATGGGGAGCGACAGGCGGCATCGGCTGCAGTCGTCGGCATCCGCGGTGAACCAGGCCCAGGAGTCGTCCGTGGCCGAGGACGAGACTGAAGTGCCGCGAGATGCCCGACTGCTGTGTGACGCCCATGGGAAGCTGACCTTTATCGGGGATTGCGCGCCATTGTCCTTCTTCCAGTCGGTGCGCAGGCTTGTCACCAACCGAGTCGGCCAGAATGCCTTTGCGCCGCAGACGAGTCGATTCTCGGTTTTGGAAAATGCGCCGGCGCGGCAATCCAAGAGGTCACTGAGAGATCCGAGGATGCCTGAAGTCCGGCCTGTGGACATTGCGCCTGCGGTTTCGGCGTATCTGTCGACAACAGCGAGTTTGGTGGATTTGTTTGACAGTTCGAAGCTGCTGGACGATTTGACGATATGGGCAAACTTGGCGCACAAGCCGGATAACGTTACGACTATTATTCACTTTCTTGTTCTGGCCATTGGGTTGCAGGCGGAGGACGACGTGTTATCTCAGCAGTATTTCGAGTACGCTCGCGATCTGGCGTATACGGATCTGAGCGACAGTCTTGGCGTTGAGACGGTGCAAGCGTTCATCTTGGTAACAGTTTACATGCTGTGTTCATGTCAAATCAATGGAGCCTTTCTCTTCTTTGGCATTGCTGCGCGGGCGGCCTATTCAATTGGCCTGCATCGAACCGAGGTGAATGCACGATTTGGACATGAGATTCACCAACAGAGGGATCAGCTGTGGAAGAGTCTACGAGTGCTGGACCTATTTCTCAGCAGCTCCATGGGACGCCCTCCCGCCGCTTCGGATGTGGATTGTACTGTTCCTTATCACGCTCAAGGGGCTGATGGGAAGGAAATGTTCGACCTGCTCAATGCCTCTGTGCAGATCCTACTGATACTGGAAAACATCATTTTGGAAGTATACGGGCGGAAAAAGATCTCTATGCAGTTGACTGAAGGAGTATCCCTCAAGCTGAGAGAGTGGTCTGGGAAATGGCTTGGCCTACTAAAGGAGGTTATTGCACAACCCGCCGCTCGCAATGAAGCTCAGGTCACAGGAGCCTGCCAGGTGCTGTCGTCATACTACTATGCGGTGATGCTTGTTTCTCGGCCGTTTTTGATGTATGAGTTATTTCAGAGGCTTGTTGATGGCTCGGCTGCATCGAGCAGACCGGCAATATCAGGAAGATCTAAATTGGCGGACGCATGTATTGATGCCGCAAGTTTGATGGTAGATCCAGTCTTGGATTTGATCGAAAGGGGTGTGTTGAAGAGGAAGGCTCCCCTGCTTGTGTGAGTATCTCCGTGTGGTGTTGGCATAAAGACTTGAATTAATGGTTTACAGATCGTGGCTTTTTGCTGCCTCGCTTGTCCTTGGTGTTGGTCTCTTGGGCGGATTCGGCCGTATCCTGGAAAAGTATACTCGAATGTCCATACAAACCATGGACCACTTTGCGCAGAACGATGCTCATGCCCGGCAATACTCCTTGATTGCCCAGTCGTTGCTCACGACAGCATTGGAGCATTTAGAACGGCAGGATCTTCAAGAACGGATGCGACGCACAGAAAACTCGAGTCAGTTGTTCGGCTTGGTGGCGCCTGATGCACGATCTCCTTTGAATAAATCCCCGGCGCCGCTCAGGGACATTGACTTGCGAGTCAGCACGCCGGATACGACCATGACCAGGAGCCGCAGCTCGATGGACAGATCGCTTCTACAGCACCAAAGTTTACCGAGTGGGCCATCTCCGCGGTTGGGAGAGATGGATTCCGTGTTCCTGGGACTGTCGGAGTCGATGCTGCATACACCGGACACTACATACTGGGATGGGATCGTCGGCAACGACAACGATCCGAACTCTGCTCTAAATTTATTTCCACTGTTGGAGGCGGGAGGCGGGATTGATTTGGCGCACTGGCTTTGATGGTATACTTCAGGTTTTGTGAAAAAAAAAAAAAAAAAAAGGCTTCTTCAGAAGGTATGACACTGGGATTGGTGTCGTGAATGGCGTACATGTAATGATAGACGTGATGGCCGGGGGTAGCTTTACCTAGTGTCCTTACTCGGGTTTACAACATCTTTGTCGGATTTGAAGCAATCAAAAGGCGAACGGTGTCCGGAGTGAAGGCCTCCGGATTTCAATAGTCTGGCTGTGTGACATCTCCGATGCAGTTGCGGTCTGGTTCCAGAAGCACGAGATGGAATTATCCAGCCGAAGTGGTAACCTATTTGATGGTATGATGGCAGGGGTGCCTCCTAATAATCCGGGGCAAATTACGAAATTTCTCGAGCAAGCAGCGGTCCAACGGCCCAGTTGAGTGCCGATGAAGTCTCCATCGATGCCCGAAGCTGCAACGGACGTGGTATTATTGGATCCTGCGTTGCTCTCCTTGTTGAACCAAATTACATGGAGCAACACTAGTCGGCCCGGAATGACACCCCATATTTCGTGCTAGCAAGCCTGGCATCGACGGCTCCTCAGTTTACGGCCGCCTCGAATGCGGGGGAATAGAAAATTCCTTGTGGGTAGATTTGAACGGGGCGACAAGGAGTTGCTGGTCTTTGAAAATAAGTATGCCTGGTTGATCCGAATATCCGGTTGTCGATCTCCATTACGGGCCTCGTCTTACGGATGGTCGAGCAACAAGGCAAGATCTTCTATTTGTTCCAGAAATAGTGCCAATGATCATCGGTCATCCTACAGAAATAGCACTCCGTAATAGTGGTGTTATAGTAATACTCATATGCTGCCAAGGCGGCATAGGAGCTCGTGCGTGCTCCTATCTTGTAACCATTCAGCCATTGCCGGGAAATCCTACCCGAACACGGTCACATCAGCACTACGGGGGGTTAAGCCTCGAGATTGTGGGGGAAGGACAAGGGTAGGACCGATAATCCCTGCGCACACAACAAGCTCGCACAGCTGTTTCTCTCCTGCTGAAACAGGCAAAGCCGTTTGGGGCGGCCGTGAGGAAATTGTTCCTATAGATGGATTAACTGATCTTGGGCCCGGAGGCTCTCCTTGGTGCCATGTCATCATGAAAGGGCCTGCATTAGATTCAGGGACCTCAGGAGTCGAGGGTGGTTCCTGGACAGCGTAGCATCGCATGACGACATGACAGATGCCAATCGTATATAGTATGGGGCTGGGACGAACGTTTCTTATTTTCTGGAGCTCTTCGTGAAGGATTTGTTGGACTCAAGTTTATTCCTTGTAAATTCTGGTTCAAGCAAAAGAGGCAAGCTACAATGGCAAAGTACTTGATTCCGGCATCTGTGCTGCTGTCGCAGTCGGTTGCGGCTGCGAGTCTGTTTGACTCGTACGTGAGCTTGTCGTTCGAGCTTATTGGCTTTCCTACTTTCGCTGGTGAGTTCTGCAGCTGGAGTTTCTTCGTCGTATGATTGAGGATCAAGTGAATTGACTTTGTCTTGTTTTCGGTCTTTAGGAACAAAGCACCAACCCAATGCCTTCTCCCACAACCTGATGCACAACTTGGCCGAGCTTCAGGGCAGCGGCATTGTTGTGCGAGTCGGTGGAAACTCTGGGTGAGTACCATATTCGGCATCAACGTGATTCACAATATCCGCCGGTGTCTAACTAACAGCTTCAACAGTGATCGTGCCATCTACGATCCGACCTTGACCACATCCACAGCCAGCGCATGCCCCAATGCCGATCCCGGCGCGTGGCAGTGCATTGGTACGACCTTCTTCGAGTCTTACGGCGGCTTCCCGGCCGGCACCCGCTACTCTCATCAGTTCAACCTCGGTGCATACAACTCCTCTGGATGGGCTACCCTCGAGGCTACGGTGCCACTGGCTTGCAAGGCTCTTAGAGGCCAGCTCGAGTTCTGGGAGATGGGAAATGAGCCGGACCTGTTCACCGGAAGCAGACGCCCCAGCACGTACAATGCTTCCCAGTACTCCAACGAGTGGTTGAACTCAACCCAGCACTTTGAGAGCTACCTCCACAAGGCCTGCCCAGATCTCTTCGGCAGCCTCAAGTACATTGCTCCGTCTTTGAGCTCTCCTGGTGCCAAGCTGCACATTGCCGACATCTTCCCCGACGAGGGCAACGCCACGGACAAGATTACTCAAGTCTCCATCCACAACTACATGAACGGCGCCACCGTTCCCGGCGTTACTCTGCAAAACACTCTGATGAGCCACAATGCCGTTGTCAAGTCGATCACCAACCACGTCAACTACGCCAAGACTTCTACCATTGATGCCGAATACATCATCGGCGAGCACAACAGCTTGTACGGAGGTGGTGCTTCGGGTCTCTCTGATGTCTTCGGAGCTGCTCTCTGGGCCATGGAGTTCTCTCTCTACGCTGCTTCCACCGGCGTCATCAAGCGAATCCACTTCCACCAGTCTGTGGGCTCTCCTTACGCCGCCTGGGTTCCTTCAGGAACTCTCGCAACCAATGCTCCGTACTATGGAAAGCTGGCTGCCAGCACCTTCTTGGCTCGCTCCAACACCATTGAGGTTAAGACCATTGCTTTGAACAAGGATGCTGACTTGGACTCTGGATATGGCGCGTATATCAACGGTGATTTGCGCCGCATCGCGGTTCTTAACCTCAGACAGTACAACGCTGGCAACGGTACCCGTGCAAGCCAGACCTACACCGTCAAGGTTGCTCCTGGATCTTCTTGGAAGGCTCAGCGCCTCACTGCTGCTGGCGCCACCGACAAGACTGGTGTCACTTTCAACGGCTTCTCTTACGATGCTGACTCCAACGGCGTGGCGAAGCGCGTCAACGGCAAGGAGTCGGGCAAGGTCATCAGGGCTGACCGCAGCGGTAGCATTACGTTTACCGTTCAGGATACCGAGGCCATTGTTCTGCTGAAGAACTAAAAGGGGATATATGATTGTACATTTTAATAGTATGGATTTGTTGTGGGATCACTCTCGGTACCCATTAGTGGTGTACATTGTATATATGAGATGGAGAGAAACAAATACTTATGATTTTTGACGATGTATGTTTGCTCATTCCGACGCTATCTCATGTTACTTGACAGACTTGCCAGCCCGGAAATTTATTGAATCAAAACTTGTTTTTCCTTCTTCAGCTTCTCCACAAACTCTAGCGGCACCTTGAGCGTCTGCGCAACGATATCCGGCGGCGTCAGCGCGAGCCATTGCGTGAGAGGAATGTCGGCCACGCGATCCGACTTGTATATCTCTACCCAGATGAGGTCTTCCGTCTTTGACGTGTTTTCGATGTAGTGCCCCGAGTTGTCGGGGAAGACGGCCGTGTCGCCGGCGCGGAAGTTGAACGTTCGGGCGGCGGCGTTGCCGATGAAGACGGTGGCTTGGGCGGTGCCTTTGTGGAAGTAGAGCCATTCCTCGGCCTATTTGCATATACTTGTAAGAGATGTATATAGAACAAGGGGAAGTTCGATTCACTCACATTTGGGTGCCAGTGCAATTCCCTCAAAGCACCAGGCTTCAGCGTCACAAACGTCGCTGCAATCGTCTTGCTAATTGGGAAATTGGTCGAATCAATCTTGCGGAACTCACCACCAGTCCCTCCAATCTTCTCGGGGGGATGTTGTAGCGTGCGGTAGACGAAGGAGCTATTCTCAGACAACGAGTGGCCATTCCCAGTGACATTGTGTGTGCTAACCGTCCCGTTGATGATGTAAGGATCAGCCGGGGGAATGGAATCAAAGACAGATTCATCGACTCCAAAGTTCTTTGCGAGAACGGAGCGGGGTGTGTGAGCGATCCAATCGTCGACGTTGAAAGTGGTGCTGTTATCGTCAGTTATGAAGCGACTTTTTTATTATTCACCTGACTAGATGTTGTTCTTCTTACCCAATCTTGTCAAAATCTGCCTCGTCAAAAACTAGAAGAAATTCGTTCTCATCCTCCAGCCCTTGGACTGTATGGGCAACACCCTTTGGAAGATACCAAATGTCGCCATAGCCGAGCTCCGAAACTTCGTATTCGCCATCCTCGTTGACCGCGGACAAGGTGATGCGGCCGGCATAGACGATACCCCATTCAGCCTATGACACATGAGTTAGATGGCCAAACAGCAACGTGATGGGGAAGTAATGAATGAAGCAAACTTACTACTCGATGCCAGTGTAGCTCTCGGATGGCCCCTTTCGTCAGATGCTGCTGAGCGGCAGCAATGTCGTGACTTGCGGGTAGATCAGTGATCACTTGCTCTCGGACCCAACCGCCTTTGAGAATGCGCGTTCGAGAGTCGGAGAAGCTCCACTTGAGATTTGGAACGACACCGTTGTCAGTGGATTGCTGGCCTAGGTTACTGGGATTTTGCAAGTCCAATTGGTGATTTGTGCCGCCTTATCTTCCGTGTTAGAGCTTTCGCATATTTCCCCCCCGTGAAACTCGAATAAACATACCCAAAAAAGGTGCTCCTTTCCCATCTGGGCTGATGGGTTGTCCGTCTACAAATCCTCCATCACCCCGTTGCTGGACTTGAGGTGCTGCATTTGCGCCGATGAGGCACAGTGCCCAAGTTGATAATGTAGATGCTCTCATAGCTATAAGAACTAGCAATGGGTGAAGATATGAAGGGAAAAAAGAGAGACTGAAAATTGGTTGGCTTGGGCATCCTTTAAGCTTATTACACAATCAAGCATATACACAACCTTGTGACGAAAACCCCATCGAGAATACAATGTAACACTACGCCTCCGAGTCTATCGATGGCGCAATGACCACCATCGTGCCTGAAGCTCAAGCTGCGTGCGGCCATCCTGGTCTCCAACATTAACGCTAAAATGGCGGCATTGTTATACAGATGTTGGTTACACAGATCTAGGTAGTGGATGAGCATCCAGAGGGAGGCCAGTGCTGACTGACTTGGAACATTCCTAGCAATGGTAGCGCAGGGTGTGTAGCATCAGGACATGTATTTGGTCTACTTTGCATGAGAAGGTCGCAGATCGAATGACGCCATTATACATGATGATGGTCATATTCTATGTTTTGTTTTGCGATATACAAACAGAAAGAGAAGTAGAAGAAAACGACGACCCTTCATTACGTGTGGGTATGTAATAACCGCTCGAATATACAAATAACAGGCCTTGTGCTGACAAAAACATTAAACTGCTGTTGGCATCGACCGCATCTGCTTCATATACCAAGACTACAATTTTAATCAGTCAAAAACCTCTCCACAGTGTGTGAATAACTTCAGAGGAACACTTACAGTCTCTGCTCCTCCGGCCATTACCTTGACGCCGAGAAGCTTTGGAAGCAACAGATCTGGCGCCTTTCTCGTATACGCCCTAGCATCTTCGCTCTTGACTTCTTTGTTGAAGATCAAATTCTTAGGCAAGTAAGGGTTAAGGGCGGCAGGTCGGCCAATGCCAACGATATCACAAGCGTCCTCCCGAAGAGCCGCCTCCATGCCTTCGCGTGTCCGGAAGCCGCCCGTCACCATCAATGGAACGTGCCTGAATCTATCGCGGATCTCCTTGGCAAAATCGAGGAAAAAGGCCTCACGGGCCAGAGTACTGGCGGACCTTGATTCTTGCATCATCTAAAGAGATTCGTGGTTAGCCCTCTTTATTCTGTACCATCGACGCACGGGAGCTTGGAGCACGGCGCGGTATGAACTAACCGAAGGGTCTTCATATGAGCCACCACTGATCTCAAGGAAGTCGACGCCTGCGTCTGTAATCACGGTGAGCTGCTCAATGCAGGCGGCAAGCTGCTCCTTGTCCTTGAAGTCGGCGCTGTTCAACTTGATGCCGACGCAGAAACCCTTTGGGACAACATCCCTCACGGCCTTGAGAATGTCGACAACAATCTTTGCCCGCTTCTTGGCAGATCCGCCATACTGGTCCTCGCGTGTGTTGGACGCCGGATTCAAGAACTGAGACAACAAGTAGCCGTGCGCGCCATGGAGCTCAACGCCAGCAAAGCCAGCTTCGGCTGCCAGCTTGGCAGTCTCTGCAAACTGAGAAACAACGCGCTGGATATCCTCAAGGGTCATCTCCCTTGGTGATCCAAAGACAAACGACCTGGCAAGCCTGGCCACGATGCCATTGCCTATGTTTAGGGGAATTGCACTTGGGGCAATTGACTTCTCAAAATATCCTCTGGTGCCGGCGCCGCCGGGACTTTGTCGTCCTGGGTGGTTGATTTGCATGATAACAGGCGTGCCGTTTTTAGAGCTCGCTTTTGCCCATTTCTTCCATGAGGCGAGGATTTTCTCCCTGTCAACCTTGTCGTTGGGGCTCACATCTGCAGGGCTGCCCAGGTATCTGACATCAACTTGAACGTTGCCTGTGAGCACCGATCCCCATCCGCCCTCAGCCCAATTTTCGTAAATTTTAAATAACCTTTCGCCAGGCAAATATTCGTTGTCTGCCCAGCTTTCAGCCATGGCGGCCTTGGAAAGCCGATTGGGGAGCGTGAGACCACATGGAAGTGTGATGGGCTCTTGAAGCTTGAGTTCTGAAACAGTCATGGTGGCTGAAAATGGTGAGTTGGGGTTGTTAGTTGACAATCTCTTGATCAATCCTGCAAGACTAGATCTCCCAGGACCTCACGGCTGCTTTATAAAACAAATTGTATTTGGCTTTCTTTTTCTTTTTCTTTTTTTCCTTTCTTTTTTTTTGCCTTCCCTTTCTGTTTTTTTTCTCCGTCCCTTTTTGCCTCCTATCCACCTCTTCAAGCTCAATGCAGCCTCGGCACAATTTCAACGCCGAGTCAGTTTCCTCCGTAGCGCGCGGAGATCATTCGGCGGAGTTTGGCCTGCCAATTGCGAAAAGAAATACTACCCTGTTGTGATGTGTTGCGATTGAAACGAAGGAAGAGAATAACCACCGAGGTTGAGTTCTCTATTATGCCAAAATCGGGTTGGAACATTCATTAAGTATGCTCAAGTATTTATCCATCTTTGCATTTGCGATATATGAGTTGTCTATGTCATTTCATTGGACACAATCTACTAATTTTCGACAAATGATGTGCACTAAATTGTTGGATAGCCAGTCTGCTTCATGTTATACCTTCACCCCATAACGCTTTTCTTTTCGCGGCGGATTATCGGAGATACATCTCGTAGATAATGCTCCAAGCTGGTCCTCTCGTTTTTACTGTTTGTCGACTGCTCGAAATCCATCACTCAAGTTGCCCGAGAGAAGAATATTTGTTAAGAGCTAGTATGTAAGCGGTGTGTGTGGAGATGCGGAATTCGGCATTGGAGAGTTGACCAAAACAGGAGGCCTTGACACATGCGAAGCTCCGCTCCGTTTCCGTTTCGAAGATTGATGGTTTTCGATTTATAAGATCGGTGCTTTCTTGGAAGATTCCTTTGTAAGACGGACAAATAGTGATCAGTAATCTGCTGGCTCTCCAACCCGTTCCATCTCCAAAGAGCACTGGGGGACGCTTAGTTGTTATTTGTTCCCTCCCTCCCTCTTCTCTCCCTCTTTATTTCTCTATAATTTCTAGATGGGCGCTTGCGGCATTTAGTTATCAGCGCACTACTCAGCGTCTCGCAGATAGCTGCCAACTATCTAAACCAGCCAGTGTTGGTTTACTGAAATGAATCCATTTCTGCTCCGTCCACGTACTCCCGAGCCGCCCTCTGTGTCTCGTCGAATCGGATAACTTGTCTGGCTGCTGACCTTGATCACGCTTATACACCATAGAGCGACAGAATAGGTCGTGTGCTTTGACCCTTGTGTCTCGCTCTTATGGAATGAGATGGAAAGACAAAATAAGCCAAACACTTTTTCTCCACTGATGGATTGTTGGCGCCGGCGGAAGGATCTAGATTTTCGTTGGCGTAGATCTTTTGTAAACCCACTGTGGCATGACAGAATAAATGGTGCAATTAGCTAATCCTTGTCATATGATAGCACTAGGGCACATAGTAGGATTAAGCAGATAGTTTTATCACACTTAGTACTCGATATGAAGTAACAAAAAGATTTTTAGGATGGCGAGGCGAAGATGTTCCTAGAGTCTGGAACAAGTCCCTTTCTCGGCATAGACTTGTATAATATGTGGACAATCTGGAAAGTGCCTACTATGGACAAGGCGACGAATAAAATGTGCATTCGACCCTTAGCAGTCCATCTCCACTAAGAACAGGAGGAGGGATTGAGTAGATACATTTGTCATCTGATGGTAGTCGATATGGAGTGACAATATTAGACAACCAGCCACAATGAGTTGACACTTGTGAGTCATGCAACTACGCTTAAGTAGGTACGGATGCAACCCCAGCTCCCCCAAGTTGGCTGAATTGAGCATCTCACTTCACGTGGCATACTCAAAATACCTTGTCCCACTGGTTGACTCAGGACGGGATATACCCGTCGACTAACAAAGTCCTAGCGTAGCACTCCGAAACGGTGGGGGTTTGTGGTGAGCATTGGATTTCTAATCTGCACTATTGCGCAATACGAGGAACACATCGACGGCGGAATTATGAACTATATAAGGCACAATAAGAAGATGAGGGTTTGGCCTTTTTGGTCTTGCCAGTATCGACTGAGTATCAACTAAATCACAAAGGCAAAAAGCAATCAACCCATCATCATGTCTAAGCTCTTCACTCCTCTCAAGGTGGGCCGCGTAGAGCTTGCCCACCGAATTGCCATGGCACCCATGACCCGATTCAGGGCCGACGATAACCATGTGCCCCTGCCTACTGTGAAGGAATACTATGCCCAGAGGACAGCTGTCCCTGGTTCTTTAGCCATCACCGAGGCTACCTTTATCACTCAGAAGGCTGGTGGCTACAAGAACGTTCCCGGCATCTACACACAAGAACAGATCGACGCCTGGAAGGATATTGTCGACGCTGTCCACGAGCAGGGTTCATACATCTATCTTCAGCTTTGGGCTCTGGGACGATCTGCCAAGGCTGAGGTTTTGAAGGAGGAGAGTGGTGCCGATCTGGTATCTGCTAGCGACGTTGCCGAGAAGGATGGTGGAAAGCCACGCCCGCTTACTGAGGAGGAGATTCTCGAGTACATCCAGGACTACACACAGGCTGCCAAGAATGCAATTGCCGCCGGCTTTGACGGAGTCGAGATCCACGGCGCCAACGGCTACCTGCTGGAGCAGTTCATCCAACAGTTTACCAACAAGCGAACGGATGCATGGGGTGGAAGCATTGAGAACCGCGCTCGCTTCACCCTTGAGGTGACCAAGGCTGTTGTTGCTGCCATTGGAGCAGACCGTACCGCCATCCGCTTTAGCCCATTTGCAGACTTCCTAGGCGATCTCGACTACGACCCCGTTCCCCAGTACCTCTATCTTGTTGAGCAGCTGAAGCCGTTCAACCTGGCATATGTCCACTTCGTCGAATCCCGTGAGAAGGGCAACGACCTGTCGCCAATCATCAAGGCGTATGACAACGCTGGCCCCGTCATCGTAGCTGGAGGTTTTGCGCTGGAGTCAAGCAAGAAGGCCGTTGATGAGGAGTACAAGGACTACGATGTCGTTGTTGCCATTGGCCGTCCTTACACATCTAACCCAGACCTACCGTTCCGCTTCAAGGAGGGTATCGAACTTGTGCCGTACCAGCGTGAGACGTTTTTTACTCCTAAGCTAGACAAGGGTTTCCACGATTTCCCTTTCAGTGAGCAGTTTACTCTGCTGAAAGCAAAGGCATAGACCACTCAACGGATGTTTATTGGGAAATACATTTAGATACTCTTGACAGTTTGATAGCATGTTTAGCGACGCATTAATACCATGTATGAAACACTTACACGCATCCTTCTTTGCTAGAGAGACCTGACTCGCTCTCAATCGTGAAGCTCCGGCCGATTCACAATGTCAATACACGTATCCCGCAACCTATACTTCATTCCACTGCGGTCCTTCCCTAGAGCTTACTCGAAACCCGTCATATCATCGATTAGATGTGGCGTAGTGACGATCATCGCGGCTTGGCGCCCGTCAGCACCCAAAATAGTACATGAGCTGAAAGTTCCATCGCCCCACAAGTTGGACTGGACTGAAGTGAGGAATTCGTGCGGAGATGTAATTATGTCATAGGACTGCGAATAAGTCGTGGATCATGGATGTCTAGCCAACTGTATAGATAAGTGCGTTGTCGTCTTCTTGTAAATAACTAACCCGAAGTTGGTCTTCAAGGACTGCTGAAACTCCGATCTGAACACTCTCTGCCCCATAATGGCAATGTCCTCTTCTCATCACAAAAGCGTCCCAAATATGCCTGAAAAGACAGACGAGCAAGAAAATCGAGAGCTCGCTGCTCAGTCTGGCCTAAGATGGGGGAAAACACCTTCTTCTTGCTGCAACATGGATCGACCACTTTCAGAACTACCAGAAGATCACCCGGTCCACAAAATCCCACTCAAAAAGCAAGAGCAAATGAGGCAGAAGGGAATCAACCCTGTGCTAAAAGTAGAGATGGATGAAGCAATGGGTAAGGGGCAATCAGGAGGGAAATTTTGGAAGAAATATGGTACTACAAGCATGGGTCCGTGGATGGTTTAAGACTGCCGGCCTTGATGACTTACGAGAGATCCTCTACCATTGGCAGCTAGCCGTTTGAGTGAGAATAAGTTTGCCGAAAATAATTACTTATTACGCATAAATCACGAAGTACTACCAAGAGCGTCGCCACTGTTACAAACTAATCATGCTTAATATTCATTACTACTAAAAAGGTAGCCTCTACACCCCTGTTTATTTCCAGAAGTCTGTGGATGCGCTCGGCGGGAAATCCGCCTTAGCAGTGCCAAACTTTGTGTTCTCCTTCGGCCCAAGAGTCAATTCCAGAACTCCGCCGTCGAGGAAGAAGCTATGCGTCACCCAGCCCTTGTTATAAGGCTTGCCATTTAGCTTGGCGCTCTGGATGTAGATATTGTTATAAGAAGCATCAAAGTTGATGTTTCGAATGGTAGCTGTCTTTCCTGAACGCGGGTCGGTGAACTTGACCTCGGGGAAGAAGGGTGGAATGATGATGTAGACATCTTGTCCGCTCATGGGGTAGAGACCCAACATGGTAAGGGCCGTGAAGCTACCCATAGCACCAGAGTCATCGTTTCCTGGAAGGCCACTTGTGGTATCGTTGAAGGCACTAGGGATATACTTGTGCGCATACTTGGCAGAGAGACCTGGACGGCCGGCATAATGGAAGATGAAGAGGAGAAGATAGGCTTGCTCATCGCCAATGTAGAATAAGCCAGGAGTATCGTGCATATACTCGAGACGGCGGACAAATTGGTCGGGGCCACCCAGTGTCGTGATTAGAGTTGCCTGATCGTGAGGCACGTAGAAGGTGTAGAGCCAAGAACCTGCTTCGTAGGTCTCATGGCCGCCAGGGTTGAGATAACAGCCTTCAAAGTTGTACAAGTCGGTGCAAATGGCTGGCTCTTGGAAGCCAAAAGTGCCATTAAGGTACCGAGGTTGCAAGAAACCGGTAAATCCACTGTCGGTAAACTGGCTGTAGTCCTGAGTTCCGGTCAGGTTCAGCTTAGATCGCGAGTCAGGATCAAACATGTTCTTCCAGTTCCCGGAGCGCTTCAGATACTTCTCCGCATCTCCGTGCTTTCCAAGGTCGCGGGCCATCTCAGCAATACAAAAATCGTTGTACGAGTACTCAATGGTTCTTGAGATGGATCTAGTGAAAAGACCATAGCCATTGGGGTCCCAGTCATCAGTTGGGATGTAGCCAAGAGTCTTCCAACTTTGCAGGCCTCCACGACCTTCAACTGTCCAAATCACACCCTCCTCTATTTTTTTTTTAACAACAAATGTCAGTAAATAGTCATTCAAAAACGAAACCATGTAAGGAAGTGTTACCTTCAGCATCAGATACAACTGCCTTGTAGCCGGTATCCCAGTCAATACCGTCCTTCAAGCCCTTCAGATACGAATCGGCCAACAAATTATCGGCATTGCTGCCACCCTGGGTAAAGCCCTTGCACAGCGACATGCGACAATCTGGTAGCTTGCCTTCATGGCGATATACATCAATGAGACTGCGAATCATCAAAGCTTGAGCATGAGGATCAACTAGAGTAAGAAGCGGATGTGTGCTTCGGAAGCTATCCCAGATGCAGTAGAATGAGTCAAAGTAGGGTTCGTTGCTCTTCCAGAGGGGATTTTCTCCTAAAATCACGATGAGAGATGATTCTATAACTTATTTGGTATCTCAATTCTCTTACCAGTATAGTCTTGAGGTGAAAGAAGCGTGCGATAGATGCCACTCCAGAAAGTTCTCTGAAGCGAGTCGCTTACGCCCGTGTTGTCGACCTTAATGACGCTGAGCTTCTTGCGCCATGCATCCTCAGCATCTGATCTAACAGACTCAAAGTTGAAGTTGGGAATTTCCTTCTCAGCATTGTGGCAGGCCTGATCAGTGCTGATGAACGAGAGTCCAACTCGAACCAGAATCGGGTTGTTTGCTGGAGGGTGGAACTGAACCCAAGCACCAGCTGGGAGAATTGGGTTTTGGCCATCGTCATAAGTACGGAAGCTCTTGCGGTCGCTGCTGGCCCGGTTGTTGATAAAGATTCCGGTGTTACGGAGTTTGGCACCACGGAAGTCAGCGCAGAAATACGACTTGTAGTTGCCGATGCCGAATGAGGGCCTAAAGGTACCATTACCCGAGATGCGACCAGTATGGGCATCAACTGAGATGATTGCATCGGTTCGAGAACCAGAGAGATCTGCCAAATCGGCCAAGATCAAAGGGCTATAAGGAGTCTTCCCATCGGCAGGAAGCTTGGTTGGGGATCCATCAGTTGGGAACGAGAATCGGTATAACGCAGTGTGGTTGGTGACAGTCATTTCAGCCTTGACTGAAGTGTTGAGCTGTATGGCAAAATAGCCCGGCTTTGCCACGACAGAGCTGTTTATCTTGTCCGACGCTCGCAGGGTCGAAGGGAAGTAGCAACGATTGATATCGTCATCGATACAACCTGTCTGGGGAAATAGAGGGAAATTTCCCAAAGATGCACCCTGTAGCACACCGATGTTAGAATATGAATATTTGCTATTCTATGAGTGATTCGGACGTAACTTACACCACCTGTTCCACTGTCATGCATGTGAGAGAATCCAGTGACTATTGAACTTGGTCAATTCTCGCATTCTCTTACCAGGATGATAATATGGGATCGCATACTCTGGCCATCGTTTGATGCATAGCCTCCTTGAATCTCCTTATTGCCATCTGCTACACTCTTTGCCATACCATCTTTGTTTTGCCCATCGAGATTAGTATTTGATACGCACCGGGAGGACAGGATGTGTATAGATGGATACTAACATGGAAGACTTGCGCCAGGAAAAACATGGCCTAGAGTGCAATTGATTAGTCCTAGCCTCTGGTTATCTCGAAAAACAATCTCGTACCTCCATTAGCGGTGCCGATTAATGGGTCGATGTAGTCTAGGACATCAAATGACGAGTGTTGATCCGCTGCTTGGCTCAATCCAAGCAACAGTGGCCAATAGGCCACCAATTGTTGAATATGCATGCTGCTGTTGAGATGTCGAAGCGCCAACTATCTGGTGAGTATGTTTTTCTACTCGTGGGAGGAAGCAGAACACTAACACAAGAAGAAGCCGCGACTGTAGGGTCTTGGGGAGGAAGCAGGTAGCCCTCGTACCACCTCGGAAGATTCCACGTGAAGAAGCTCGCCCTGTGAGTACCATTGGTGAATCATGTTGCGGGGACCGGTATTTATGTAGTACTATCCGACCTCCTTTGTTGGGCGTCTCGTGGCCATCCTCGCTTGGTTGGACAATTCTAAGACAGCGATCTCGCAGAGGAGCATTCGGCTCAGATTACTATCCATTCCCCCGCAACCTCATGGACTCACAAAGCTCAGAGATGGCGGGGGAAGCTCCGGGTAATACCACTCTGTCAGTGATCATTTCTTGAAGTGGAAACGCCTGCTGCAGGTTCAAGACACCATGTCACCTCAAATAACTGGCGATCAAGGTTGTTGGTTCCTGGTGATTCCGTCATCGCCATGATTGGACAAAGTGAAGTCGCTTCAAATAGCCGTCGGTATTCCTTCCATCAAACTGTTGTTCTTCCAGGGAAGTATTCTAGTACTATTGCTCAGTAACCATGATGAGGCTGGCGGAGATGTCCGTCGCAAGGGTAAAGCCGGCTGACATGAAAGTTTGAGGTCTCTGATATCATCCTTCAGCAACGTTTAATATGAGTGGCCAATGTTCCAGACCCACAGAGATGAACCCCTGTCTAAAATTTGCTAATTGTTGGCACCGCAGCTTGATGATGGTTACATGGAGGCAACTCCCCCTCATTTGTGGATCGTGATGCTCATACGATATGCATACTGTAGTTGTACTCATAATGAACGGAAGGTGATCGTGTCGGCCTAGGCCAATGGCTATGTTATCCGATGGCCCCGTCGTGATTTCCGTGGCCCTTAGGATGGAGAGATGGAAGGCTATCCGCATCTACCTGCATACAATGCTACCTGATGGTCATGCCATCACGCCCCAGACATTGGTGTCTTTGATCATTTAGGTAGGTGGACGGTGTGTTGGCGAGGGAAGCTCCTCCAAATGCGCCCTGGGTACAAGGGGCCAGTGGGTTCTTCAGGGTAAAGTATTTTTCTGTACTTTGTAGAGCACACGCGAATAATTTTTAATTCCGCCGGCAAGATCTGCAGTTGCGACATACATGATACAGTTCAAGCCGTCGGAGTTCGAGAGAAAGAGCACTTGGGAGGGCTATTTAGGGAAAGAAAAACGGATTGTGGAAGAAGGAGGAACTGGAAAGGGACGGCAAATGCCCATATAGGCTATTCAAGAAGCTTGAAAGCATTGCCCTAGTATGAGGTGTAGTATGCATAAATTTAACGGACATGGTTATTTCTTTATAGCTGATCGGCGTCAAACATATTTCTCCATCTTTCAAGGCCCTTTTGTTCCTGTGTGTAAATGTAGCAATGCTGGTCCTCTCTCACGAAATTTTCACCGTCTCCCTCATGAGTTGTATTTGTACCAGAATCATCTGGCCAACAACCATCAAAGAACTAAGCGGCACTTGTCCTAAATTCCGATGAACCGACGCCACAACGAAGCCGAACAGGCGATCGCACTACTGTCGGGTACTTCTGTCAGTGGCCCATGTTGGGAATTAGATCCATTGGTGGGGGAACGACGGCCCAGATCGCGGGGAAGAAGCGACGAGAAATTGCGCAGCAGCAAGGGGGATTTTTGGTGAGGAGGGCGAAAGAGAAATAGGCCGGAGTTTTCGGAGTCTGGAGCTGGACTTGTCTAATGCAGCTAAGACATGAGATGATGGTATCCATTTCATCCTGCAGCATCCTGTTTCTGCCTGTCTTTGCTTATGTGTTGCCTCATCCCATGTGCTTCTAAACCCTGTAAAGCTATGAGTGCCGTGACAATTTGCCCGCGGCACTTCAGCGACGGCTAAATGCCAAACCCCGGCATCACCCCCGGCATCAGGTCATACTTGCAATATAGTCTAGTATAGAAGCAAGATGCAGCTACCACGATTCGTCACAGAGCCTCGATTGGTACGTCGCCCTGACACGAGAGCAAGAGGCCCAAAGGGTGGAGGGGGAAAAGGTACGCCCCAAGAAATGCAGGGAGATAGTCTCAACAGCGAGACTCAACGCTTTTGTCTCATACGGGTAGGCAAATTGCACACAGGGAGGGTGGAAAGCACTTAATCATCAAAGTCTCATCTCTGTTGGTACGACACAAGGTTTTAATTATAGTACAGAGAATTTTAGAACAACAGAGGAAAAGGAGAATGATTCTCTATCGGGTAGTGTATCCTCCATCAATTACAATGTCGGCTCCGGTCGTATATGAACTAGCATCGCTGACGAGATAGACATACGCGCCCTTTAGTTCTTTAGCATCGCCATTGCGTCCCATTGGGATCATGCTCCTCCACAGTTCTTGCGTCTTGGGGTCGATAAAGTCGGACAGGCCGGTGTCGATATAGCCAGGCGAGATGCTGTTGACTCGGGCGAAATCGCGCCATTCGTTGGCCAGAGAGCGCGCCAGATGTATGCAGCCTGCCTTGGCAACGTTGTATGAGGTCTGTTCCTGAGGGAAGTTTGCGACGTGACCAGACATTGAAGCTGTGATGACAAAGGATCCGCGACCCTGCTTCTTGAAGTGAGCGCCGACGGCCTTTGCGCAGTACGCAGTGCCGCTCAGATCGATCTGGATAACATGATCCCAATCGCTAGAACTGCCATCGACAACTCCGCTGTTGGCTGTTGCACCGGCGCTGGCAAGTGGGAAAGAGGAAATGTCAGCAAATGATGGATCATATTCATTGGGGACAATAAAGGGAAATGTACTTGGCAATGAAGGCATCAATCTTGCCAAAATCGGAGACCACTTGGTTGACGAAGCGTTCAACGTCGGTGTACTCGCTCACATTGATCTTGTACACCTTGACCTTGACGCCGTATTCCTTCTCCAGCTCGGCAGCGTTTTTCTCTGCGCCCTCTTTGCGGGACGAATAAGTGATGGCGAGGTCGGCGCCCATCTCGGCGCAACCGCGCGCAGCTTCAATTCCCATGCCTCGGGGTCCGGAAGCTCCGGTGACGACAACGACCTTGCCCTTCAAGCTGAAGAGGTCGGTGAGGCGACTGGCTGTGGGGATAGTCTGAGGCATGATGGGCAGTACTTGGTGATGTGCTGTATGTTGGGTGGCCGATAGATCTCAATGGTTGGTGGATGGTGAGACGGGATCAAGAGGGAGCGGCTGCTGACGGGATACCCTTACTTTATTTATACGAGTTCGGGATACAAGTGGAACGTTGGACTGTGAAACGATAACCGGTTGCATGCGCAATGATTGAGTTTTCCTTCTCCTCATCTCGGTCCCTCAGCAAGGCACGCCTTGGGATTCGTGGAAGCACCAGTGGCGTTGCCCGTGTGGGTACGAGTCTCCTACTCAGGACGCCCGGATGCAGAGAATGACTGGATAGCATCAGGAGTGGCTTCACCAGGCAATCAGGAGATGGCCGGATAGGCTGCGGGATGAAGAGGGTGTGATGTCATGGTTCATGCGGAGAACGGGAGCTTCCTCTCGTTCGATACCCGCGTCCCTTGAGCTGGATACATACAACATAGCAAGACTAACTCTTTGAAGTGTTGTCCTAGCTGTGGTTAAGGTTAAGCAGCACACCAACATGAGTTTGTGTCTATTCAGACGAATCTGCTTTACCATCACCGTCTCTTCTGGCCTCGTTGATCAACCGCTTGTCCGGACAATCCAAAGGCTTCTAATTGCCCGCTATTCCCAGATACTCATGATGCATGTCACCACCAACAACGTCATCATCTCTTCAATCCGCGGTTAACTCCATTACCCCACCTCCCGGATCCGTATTCCCACATTTCTCGGGCTTGGCTCCCAACATGTCCCTCACCTTGGACGGATTGCCGAGAACTTGGGCTGCTTACCAGCAAGTGAATCAGCATTGAAAATGATGATTATTTGCTTTGTGATGTATTTGTGTTATCACGAATCATCATAACCGCCATTTCTTTTCTCAAATCCCGTCAAATTGGGTTGAAAGCTTTGTCTTCGGACGTTGCCGTTGCCGATCATTTGCTAGTCTCACCCAGCACTTGACTTGCATCGAAATGGGTAAGATTTGCAAAAAGCCACTCATTCGCCCGACCCGTTTCAGCAAGGAAGCTTTACAAGAAGAGCCGCGTAAATGGCCGTTGTTGGTCATTGTAAAGCAAATGTCAGCGTATCTTCCAAACGAAATGTTCAATGTCAAAACTCGGGCCCTCGCGCATCAGCGGCAGGCACCGCTTTGCAATAAAAAGGGCCATTTCCCTTTATTCCTGCTGGCTAGGACACTGGACTGGGTTGCTGGCCAATTGATTATAACCCTATGGTTTGGTATTGTGTCTCAGATGGCTTTCTTTATTTTTACTATTGATCTTGCTGGCAGTGAGTTTGACCATGACGCTATAGTGCATCAAATCAGCTGTCATGTCGCTGTGCATCATGCACATTTACGCATTTTATGGGATCAAGAGAGCAAAGCAACCAAGTTATGTTGAACAGAGAGGATGGTGTTTATATCAAAGAAGAAATAAATGGTAATGGGGAATAGTTTGCTGGAGGCGCTGACAGCTAGTTACATTTACAGAGATGAGAGGTAACGCTCGGGAAGTGAAGATCTACGTTGTTTACTTCCGAGGAAAGCGCCAATGATGCCAAGAATGTGCGCAGAAATATCAGATGGTGATATGCAGACTTTCATGGTCTTCAATTGTTAGCATAATGATGTGAAATACTCTCCAACATCTACCCTCAGAAAGGGAATTGGTAGACACAATACGAATACACCTTACTAAAACAAAAGTTTGACGATTACTACAACTCTTATACCGTGCCGCCATTTCGCAACTTTGGTTCAATTATTACAACACGAAAAATGAGAAGAAACACTAAAGAAAACGGACGGTCGTAATGAAGATATTGTGAAAAACATCAAAATACATGCCATAGACCTATCACAGCCCTCGCTGGGAGAAGGCTGAAAGAGAGCTGTTAATTTTGAACTAAACCACTGTAGCTGTTGAAAGGAATATAGAATAGAGGGAAATTCCCTTGTATAAAGGATAAGAGATAAATATAGTCATTATCTGCTACCCAACTATGAGAAAGCAGTGGGAATTCAACACTTCTACCTCCTTGGCTTCTCCAATCTTCCCTGTGACCGGACTTCTGATAATAACAGAGCTTTACATCTCCTACTCCTGAGGCTTTGACTAAAGTAACTCTCGATAGACTTTGAAATCTGGTAAGTTGTTCCATAGAAATGACCCCCAATGCAGATATATGGTTCAAAATATCGAGGAAGATTTATACGTTGAAACTGTCAATGTGTATCTTCAATATACGAATAGTATAGATCAATGATATCACGTAGACAACCAAGGCCATTGGTTTCCCTTTGAATAAGGACACTTTGACAAAATGATTCCTCTAGCTATTGGTAGAAAAACTGACGTTTATTTCACACCGTTGTGTATAGTGTTATAAATTATTGGCGAGCTACTCAGCATGTTTGGCTCAGCTTGCCGCATTTTATTTCAGAGTCAAGATTTCTACAATACTGGCTTCATACTCCTCGAATCAATCTTGAGAAATATTTTCTTGATGTTATTGTTGTGTGCTGACACATTCAGGCTATGCTGATATCTGTTTTGCTTAGGTATACTGTTATACGCTTCAGCCTCGTATCTTCTATTAGTATTAAAGGTAGATCTCATTGACGATTAGATGTATGGAATACTGTTACATGGCAACAAGTTCCCTTCCGAGAACATAAACCCCTCAAGCACGAGATCAGTCGAAAATGAAACTTATAAAGTCAACTATTATAGATTCGCTAGAAGGCTTGAGATAGACGACGAGAAAAGCCATTTAAATGAGATTTTATTTAAACATAGTAATCTTAAATTCTCTGAAAGAAATTGACGAAAGGAATGGAATGGAAAGAATGCAAAGGAACGGATGGTGTGTTTGGGGACCCCTGTCAGATATCGTCACCACCATGAATGAGTTCTCCAGCTGCGGGCAGTACTTTAATCGTGAGAAATAACACACTACCGTTCGACATTATGAGCCCGGAAGCTTGAATTTGACTCCGGGGCAAATAATTTCCGCATGTGTTTCATTCTTGCTTGCTTGAATAGTAAGATGAACGTCTCGTCTCGTCTCGCTGGCACAGAGTAAACCATAGGCTCCCGTAGCAGCTTTCTTTTATGTCGGAAATGGCAACCGGGATAAATATCGCATAGGACTATTGACCATTCGCATGCAATATCGTTTTTTAATTGTATCATCCATTAGTAAGCACCCGGCCAATTGGTTTGGGTGCTCTCCGTGAAGCATCCCGCTGTCGTCATCTTGGTCTAAATCACGACTCACGAATCAGCTTTAGCCGATATTCATCTTCCTGCAACACCACTGATAGTCCATGCTATCGCAAGCATTCGGTACTTGATAAAGCCAGTAATATACGTCTTTTTAATAAGATGCTCAAGCAAAACCCACTTAGAGTGTTATCAGGATCCGGGGTTGACAGCTCAAACCCCCCACGATTGCCATCTTTGGTAGGCGTAAGGCGTGATTATCGCATACGATACGCATGTTGCAAGCTTTGCCTTACCTTCCACACTTGACAACCCCGCAGTTCACCATATTGGATATCGATCACGATCAAGACTTGACATGCCGCCATCGGGAGAAATCTTGACGTAAGGTGCCGATGTTCCGAACGTGGGAGACCGGAAGACGCTCATATCACGTCTCTGTCGGGCCTATATAATGGGCGACATTGCTCGTTCGATGATGTCGGATGTTTGGAGCGTCGCTATAACACGACATACGTCTATCGTACTTTAGTCAACTTGTACCTTGGTAAATTCAGCTCTAATTCAAGATGTCAGCAACAAAGACAGTGACGCAGTCAGGCACTGCTGTTGGGAAGCTCACGCTCGCATATGATGATGCGATCCACCAAAAGGTAAGCGATATACCGAATATCATCACGTGCCTTCACTAGAAACACACATTTTGACTCTTTTGTCCACAGTATCGATACCATGAGTATCTCCCCGTCTACGACGAAGAGACTCACTTTGACCCGATTCAGCCATTCGAGTTCACGGATCGGGGACTTGCAGCGGACAAAGCCAAGTCTGCTCTGTTGTCCAGTGCCAATGCTGATCTCAAGGTGGCCAAAATCACACCAGTTATCGGTACCGAGATTAGAGGCCTTCAGTTGTCCCAATTGAATGACACGCAGAAGAATGAACTTGCGCTTCTGATCGCGGAGAGGGGTGTAGTCATCTTCCGCGGACAAGACTTCAAGGATATTGGGCCAGAGAAACAGAAAGATTTTGCGAGATATTTCGGACCACTACACGTTCATGTCAGTAGCTTCATGTGGACGTGACAACGCAAATACTGACCGAATTCTCAGCCCGTTGGAGCTCATGTCAAGGACCATCTCGAGTATCACAACATCTACCTTGGTCCCGACAACGAATATCGGGCACGACAGCGAAGGGAAAGACTGACAACTACCGGGTATCACTCCGATGTTTCATACGAACATCAGCCACCCGGCATCACCATTCTCACCCTCCTTTCCGTCCCTCCAACTGGTGGCGATACCGCATGGGCATCACAAACCGCAGCATACGCTCGCTTGTCGCAGCCAATCAAGACTCTTCTTGAGGGCCTGCGTGCTGAACACAGCGGTTTCAACCAGGCAGAGAACGCCCGTCGTGATGGAAAGTATGTCCGCCGAGAGCCGGTGAAGTCGGAGCACCCCATCGTGAGGGTTCACCCAGTAAGTCGTGTGTAATAGACTGAGGCATGAATGTGTGGTGCTAATTATGGGTTTCAAGGTGACGGGTGAAAAGGCTCTGTTTGTTAACAAGGGCTTCACCAAGCGCATTATTGGCCTCCAGCATGAGGAGTCGGATGCTCTTTTGCAGCTCCTGTTCAACGTAAGCATCGGATACATAATTTGCCGACACATTGTGTTCACGTCGCTGACTATCTTCCTTCAATCACAGCACATCGCCCTTGGACAGGACTTCCAGGTTCGTGTCAAGTGGGAAGAGGGTACGGTTGCGCTGTGGGATAACCGCGTCACAGCCCACACTGCCATCTCTGACTTTGACATTCACAACCCCCAGGAAGGACTCCGCCATGGAGTCCGACTAACAACACAGGCGGATAAGCCATCGGGCGTGAATGGACTCGAGTCGGTGTGGTAACAGATAAAAGGGTAGACTTGAGCCGATTGGCCAGTATACGACTAGACATAGCGTATAGGAAGAATGTTCAACGCATTGCTGAGTCTCCATGGAGAAACGAAATCTCCTCTTGCTTCGTATCGTTCGGCTCTTTTAGGCAGAAGTGCTCGTGAAATGCTACTATGCGCTAGGACTGGGCGTAAACTGCAAAGTGTCTCGATTCCAAATCCCACATAAGCTACCGACTACGCCATATCCTCCTGGAGCTGATTAAAGCAGCCATCCACCATCCGGATCTGCAGCCGGAATGTTTTGCGTCTAATGCTGTCATAGCAGGGCGCTTGTTTAGGCAATACGCATTTGTCATTTGAACTGCTGTGAATTAGCACAGTGTGGCCCAGATCCTGGTATAAGCTTGTCTGGATCCCTGAGTCAGTTGTGCAAGTAGTAGTTGTGTCATTCACATAGTCTATAGTGAATACAAAACCCTGACCATCATATCAAAACAGCTTCTGCAATATACAATTTGTCTGGCTATATTCCTTACGTCCTCTGGCTGCCCTTCGTATCCGGTCACTAGGGCAATCGAATGCTACAACTGCCGAGACAGGACTTGCTTTAGTAAAGCTGACAATAGCAAGCTTTCGCGACCGACCAAATCACATGACTCGTCCTAGAAGAACGAATAAGCCGATTGTCCGATGTTCATCTACGAAGGAACGCCAAGTAGCGACAGCTTCAGACCAGAGCCTGCTGTTGCCAAGATGGAGAATACAAACTCATATAATTCCATTAAAAGTCGCCAAAGAAACATCTTGGGCACCTTTTCATTCTTGCCTCCATTGGTACCTGATGATGGAATTGTGTCTAATACCGCGGCGCCCGAAAAGGGCCAGCCGCCGAAAAGGAGGAAGCAACAGATCTTACGAGCACAGAGGTAAGTTGGCATTCATTTTGTTGAACGTTTTATAAAACGCCAACTCTATCACAGAAGCCACAGACAGAGAACAAAGGATTACATGGATGCGCTTGAACAAGAGGTCCTACGTCTCCGAGCAGAGGGCGATCGCCTGAATCAAATCGCTACCAACTGGAAGAAGTGTGTCGTGGCCTTGGTCAATTCAGGTAACACGCCGGTATTAAACATACACCACATATCACAATTTGGTCCTGGTATATTCCTCTGGTCGGTATCAAGCTCTAGCGTAGAAATAACTATCGATGATCCGGCCCTCTTTATGACTCACGAGTACCAGTGGCCGGCATATCAACAACAGTCCATGATATATCCCAGTATGGATATGATACCGCACATTAACATTGAAGATGCTTCAGAAGAGTTCCTCCTGAGAAATTGTACGTCGCCATGCTGTGTTGTATCAGGTCGAGTTGTTCACTAACCGCCTGTTTAGTCCATGAGAATGTCATTCCCACGCTGGACGTGACGGAGTCGACTAACCAAGGCTATTCCAAGCACATTCTTCCACTTGCATTCAAGCATCAAATGGTTCGAAGTTCCATATTGGCAGCATCTGCCAGTCATATACAAATTACCCAAGGCTCCAAATCCATGGTCGACAGGCTCAACTACAGATCAACAGCACTTGCTGAACTAAGACAAATCTCGGCACGACCAGAAACAGATTCTTCTGCGCCTCTTGCTACAATCCTGGGCCTGATGATCGACGATATGATATGCGGCCACAGAGAGTGCCCTGCTTTACTAAAGCTTGCCCAATTCTGGGTTCGCAAAGACTGCCCTTTTAGTACCGATCCGGCCGAAAAAGCAACACGCCGGTTCTTGCTAGACCAAGTGCAGCTGTGCGTAATGGACTATCGTATATACATACCCAATTCATGAAGCTTCCACTGACACGATATTTCATGGTATAGGTTGAAAGCAGTCGTTTGTCCTCTTTACCAGTTCAACAAGCTCTTGAGCAAAGATCGCCAAGTCTCGGACGGTAGACAAGCATTGTCGCTCAACCAGAAAGATTTATTCGAAGTTTTTTCTTCGATGGAAAGCGCGGTGGCACAAGCATGCCATATATACTCACTACCGACTACCAGCAGTCCATTTGAAAGCAGCGGCTCGGATTCGGATTCGTCATCCGACGATTTCAACAAATTGCTAGACAAACTTCAGATTACTGTGCGCAAGATTCCTCCATATTCCTTGGGAGAGAACTCTTTGACATGGGTATACTTTGTTGCGGCCTCAAGGAGCCGACGCATCGATCACAACGCCTTTTTCGTCGCTAGACTTGCAGAACTACTGCAGCGCATTGGACACGACAGGGTGAATGAGCTATTAGCGGGATTAATTTGATGGGGAGCAGGCGATTTTTGTAAATTTAGTGATATCATATCGTCTATTAACTATTCGACGAGCTACATGTCCACATCGCATAGAAGTGGATTGTGTTTTGTTTCGCATATGTAGCATTTTCTCCAGGCATAGGTGAAGGAGGGTATATAGCTACACTGAGCTCATGGAGCAAAACCATCATTCAGTTTAATGAAGCCTAATTGCTGCATTGCCACAAGACCAGACTCTTCTCCCGTCTCCTCCAAAATCTTGCCATTCTCTAGCTTATAGATTGTTGTGCCGGAAAATCTCATTTCTTTGCCGGTATTAGGCTCGGGCAGACTTCCGACAGGAAGATCGTAAAACGCCGGTCCGGTATGCTTACCACCACCAAACCAGCGCGCAACCACGTAGTTTTCCTCGGCAATCAAGGGGAAAGGAGACAGCAGTCTAAATGATATGTCTGGAAACGCCTAATTAAGCCATTTATTGTTAGCAAGACAGGTCGCCCGACATAGGTGGTTATGTGCAGACTAACTTGCTTAAACTTGGCTAAGCACTCCTTAGTAGAGGCTTTGCCCAGCAGTCGTCCATGCATGGGATAGAAAACCGTTACATTGTCGGCGCAAAGTTCGTCGACGATGTCTGGGTTCCCATTGGTCCAGAACTCCTGGAAATACCGCGTAACAACTTGGCGGTTCAGCTCTGGTACAGAGAGACCATTCATCTTGCCTTGCTATTGTTGTAATTGACTGTTCACGTTACTCCAGATACTTTGAAGTATGCTCAGCTTGAGGAGAGGTTGGAATGAAAAAGTTTAATCCAAGGCGTTCGCTTAGGACATAGAAGGCCGACACAAGGGTTAACCTGATGCTTGGCTTTAAGCCGATACGAATGCAGGGTGATATCAAAGCTAAGCAAGTGTGTAATGGAAAAATGGGCCAGAAACGGAGTGGGTAAATAGTTGTCGCTGTTACCGGTTATCGACGTATGCAATAAACGACAAATAATTGTATTAGTGGTTGACAAACACCCGACAACTAGCGAAACCTTACAGCGGCCCGGGCATTGTATGCCGGTCTTATGAAGTAATTTTGACGCTATGCGCCTAGGATACAATAGCTACAGAGATAGGCCGTCAGATCATAGGCGTTGAGCGGGAAAATGAGGGGCTCTGGTTGAGTGCAGCGGTTTCTTGACAGTGTCAGTTTGTTTCCGACACTTTTACGACTCACAAGACTGAGTTCTTTCAATAGCTATCATGTTCCTGGTCCTGCTTCGTAATTCTACATTAATAATTTTCTAGTAGCTCAAAGGCGTATGCGATTACTATTCCATTTGCTTAGATGCTTCACTCCATGGCTGTGAGCGGGCCCGCTGCATGTTCTCCGTGTGGCCGTGACACTCGTAGGTTAGGATGCTTGTGGCTAATCAGCTGTTGTTCGCATCATCAATGTGGAATTATCAAGGGCTAGTTACCTAGATACTGAGTCGGGGCTGACAAAGATAGCTTGACTCCTGTTCCTCACAAGTTACATCAAGGAGCATGTTGCTTTCAACCTTTTTTTCCTCTTCGTTGACAAGGATACATTGAGCTGTCAGGTAGCTATGGTTCTTTCCGTTGGCATCAATCTTCCGCTTCTAGTTAGCTCAATGTTTTCGCCTCCGGCAGCTTAGCTCGTTTGTTTCCGTCGCTTAGCTCTGTCGTTTCGTTTGTGGGAGTCCAGAACAGGCATTACATCCATACCCAGAACAAGCAATACAGCCCGTCTGTAGAAGGCGTCAACCTTACATGTCTTGTTTATCGTCGTCTGACTCTATATCCCACCAATAATACTATAGACAAGCTGCGCATCCACTTCACATTCTACGCCAATTGTATCTAGAGATAGTATTGGTATGTACTTGCCCGTGGATCTGGCTTTGTTTCGTTTCCGATATTGAGACAATACGTCGCAGTCGTGATGAGTCTTGGTCGCCACCTTTCAATATCTTCACATCTCATTACTGGGATACATACTTGTAGTGCGTCTCTTGGTCAAGTATTATCTGCTTATTTTTGTCCTTTTCAATACACTATCATCAAATACCTATCCTTTTCGTGCTGATCGGTATCACACATATTACATGCATATTACGAAGCCTCTTCTCTAAAAGCTGCCTCCACGGCTTCATATGTATATTGGTCCCTTCGGGAATTTAACTAGGCTCAGTTCCAACGTCATTAAATTGTTAGTGTAAAGAATATGCCTCCCAGAATGCTTTCCCAGGCGTAAGAAACACTTTGTTCGACCATATAAAACTACCAAGGAAGCTTTCTGTTTCTTTCCAGTCAGGGAAGATAGCATCATATCCAGATTGGTCAAGTAACAGTATGTACTCAGATCTGGTCACTCCAAGTTGGGCAAAGGTACCGCCAACTATGGTGCACCACAGCAAAGCATCTCTATGACCTTCCCACAAAACATCTCTTTTCACCTTTTGCAAGACACGCAGCAGTTTTGCTGATATATGGGATGGGATGAAATGGCCAGCCCAAATGTCCGTAAACAGCATATAAGCACATAGATATAATGTGAGTATGCAGCATGCCACTACTTCATTATCCTCACCTGCCGCCAAAAGGTGCGAGTAAAGACGAGACTCCACCCATGCTTGATAATTATCCATGTGGAGAATAGAGGTTGAGTCATCGAGATCCATGTGTGACGACTCTCTGAAATGCTGTAAAGCATAAACGTCTTCAATGACTGTGGTCAAGTCGTCTCCGAAAGCGTGCTTCAATGGCTCGAATCCGGGTGGTAGGGTATATAGAGAGGAGATAAATGGACTGCGACCCCAGTAAAGTTCTGGGAAAGTTTCATGGTTGAATCTGCGGTCGGAGCCTATGATCCAGGCCGCGTTCGAGTCTTGCCAAAAGATTGCACTGTTGAGATTAGAACACGTGTCCGACAATGGGTGGAGGAATTCTAGCTCAGGTACTTACCGCTTAATGCCATCATGAAGATGTATTAGCTTGGAGTCGCAGAAATTTAACAGTTGCATAATGCCGGTCAGGTGCATTTCTACTCGTGGTTTGTTCCCGAGCCGCCACTATACAATCTTCTTAGCGATGAAACGTCAAGGATTTGCAATACTAACCTCCACTCCTATTAGTAACAAGATGGCTCCTATCATTTGAGAAACGGCGTTGGGGTCAAGCGCAGCTCCAATTTTCTGGTTAAGGTGTTGAATAGTGGTGTTTTTAAAAGTGACGCATTCCTGCGTGACATGGTATTCATTTGCAGCAAATGAAAGCGAGAGCATGATGGCATTTGAGAGAGCTGCATCGTTAAAGCCGTCGTGAAATAGTCGATGGAACTTTTGGTGTGCTGTTGTTTCTGTAAAGTTGCACACCGGTTCCAAGGCTTGAGATGTAGTTCCTAAAGTATGTTAGTATTGGACTTTGCCGGATAAACTACGAACTGTACCATTTGTTACGAGAGATTGAAGTCGCGTAGAATTGCTGATGGAAAGTGACTGAAAAGGATCGAGCTGTTGAATTTCACCTGGCGCTTTGTACTCGTGACTATGCCTCTTCGCGGAGGTGTTCTGGAGTCTATCGGTTTTAAAATGACGGAAATTTCCAGTTGAATCAGTAACTTTCTTTTTGCGTCCGTTCAAGGCTTTCTTGGCGCCATGACTGCGTATAACTCTCTGGATTGACTTCAACTTTATGGTGTTAGGGTCTTGGAAAGTGATGAAACGGAATTTGTCCCCAGTTTCCATCTCAGAATTTTTCCTTCGTGGAAAGCCTTGTGTAGTTGGCTCGGTGGTGGGCCATTGCTCATCAACCATCTTCTCATTGATCGAAACTGAACTGGATTATCTGTACCTTGGCCGACTTATACAACAAGCAATCAGGAATGAGTAGCCGGGATTTCTGAGTTGAGGGCAGTTTTGTAAACTGAATCTGGTATCGGCTTGAACTATTAGGTTTGGACAATAAATAAGTACCCAAGAAGCCTGTAAATGACAGAAATCACTATTTGTGGATGACTGCAGCGTGAAGGCAACGACAAACAAATTAAAATGAAGTATACCTAGGCATAGCCAGCTGCAGCGCTTTGCTAAGCCGGAGCAAAAGCCGCTTCTTGGTAATTCCACGGCATGTCAAGGCGGCTAAACCTGTACAGGCAATTTGACTACTGTCTCAATATACGAGTTTAGCATAGCTTGTTTTGCCGATAGAATCGAGCTTTTTAGGCCGAATCATGCCAATTTCCATTTGCTCCTCGTATTCGCCGCCCTGATTCAAGATCCCAATACCCTTTCAGCATTATCAGTCGCCATTTGATTCTGATATATCACGGAGTAAGTTACCTAAAGTAGATGCTCATCAGCTTACCGTAACACTTTAGCATGGGAGGGTATAGTTTACCTCCAATAGATGAACTGCCGAGGGACATCCCACTATAATTGCTTGTCTTATGTTCCCGTAATAATTCGGTAGCTTCAGAATCATGCCTATGAGAGGGGAACTGAGTAGTCGCATACGAAGAAGCTTTATCACCTCATTCGTCTAGATACAGTTCCCGAATCGGAATTGGACTGCAATATACGGAGCTGAATGTAGTGTTTTTTTGGCATAAGTAAATTGGAGTAGTATTGATCATTAATTACACGCTTAGAAGACTCACGGCATCCTTGATCCTATATAACTCCATATTCCCTACTTCCCCAACCTATTCTTTATTGCTTCGGCGCGCCAATACTATCGGCCCATTCTTCGACGGTCATGACGCGCTCCACGAGCAAAGGCCAGATCAAATTGACAGCTGCATCCTTTTGTTCAATTGTGAAGCCAGCCGTCGCATTAGAACTTGGGGTCAAGTTAGCGCAGATATTCTTTAAGTGTTAGACGTTTACTCACAGCAGTGTCACATCATATCCCAGCTCTTTGCCATATCGCGCTGTGCATTCCAGGCACTGGTTACTAGTCATACCTGCGCAGACTAATTTGGTGATGTCGCGTTGATGAAGTAGGTAGTCCAGATCAGTGTTCTGAAACGAACTAAGAATACCTATGTGTCAGCTGATTGCTCTTTCACGAGCGTCAGCAAGGACGGCTCTACCCACCTGGCGTTCCAGTGCTTTGATACGACTACATCGTCGTTCGCAAGGTCGGGTTCTATTCCTTTATAAATCTGAGCTCCCCAGCTGCCTTCCTCAATCACACGGCCTTCTTTCATCCCTATATGATACAACGTCACACGGTTCCACCCATCATAATTGCCCGGTTTGTACTGCTGATGCAAGCAATAGAAGATTGGGATATGCGCAGCTCTTGCAGCTTGGATCAGTTTCTGCATGTGTTTCACTGTTTTGGTAGCCTCCAAGCTCTCTTTCACGTTGCCGTACTATTTACCCTCAGAGTGAATAAAGTTGTTGTAAGGATCAATAAGAAGGACTGCGGTTCCGCTTGTAGATGTCATTTTGCTAATTGTGTGACGTAGAAATAATACTGATAAAAAAGAGAGGGAATTCTGGCTAGGCCAAATGAACCAATATTTATTATTATCTAATCTATTCATTCAAGGTATCAGCAGATGGAGGCGTTTACATAGTTTTGGACGGAATTTTTATGTTTTGTGATGCCAAAAACGGGAACATCTGAATTTCCCCAATCCGCATAAGCCGTATTTGTTTAAAGTAGTCAAAATTGCTTATTTGTATTCCAAAGAGCCCGCAACTGAGTTGGCTAAAATTTATCATCCATTCAATAGACTATCAGACTTGTATGAACAGTTAGACGGATGATATGGATTACCTACTTCGGAATGAGTTAAGGCTTGAATTTCCGTCGAATTCAATCCTGGCGGCTTTCGTACAAATCCAAATGTATTTGAGTGCGGCTAATACTTGCTTAGAGATCCTGCACCATTATTATTAATAATAAATAAAGAACTAGTCCGCTTTTCTCTATTGTTTAAATCCCCCCTAGTGTATTCCCTTGTGCCTAAGAGCAGTGTGTGGAATACAGCATATGGGTTATACTCCGAGTATTCCGGTGGAGGCATTGGTCATTCGGTAACTACGTCAAACTGTGGAAGGGACTAGAAAAATAATCTCAATTCTGCGATAATATTATATATCATAGCATCTTCACTTCGCAGTGTGACCTCCTTTCTCATCTATTAGCTATGTATTTTTGTTTCAAACCACTTCTTTGCTTGACACTAACAATAGGGTAATTCAAGCTATCCACTATCAACTTTACGCCGCCTTGTAGCTACATAAGTCTGGTATCCAAGACAAGAGGGATAAGGTCAATGAAACAATGCAGAAGCTCTCTAGCTACTATTTCGCAACCAGTTAAATAATAATGGCTACATTGGTCTCTAACACCGTTGAAAAAGGGGAAGAGACTCTTTTAATATGATTCCATTCAAAGCCACAGACCAAGCTCGAAACTGATGCTTCTTTTCGGCTACCCAGCTTCAATGTCTCTGAAACACTTCGTGAAATGAACCATTAACTCAGCTTACATAGAAGTAAAAGATTACTTTAAGAGGAAGAACATGTAGTATTTTTTTTAACTGGAAGAGAGGCGGAAATTGTCATACTGAATCAAGAATAAGAGACCTGGACAACATAACGCTCCAAAGTCAAATACAAAGAATAAGCCGATGGAATTTCCCGTTGCAGACAAGCATTCGAGCTGACATGACTTATATTATAGGGTGCAATTGACTCCGTAGCGGGCCTTGGGCAAACCTAGAAGCTAGCGGAGAATTTTTAGGACTGCATGTGCGGACCAGGGGCGGGCAGGGGACGTCGTCGTGTCTATGTAGTGAGGTTCTCTGCGCAAGCCTTTAGCAACACTGCGGATCTCATGAACAAACCATAGAAGCCAACCATTACTTCGTCGGGCGTTTGTCCGGGCATTATGGAAATATAAGTTGTAAAGTTGTAATATACGCTATTGAGTCGCAATAAGCGGTTTCTTGATAATCTTAATAGCTAGTAGGTCTAACCTGAATTGCTTGGACATTCCAGAGTGGATTGTATAATTACAAACATGAATTGCTTACAATGATATTATGTAAATGAGATAGAATGGGATAGTGTCAACAACCGTCTGAAACAATGGAGTATGACAAATTTCTAATCTTTGTAAATATATAAGCTGTTTGGTCTCTGGATATTGAGATTGGTTCTCATCATCAAACATACAGTCGCGAAAGCAACACACACCAATATTTTGCAACGCCGTTATACCCAAACAAACCAAATATATTACACCATGCTCTTTAACGACACTGCTTCTCTGGCAGTTGCCCTGTTTACTGCTGTGGCAACTGCTGCTTCGGTTCCGGCCTGGGAGGATTGGGCACATGGCCGAGTCCAACTCAAGAATGTTAGCATGCATTTCCGTTATGCCGGCAGTGGTCCTCCATTACTTCTCGTACACGGAAATCCTCAACACAGTGTAAGTTCTGGCATATCAATGTCTCTTTCTCAGTAGCTAACAACTCTTCATCAAGATCACCTGGCGTCTTTTAGGTCCTGCTATGGCAGAACATTATACCGTTATCGCACCTGACAATCGTGGAATGGGAGATAGCAGTCTTGCTCCCAATGCCGATTATACTGCGGCTTCTATGGCTTCAGATCTTGAGGGATTGCTATCCTTCCTCAACATCAATAAGACATTTGCCTTCTCGTACGACAAGGGAGTTGGCGCAGCTGTAGCACTGGCAGCGAATAAGCCTTCTCTGATTCAAGCGTTAGCTGTCTCGGAGTATGCACTGCCAGGTTTCGGCTACGAGAGCTTGTGGACTCCTCAGTATAACTGGGATGCGTATGGCAACTGGGAATTGGCGTGGTGGAGTGTGCCTGAGGCTGCCGAACGCTTTATTCAAGGGCGTGTGCGCGAGGTTATCGGATGGTTCTTTTACCATACCTCATATTCAGGCGCTTCCTCTATCCCGTTGTCGGCTGTGGATGAGGTTGTTGATAGTATCAACAAACCAGGCTTCCTCAGGAGCATGCTAGGCCCCTTTGCTGCCTCTACCATGGGAGCTGATGCTGCATTCTTTAATTCTACCATACGCCAGCATCCTCTGCCAATGCCGTTCCTAGGATAGGGTGGTGAAGCAGGCACCGCAGCGATATTGCATGATCTGTGGACACCAGTCGGAACCAACGTGGAGGTCGACATTGTGCCTAAAGCTGGACACTTCCCAGCTGATGAAAATCCAGCTTGGGTTGCCCAACGCATCAACAAATTTTACAATCCATACAAGAAGGGGGTCTCAGCAATTGACTTGTCATGGCTGACAAACAAGGTCACGCTGGTATAAACGCTGCTTTGGCTCTCATATATTGATATCCATCAGTAGGCTCAATTTCTGACTTGGCTGAAGCTTATACATCTTGGGATAGACAGTTGCTCACGTGGATTGAGAGTCTATTAGCTAGATTGAGATCTCAAAAGTGCCTTCGATATATTCACCCATGGAACTCCTACCTATATCTATTATTCTAAGAGTTTTTGTTAAGATCCTTCATCTCTAGATCTAAAAGTGACTTCATAGTCACAAACATTAATACATCTATATTAGTGTTCATAAATAGATTCTCTTTAAAATTGTCTTCCCACTGTCTCTGTCACCGCAACATCGACAAATTGATCTGTTTTTAGTTGAATGTTAATTAAGCTATCGACGAAAAAGATCCTTGAGTTATAAAGTTTTAGAAAATATAGAGTACATCGAGAAGCTTTCATAGAGTTCAGAGACAGTTTAAGCGAAGGTTAAGGGTATGTGAGGCCCCAAGATACTATTATTCTTTTCTGTGACACAAACGCGGTTACAAGTGCCTTAATATTAGCATTATCCATTGAGAAGTGCCCGTAGAAGCCCCTGCCCCTTACAAGATCTCATTCTATATCTATTTATAGGTAGAGACCTAATCAATCCAAATGAATGCTTTGTCAATGCTCATCGATCTAATAACTAACTATTCTTCGAGGTTATAAACTTAAGCCCGAACCGACTTAGTTACTTACGGTTGTTGTTGCTATATGAGAATTGGGATGGGCGACTGCTCTCATCTATCCGTACGACCTCTCCATTCATCAACTCGGGTTATCCAATCACGAATGAGAGCTTCGAAAACACCAGTCTCATCAATCGGAAGCCCATGCGTGCCACGATCCAGAACAGCGAACGTGGATCGGGGGTAGAGCTCCAGCAATCGAAGGCTGTCTCGGTAGCCCACGACGGTATCTTGTCGACCACACACAACAAGTGTGGGAGCAAAGAATCTAGCACCTTCATTGTCCAACGAAAAGGATAGCTGATATCGATTTGGATCTGCTCGGATTGGATCCAACACTTTTTTGTCTGCTGCCTTCTCTGCTGGAACCCAGACGTCCTCAAATTTTGCCTTTAAACTTCCAATGTAGGCAGGCGTTTGGATGAGAACGTCTCCAAGAAGTGATTTATCTTCGGCTGACGTGGTCGCCATGAGTTGCTCATTTGCAACCAAAGGTGTGAAAGCATCGAGATCGCGCTTGCTGTCATTTGGCTCAATAAGTGGTACACGTAGCAATAAACCATCGACTTGCTCAGTATATTTGTGAGCTATCGCACGTGCGAGGTAGCCGCCGCATGATGAGCCGACAACCAAAAACCTCGACTTTCCAAGTTGAGAGTCAATAAATTGCACCAGGCGAAGATAAATTTCGTCCAGATCTTTAACATTATTCGCAGGTGTTGTGCCCATACCTGGGAGGTCCACGTATATCCGGCGAAGTCCTGGCGTTTTGCTGAAAATTGGCTCAAAGTCTAGCTCCTCGACCTTTCCCTGCATTTCCCATCCGTGAATGATCAAAACAGGAAGTCCTTCGCCGACTTCATTTGCAGATAGAATAGATTCCATGTTGCTGCTAATTGGTGATTTTGTGAATATTTGAGAGGCGATATCCAGATATAGGGTTTGGTCGGGAGAGGGGTCACGGAGTATATGTAGTTTGTTCTAGCACAATCACGGCATCGAAGGATTGAAGTTGGCCATATTGGGCAGCGTTATAGAATCCACCCCATAAACGAACCAATAATACGGACGGCCGATTTGGAATCTCAAATCTTTGACCAGAGTAAAAAGCCGGAATAATCACGTGCCGTTTCCCTGAGCCTAAGCCGATAAATAGCGTTTGGTGCCAACTTCCCTTTAGAATCAGCCAAAGCCGATATCTTCAAGTGCAGAAGTATAGCATACTTGATAGAGAGAATAAGAAAATATGTTCAATATTCACTATAATGTATCTAGGCTTATTATCCATTGACCTTTTGAACAGTGTAAATATTTATACAAGCCAGGTGTTCTCAATTGAAACAACGGGCGAGGAAACTAGTGCATTGCTAGCTACGGCGGATGATTATATTTTGTTTTAACATTATTATAGCCCTCTCTTTGTCGATGTGTCTTTCGAAATGCCGTCGCTCTAGTTTAGTCATTAGATGACTAGTTATCTGTTATATCTGTAGCGGCGAGACGATCTCTTCCTCTTACAATGCAATGTCAAGAAAAATGGCCACAGTTATTGGTGCTATGGGCAATCAAGGGGGTACCTGCAGGTGTAGGAGGGAAGCTTACTGGTTAGAATGAGGTCGTATATCGAGCGAAATTGCCTTCCTAAAGCTAGGAATTCTCTGTAACCTGTAAGCGTATCTGAGTGCCTAGATACAAATTGAAAGACTAGCATTCTCAGCCGTTCCCTTGATCTTCATACATTCATCGCCTCATCTTTGCGCTCTTAATCTCCACTGATCACATCTACAAGTGTAATTCACACCTGTCCGGCACATGATGCCAACCCTGTTCAAAGCCGACATATCTAGGCCACCGAGCAATCACAAGCTGCACTTCGGGCTCTGTGATTCGAGGGTAAAGGACACCTTACGAACCCCATTCACCTCATCCATCTTGTCTGGGATAGATTGAAAAGGGTACTTGCCCATAGCCCAGGTTTGTAACTATCCTATACATTCGACTACGTCTCCATTCAGATATTGACTTGTTTAGTTACACTTGACTTGTCTGAAGCATTACGTAAATATGAACGGGTAAATGGCCTTTCTTGAAATGCTCGCATATTTGCGACATCCGTGACAATGATGGGTTAACAACGAATGAGCAACTCTCCTGCAGCTGGCTTTCTAAAGAGATATTTATGTCAATTTGACTCGATCGACCCATCACGCTGGAAGACCGTCATGGACTCTCACTGGAGGCGAATTAAGTAGTTATGACAGCTTCGCGAAACCCGTACGGGAGGTTTCCGCTTCCTTCGTTGCTCCACAAGAAGGAACGTCGAAAATGTAGAGATCAAGCTTTCAGTAATCTCTAGGTAGTCTTACCTAATTTCGAGATGAATTGAGTTTGCCAGGTACCGCGGTACATTTGATGTCCTCCGTGCAAGAAACAGGCGGGCGGATTCGTACATACAAGGATCAGCTTCGCAACGGATATCAACTGGACAGATCGAGATGGATATACATAAATTGAACTAATATTTTCGTTTCATGCTTCATCTCATTGTAAAAGATTATATACAGTGGAATAGAAAAACGAGATAGATTCCAGTAGCTGGTAGCTGCACTCAAATTGCCAAGATTGCTTCAGCGTCTTTTTGCAGTTTTGCCATAGCACCGATCTGCAAAGTCGGTCCAATGCTAATTCTTGCAACTCCAATGGCGGCCAACTCCTTTGTAGTTAATCCACCAGAAAGATTCAACAAGACGTTCAGTCTTCCATCAAACTCCTTGACAAGTCGAACGACTTCATCACGCGAAACACCACGACCTGCACCCCACACAAACACAGTGGTAGCGCCGGCAGCGAGATATGCACGGCCTCTTTCAATTACTTCTTCAAGGTTTCCGCCGTGAACCAGGGTATCGCATCGCGCATTAACAACGAAGTCGGGTACTCCAAAGGCGTTGGCTGTGTCCAGCGCTCTCTTAACTCAATCTGCTGCCTCAGAAATGCTGTAGAATTTCTTTGCGATTCCGTTGTAGTCCTCGAGATTGATGCCGACAACGCCAGCTTTAAGGAGTTCTGTTACACCCTCCTCAAGCTCGTCCCCGTATCCATCTTGGAAGTCAACTGACAAAGGCTTTCCGAATTCCGTAATAGCTGAAGCAATATTTCTAGCTGATGCCACATTGACAGCCCGCGTCAATGTGTCATCTTTGAGACCTGCGGCTTCTGCAACCGCATAGCTGGCAGTAGCAAGAGCCTTTGCGCTGGGCAAAGATGCTACAGCCCGAGCAGATACTGCATCGTAGATATTTGCAAAGATGAGAGGGGATCCCGAGGTGTGTAAAGCCTTGAAGGTCTTAGCGAGTGCGTTCTGAACAGCTGCCATGGCCAGATTCCTTTTTGCTCGAAAGGATTTTGGTAGCTTCGAAACAACGTGAGAATGCGGAATGACACTCAAGTTACTGGTAGCCGTGTGGGCTTGCTAATATATAAATAATAGCCAGCATTCTTCAGGACCCAAATTTCAGTTATTGTATTCGCTTAATCAGCTTCTTCACATCTTTATAATCATTACATTTGTCAAAGCCCCAATTGCGACGATATTTGCGGCCAACAACACTGGCTTTCCAACATGCTTTTTTGTTGTTGTTGCAGGTGCTATCCCAAAGAGGCAAAATAATGCCCTTCTCACTAGCCTGATGGGACGGACTCAGTATCATGGATGACACACAACATTCCAAAGCCACTAGAAGCACATGCATGCTACCCTTCATACAGACGCTAAACTACGATCCGCGCCCCTCCGTGGATGCCGAGCCAAGACGCTGTACATGTAACTCATCACGGCGGTACAAACAGATCAAGCACCTGAATTATATAGTATAACGCTTTGGTAATCCATTGGCGCCATGTCGAGAGTCTGGCAATGAAAGAACGTTAAAATCATGCAATACGTTTGTATGTATGTTCAGGTAGCTGAGTCACTTCAGTGTTCACGCCATCTGAAAGTTTCTGTGACACGGTAGCGGAGTGTTTCGCAACAATCAATTTTCTGATAATGGATAATAAAATTTTCAATCAAACTTTTCAAGAATGAATCCTTTTTTTTTCAAGTTCACCCGCAGAAGCTACAATGTCGCTAACAGCGAAATCCTATGACCCGTGCCATGAATCGAATGAAGCAATCATACTTTAAAATGGCATATATTGTATTGATCAAACTAATTCGCAATAAAATAAGACTAAATATCGATTGAATCTTCATAATCCCCGTCATTCATTAACCAACTTGAACACCGCGATATCTCATCTTTCCATCGCTTAATATTTTGATAGAATCTCCAATGCCAACCTTTGTTAATGAGAAAAGCATCGTTACCGGTCGCACGTCGTTCCGTGAAGCAAATTCTAACGTCTTCTTCAATTCCGACCTAGAAGAAATAACAGTACCCTGAATTCGGTAGCCGAATCCAATCAGCGGATATCGAGGTATAGAAAAGTTGCCAAAGTGAACAGTCAGAGGAATGATCATGGCTGGAGGCTTGAGAAGAGGAAGATAAGCATCCCACTCCATATCAACCGATGCTGTGACGAGAAGTGCATCCAATTTTGTGGCGCCAATGTTAATGGCCTCTTTGCCGTTCGTAACCGCAAAGTTGTTGGCACCCAAGCTTAAAACTTCGTCCTTCTCAGATTCGTTGGTCGATTAAACTACAACATTCATGCCCATCTTTGAGGTGAATTGAATAGCCAGGTGATCCAATCCACCAACACCAATAACTCCAACTGTAGAAGTAGATGAGAGGCCATATTTATGCAGGGCATTCCAAACGGTTGCACCACCGCACATGAGCGGAGCGGCGTCGTTGTCAGTAATTTTGTCTGGAATTTTGAACAGGAAAGCCCCTCTCCATACAACTGCCTCTGCAAAACTGCCTTGATCCAAGTTTGCAAGGCCGTAAATTTCTCGGTCAGGGCAATATTCATCATTGCCACTCAAGCATTGTTCGCACAGGCCACAAGAATTTGCCTGATATCCCCATCCGACTCGGTCGCCTAGACTAAGAGTCTTTACGTCTGGACCAATTTGCTGAACAACGCCAGCTCCTTCATGTCCAAGGACCATATCAGCGGCTGTGTAGTGTAAATCTGTTTCGCATAGGCCAGATGCTGTAATTTTGACCAATACTTGATCGCCCGTCAATTCGGGCTTAGTTGTGTTCGCCTCTTGAATTCCGTCTGAGGCTGAGCCCTTGTAAACTCTGAACGAAGGCATGTTCAATATGTTTCGCCGGAAGTAGAAAAATTGTCGTCCTGATGAAATGAAGAATAAATGTCCGAGGAGTTTCAGAGTAACTCGAGGAACACTGACTGATGAATAACGTCTTTTCTTGCCCGGTTAGCTGTGTTTCGCTGCAGCAGTACTGTGATATATAAAAAGACGATACTATCGCTGCCACTGTTGTTAGAGATGATCCCAAATAGGGGTTACCCTGAATGGAATATTCCCTTAGCGGTCTTAGCGAATGAACGATACTTAGGAAAATTAGTGCCCGAAGAATTATTTAGTCCCGTCAACTAATAAGAATAGCAAGCGGGCCAATAATTTCAGCGCACCACATGATTATTAACTACATGTATTGTGCCGTAAGTATTGCTTACGTGCGTCATTGATTCCATTTTAGAAGGAATATATCTGGCCTGGCAATGGTGCTATGTCACCTAGCCATGCAAAACAAACACCCGATTCCAGTGTAGTCGAAGCTGAAAGATTTCCCATCTCTTTGGCTACCGTCAAGGAGGCCAGTTGCAGATTACTACTAGTGAACACCACCATACACCACCGACCCTCTTAGATCTCTTTTCAGATCTTTTTTCAGTAAACTCACCTACTAGATTGGTGCTATCAACTCATTATTGTTCAAAGTTCTACATAGCTGATCATCTTATGATCGGCCCGGCCGGGGACTAGAGATATGTGATTCTCGTGATATTGTCGAATCCAGTGTGTGTGACTTCGTCACGCAATACCTCGCTAAGATAGACAATCCTTCTATGAAAGGTCTTTGATCATTCAATCCTTCAGTCTTCAAGTGAGATTGGCCCTACTCTCATGAAAGCGTATGCCAGTGAAGCGTGTAAATGGATATTATTGTAACTCTCATTTGCCTATAATAAATTTTCGTTTTTTCTTGACCGACATTTGAAAGGAATTTAACCATCTTCCAAGATACACCTCTCTAGTTCTATTGAAACAAAATATGTAGCGCCAGTTCTCGCCTCCTCGATGCAGTAAGCCAAATGGACAGGACAATCCGCTATTCACTGTATACAATATCGGCCAAAGAGTGAGCGCAATTATCACAGTACACCTTTTTATCCCTCCAGGAACGCCAAATCCGTCTTTATCCTGTAACCAATTATGCTCCAACGACTATAATTTCTCCAAAGAGACGCTCTCGTTTCATCATTAGTGCTGCCAGTAGTATGACGCCGCCTCCCACTGGCAGCAAGATCAGAGCCTGCTGAATGGCCTGAGTGATTGCGTTAACAGCTTGATCGCGCAGTTCACCGTTGAGCTGCTGAAACAATGTGCTCTGCGCGCCAGACACCGCATTGACTATTTCTGTATGCGAAAAGCTCGTGCCGGCCAGAACTTTTTCCAAATTTCTGACAGCTACGGATTGAAATATCTGACCGGCAATAACGAGCGAGATTAGATTGGCACCAATCTGTGACAGGTTCTGCAAACTAATGGCGTCTCCAATATCCTGTGGGTCCACAACAAGTGATGCAACGGCATAGCCAATCTGAAGGGTGAGACCAGTACCGACGGCATTAGGCACCGACAGGCCATAGATGACAGATATTGAAGTAGATGGTTTTAAGTAAGCAACCGTCAATGAGCCACCAATCGTCAACAGGATCCCCGAAATGACATATATGGGCATGTATCGTTTCACCTTGGATAGGAGATGGCCTGCTGCGAAGTTGAATGTCACCGTGATAATGACATATGGTAATAGGCGAACAGCAGCTTCCAAAGCCGTATCGTTGTGAACAAATTGGAAGTATATGGGGAAGAAGTAAAGAAAAACAAACATTGTTGCACTATTAGCCGACATGGCCACATAGAGCAAAAAGTGAGTGCGGGTAAAGAGTAGCTTTATCGGGAATGAACGCGTCTCTGGTGTTGTGAATATGCTGAGTCGTTGTTGTAGAGCGTAGCCTATCACTAAAACGCCAAAGACGACGAACATGGCGATTGTTCTTCCATCATTCCATGGCCATTGTCCGCCAGCCATTGTTAGTGCTAGTGCAAACGTCGCCCACACAGCTGCTCCGAGGATGAACCCGACGAAATCAAGACGTAAAAGTCTGGTTCGAATTGAAACACCCTTGACTGGATGCAATGGTGGTAATAGGAAAAGATAGATTGGTGTTAAAGCACCGCCTATGACTAGGTTGACGTAGAAAGCCCACCGCCATGTCGCAGACGACACCGAAAACGCACCACCGACGACTGGACCAAGAACTGCTCCAATGCCCCAACAAAATCCAATCAGGGTAATGTAAGTCCCACGTTCCTTGGGAGTTGTCAAGGATGAAAAGTAGTTGAGGCAGCCAAGATAGATACCGGTTCCACCCATGCCAGCAATGACTCGACCGATAATCATGGCGTTCATATTTGGAGCCGCACCGCAGAGAACAGAACCAACTTCGAAGATGATCACTGTGACCACGAACGTCCATTTTAGATTAAAGTTGGTAAAGGCAGCCGTGAGCGGTATGATAACCGCAACAGATCCAAGTGGAAAGCCGGCCCCGATCCAAGCGAGCTGTTCTATGTGGCCGAGTGCTTCAACTACGGATCCTTGAACATCCGCTGCGATTGTTGTATCAAGTCCATAGAGGAAGCAGGTGATGTATAGCGAGATACACACAAGAATCCAACGGAATCCTTTGATCGGGCGAACATCTCCCTCTGCCTTTTCTGATATATCCGCAATCTCCGCTACTTTGTTTTCAACTCGGCTCGAGATCTTGTCGATCGGGATTGTCATTGGCTCGACAATTGAAGAGTCACCAACCGATTCTGTGGTAGACATGGTGGAGGATATATGGAACAGGGAGCAAAGAGCCTAGCTTGGAGTTGAGCTACCAGATGATCAGGACACTGAGCTGGAAAACTTAGGGTCACTATTAAGCTACTATACTTTGGAAGATCTTTTATCAGTAGATCTGATAGATGTATTCATCAAGATTTAGTGGGTACTGAATTAGTAATTATCATTGCATCCTATTGATTTGAAATCCAGGAGGATCAGGTTACTTAGCACGATCTGGTATGCCGCTTGTTAGTATTTTTCACCGTTGCCAGGGGCCAGTCCTAGCGCCGGTAGATGACTGAGCGATTTACATCCCGAAACTGATTAAGCAACAGATGGATTTATAATTTGGGACTCGACATAGAGTACTTGGATACTCCTATGAGCCAATAACAATCTTTGTGCCATTCCCGTTCCCTCTCAAAAAAAACGGTTTGTGGATATTGCCTACTGAGGTGGGTCACAAATTGCTTACTTTGGTCAATAGTCCACCTTCTGCTTAGTATTGGATCTTAGGTCATCAATAGGAGTTTGTAAACAGGCGAAATAAGCGGTTCGATTGCTGGAGAGGGTATCTCCCTACAACCAACTAGAGTTATACGTACCATACATGCACCCTTCTGAAGCATGGGACAAGACATGGGGAGCCCCTCGTTGGCCGCATTCAGTACTGTCGTCTCTCTAGCAATGGTTTAATATGAAACGGGACATTACTAGTTAGATACGAACAGCAAATGACAACTACTTCTACTTATTAGCTTGTATACAGATCACCTCTACTCAGAAGATTCACATCGTCCTCGAAACCGACCGATTGAGCGAATTAGGCCGCCAAAGGCCATATTACATTAGCAGAACAGACACATTAAGAACCTTTTAGCACAAGCATAACACTTTGTGTATTCAAAATATTTGGGTATATACTCCATACGATATAAATTATTGCATCTTGGCTTCATAAATTACCAGTCCTCTCCAGGCAGAGCAATCATGGTGCCCTTCTTCGTTCCATCGACACCTCCCAATGTCAAAGCAGCATTGACAACACCTGCAAGACCCTCTCCGGCGACGAGGCCGGCAGCAACGGAGAATGCGTAGGTGTCAAAGTTCTTCGCGTAGTACTTCCTCCACCACCAAGCCGTGATACTACCGAACAAGATAGCACTGCAAACAAGTTAGCACGAAGCTCCACATAATAATCACATTGGACAACATACTTAGCATATCCACTGTCAACACCCAAGACCCAGGCAACACCGATTGACATCCAGTTGGGGAGGTACTCGCGGTATTTCTCACGCGAACCGACCAAGTAGAAGTTCTTGACGACGGCCTGGATAGCACAAACAACACCGCAAACAATGGCGAAAATTCCCGAGGACAATGGGATAGGGAGTTTGGGGAGGGTCACAGCCTGGGCAACCGCCTGCCAAGCAACGACTGATGGCGCAGAAAAGGGGCACTCCTCAATAGTCTGATCGCGGATGCAAGGATAAGCGGCCATGAAAAGGACAAAGATACCGGGGGCGAGGAAGATGGAGACCAAGGCACCAGTAGCCTGAGCGTAGAACTGCAACTTAGGTGGGGTTCGGAGAAGGAAACCGACACGGAAATCGCTGACCAAGTTGGTGGCGACGTCGGCGGTACCAGACGCAATGTTACCAGCAATCAGGTTGATACGCTGAGCATCTGGAACGGAATAGTGGCCCTTGGTGATACCACCATAAACCAGCTGAGAAGCCTTGGAAGAAGCAGTAAGGGGTGCGGTATCGGTGACGGCTCCTCCGTAGATACTGAGAAAAGCGAAAACGAGACCCAGGAGACAGGCAAGAATAGCCAAGCCAGCATTCATGTGGAACTGCAGCTCGCAAACAATGCAGGCGACAACGACAAAGGTAATTGCTCCAGTCAACCACACCCAGACAGGAACTTGGTCCTCTGGAGGGGCAAAGTCTTCCATCAGAGACGACTCTTCATTGGCCTTTGCCGCTTGCTTCTCCAAGAAAGCGTTACCCTTGCCGCGAGATTGTAGCACGCCATTGACGGAGCCGGCCAAGCTACGCAGACCATATTTCAGGCCGTCCCAAACGACACGGATGTGGATGAGGAACTCAACCAGACTGTAAACAATAAGAACCATGACACCAGGCCACAACATCCAGTATCGGGGCGAGGGAACCCATCCAGGAGCACCAATACCGCTCATGCTTCCGAAGCTGACAAGGCCTTCCCACTTGCCTTCGCCGTAGGGCTTGCCGACACATTCACCGTAGTGAACGAGAAGAGGTCCAATCAAACCCCAGGCAAGAACAGTACCTCCGAACCAGGAGACAGCAGCGTTGAGACCGACAAGAATACCGGAGCCGAAGAAAGCAGGTGTAAGCTGAATGTACCAGCCCCAGTTCTCGATGTTGAGTGCTCCGTTCTTGTATCCACTCCAGATATAGAACCAGGTGAAGATGTGCCAGTTGTGCAAGATGCCGTCAGCATACTGAGACACAACGATATGGGTAAAGGCACCCAAAAAGGCGTATCCCAGTGCCTTGACTTTGCGCATGGCATCGTTTGCACCACTGCCGACAGCGTGCATCGATCGGACTATGAAAAGGTCAGTTTCTACTATAACACAACCTCTGTTACGTATTGCTTCTAGGAGAAGACTCACTCGCAAGGGCTATAGAATAGAAGAGTCAGTTGCTGTTCCAGTAGATGCTTGAATACATTTCTTTTCAAGAAGAAAACTCACCGGTAGCTGTAGGTGATGGGAACACCAAGTTCAGTTCACGCGCCACATTGATGATGAAGAACTTTCGGAGTGGCACCGCGGCAAAGAGGCCAAAGAAGGCACACACGAGGGTGATGGTGAGGATACGGCCGAAGTCATCCTTGGGGTCCTCCGACAGCAAGCTAAGACGGTACATAGCAGGCAGACCAGCCACAAAAAGACCAGCCATACCACCGGCACCTGTTGCAGAAGCCTGGACGATGGAGTTTTCTTGAGGGCCGAATCGAGTTCCAATACCGGGGATGCCAGGGAAGATCTTGGTGAGGAAGAGGATGAAGCCTTTGAATGGTCGGTCAGCTTGTGTAGTTCTAATGGTGGTTGTTGAATAATATCGACGTACCATATCCGAAAATTGCACCAAACATGGTTGCTGGAAATGTGAAACCGGTCTTGAGACCTGTTAAAACATTGTTAGACATAATGTCACACTATGAAGTGTCGATCTCTAGCAGCATAAAGCCAAAAGAAAACCATCAATATGAAGACTGGTTGCTTACCCAGATAGACGTTGGAGGCGTTGACCAGAGAGCCAAGAACGATTCCGGTGAGCACCGCTCGAACTGTCAAGGGGTTGGGCTCGGGCTCGACGCCCTTGATCGCAGGGAAGCTGGTGAAGAGGTCGGTGATGGCCTCATCTTCTTCATCCTCTTCGTCAGACTTGAGATTGATCTCGACGGACACTCGCTTCTCCTGAACACCGCCGTCGCCCAGGTATTCGGGCTCTGCTGTAGGAGGAGCACCCATGGTGACAACCTTTCCGGGTTTCCTTGCTGCCGCGTTGTTCCACAAAGCAACACTGACCGAGTGTCTTGCCGGCGTCAGTGAAACACTTTTGGGGCAATAGCTGATAAGACTTCAAGAAGAACGGATCGCAGGGGCGCCTGGGTATTTAACACGGAGTCCCTTGAGAGCCATGGTTGTAACCAGCTCATGCCAAGGGCGCAGAAATCATGCCCCCAGAGCCCCCAACCGGCGTATGACAAGATCTAAGATGCACGGGGACCGAAAATAATCCAATTATGGCCTCTTTCGGGAGGCACCTTTGTCTACTGTTACTGTTGTTGGCCATCGTGGATAGGAACTTTTTTTGGCCTGTTGCCACAATGTTGGACGAAAGCGGGACGATCCCCGTTGCCAACAATAAGACTAGCCAATGAAGACCTTCCTCCCTCTTCCTTGCTAGCGGGCGTATCAGAATTGCCAAGCGTCTTTTATTGGGAAGTAGCCAGGGCATATACCTTGCTCTGCACTGCAGCTGAGGCGGCCAAGGCTTCAAAGCATGCCGGTGACCTTCACATGGTCTTCCAAGCACATAAGTTCCTTTAGAAGCACCAAACAGAAGCGCCCATCATGAGATCTAATGTGGCGCGAGTGCAATCTAATTGTAATTGTATTGTCCTCGGCGGCGGCGAAAGAGCCGTCTCTACGTTTCTCCCATCTGGGAAATAGCCGGGACTGGCAAGTTTAGTGAGCCCTAGCGTAATAGTGCGTAAAGAAGTTCCAAACACTGTCCGCAGCAGGGATTACCCGCTGCGGAGCAGGGATTGGGAGTCATGTTCTTCAAGTAGGATGCCGACATCGTTACTCGTTCGCCTTCCCTTTTTATCAAGTGGCAGGGACTCAATTTCCACACGATATTAAACTACATTAGCAAGGCAAGACCCATATAGTAATTATTATTAAAAATACAAGCTGTCATCTCTTCCCAATAGCTTTATTACAGATCCAACAAGATACACTTAATCCAATTAGATGGCTTTGATTCAACCAGATGATCGTGATGTGTCTGGATGATCTTAGCCCAAACAGACGGCCTCGATTTACCTCGATGGTTTTAATCTAGCTGGATAACATTGATCTAGCTGGATAATTTATGTGATTGAAGAGAATAATAGTCTGTAGAATTTACTGATACCTACTATGGGGGACGCGCGGTTTCCGAATGCAGTTCAAGGTCGTGTGAAAATAACACACTTTGTCATGTGGGAATTGAGTGCCTCCGGATCGTACGAAGAGTGATGGTCAAATGGGGCTAACTCGTAGCGTTTATTTGAACACATTCTCACTCTAAGCGGTACTCGGCGGTGTACTCATTAGCAGCGAGCGAGTAGGATGTCCACTGCAACATAGGTACTTAGACAGAGGGAAGCTCTTGGGCGTAGACAGTAGTATGGAAGCGAGAATGCTGTCTCGGCATTCTGTACGAAGTAGCTCACGCTTAGGGTCAGATTCATAGGGTCTGACAGACTGTAAGATTTCTGACTGGGATTCATAAAAGAGAGACTATACCTGATTTAGTAGGGATTTTCAGCATAAATCTTAGTCACCCGGCTTAACAACGGATAAATAACAAAACCCCCTGTAAGTAAAGTACCGCGCTAGCAAGGGCCGCATAATTGCCTATAATAGGTATAGCAGTCAGAAAATCTAGTAAATTTTGCTAATACAGACGCCAATTCTATCTGCAAGGATGTCGCCCAGATAGAATTATAATTAGTATAGTAAATAATAACTATAATAAAAATATATATAAAAATTAAAAAAAATATTTTCTAAAATTTATAATAATAATAATATATATATATAATAGTAGAGTATTTTTTAAAGATTTTTTTTATTTTTTTATAAAAGTGTATTCTTTATTTTAATTATTTAATATAGGGTAGGGTATTTTATATGGGGCTAGAATTCGATACATTGTACTAACCCGCTTTTTTCTATCAGCACAACGTATCTTTTCAATCAGAAAGTCAGGCTTGTCAGATTCTATGAATCTGGGCCTTAATGTGGCTTCTGCAGGCCGTGTGGTAAGCTCACATTGTGTGGTTTCATCGCGGCGCTTCTCGGACCTTTTAGACGCATCGCGAAGAACAAGGTAACCCGGTAATACAATGGTGCAGTTTTCGGACCCCGACATCCGGAGCTTGGTGTGGGTATGCAGGGAGCATTGATAGCTTCAGCCATGTGCTGAAATATTTTGTCAACACAAACGATTGACACAAAGGTTCATCCTCTAGATGTCTTCCTGACCACATAGCTAGTTGGTGTTCTGCATCTTCTTCTTCGCCGAGATGCGGCCACGCGGCACCGCTGTCACACAGTATGAGAAACAAGGTCCCAATTTACCTTTGTCAAGTTACAGGTCCTTAAAGCAAATAAGGATTAATTAACTAAGCTTGAATTAGAATGGCGCCCGGCTCTTGAGCCCTTATCCAGCGCCACACCGCTAAGGAACCTTTGGATCTCTTGGCTGACTACTGGCATTTCTGGGGCACTGATAGGGTGACCTAGGCTGGCAAGCTGGGAACCTTTGTAAATGCGATACAATACGAGCGAGTGATAGGGTCCGTTCACGGTGGATGCTGACGCCAGAAGCGGCAAACCAACACTCCTGTTTTCGTACAAAAGCACTGGGCAGCGGCATCTTCCCCGCGGCTGAATTACGGAGCTTGCAGTTTGAAGAACGGGCATTACTCAATATCCCGTGTTTCATGGCAGGAAGAGAAAGGTGAGCAAGACAATCGTTGGACTCAGATCGTCAGTTTTTACGTAAATAGCCTTCTCCGGAGTTGACCGACCACATTACCACGGGTGGAGCGTCTTCCGGGAGAGTTGCCGTAATCAAGAAGTTTTCGTCGCCACCAACAACCGACCAACCCAACCGTGAAAACGTGTTCTTGGCAACTGCGATAGGATACCGCTGTGCATCAGTGCCCAGATGCGCCAAGGCTAGTTCGAAATAATGTGTATGGAGAGCTACGTATCATGACCGGCGTTGGTTGCCTCCATGTCTCTTTTCCACTGTGGAGCTTACTAGGGTATTATCATCGCCTTGGGTATCAATTGCGCGAGGTTCACGACGGGTGGTTTGACCATGATGTTTGATATCTCTTATCCTGCAGAGAAGATACGAAAACTGACGCGTCGAAATTATAAACTACAGGCGCGCGAAATTCAGATAACTGCTCGGATAAATGGCTCGTGGTACCACCGCGTGGTAAGCTGAGCCAATCGAGGGCCCTGCTCCCCTTTCAAGTCATGCGTTCAGGCATCCATCCAAGGGGTATTACCGCTGGAACTTTTGCTGTTAGACACCGATGACCAGTTCATCCAATGGGAGGAAGTAGCCGGCAGTATGCATGTCATTACTGGTATCCCTCGCAACACTCTTGAAGTAGAAAGTAGCAACACCGCCTCGTGAGAGTACGTGGCTGATTTACCTTTCTATTTTCGAGGCAGTATTACCCTTAGGCTCCATCAGAAGTATTCAAATCATACACTGTCTTTGAATGCGCGTACGCCCAAGAATTCTTCCAATATAGGGAGTACCAGCAACATTCTTCCATGACTCAGCAGAGGAGACAAAGTGATACATTGGATTGCATCTACAGAGTAAATATGGAGAAATTGGACGTTATCAAGGAGCACATTATCGAGGAACACACCATTGGTCACGTAAGCATTAGACTAGACATCTGGTGAGCACCGTACACTTCATGCATTATGAGAATATTTGCCATCGTGAAAGCAGTCACAGCAGTCCATATTGGGAGGCATTTCCCGAATAAATAAATTTTGACCTGGGTTTTCAAGCTTCTTTAGTTGTCAACTAAGCTGTCTTGTCGTCTGACCCGCGCCGTATTACTTGGGCACCTCTTCCCGCGGATACTTTCCATAATCGCCATAGCCTCCCGCTGGTGGTGGGTATGTCTTATAATCCCCGTATCCTCCCTTTGGCGGCGTCGGTGGTTTGTATTTTCCGTAATCGCCGTATTTTCCATATCCTCCGTAGTCTCCATAATCGCCGTAACCACCCGGATCAGCTTTTGGGGCAGCCTCGGCGACAGGGCTGGACAGGGCGAACGAGGCTGCGACAAGTAGAGTAGCCCAGATAGCTTTCATGTTGATGTCTTATGACGGTTGCTTGGCTTGATGTGAATGTGAGTTTGAGTAGATCGAAGTGACTTTGAGTGTTGCACTTTGTTGATGACACGTCAAGTGTTTACAGTTTCAACCTGGCTTTACTTTTGATGCGGATATGTTCGTCTTTATATGTGATATACCTCTCTCAGCTTAATGCTCAGCCCTATTCATATCATCATTTTAGTCATATATTGGCATTGGAATGGTCTATTGCAGATCCTGGGGAAACTTTCCGGTACACTTGAGAGGCGAATATTATCCCATATGTCACACTATCATTCTCGCCTCGGCAATGAATACGAAACCTTGAAGGATAGCTTCACGATAGTTGCGTGTGGTTTTCTACTAGTCAATATGCCAAACAACAGCTGGAGGAGCGCCACCATTCCATGATTGATCAAGGCTTGCTGAAGGTGGAGAAATGCACATGGATGATCCCGCCTCGAGTAATTCAGCTGCCTCGAGATGCGGCGCAATCACAATATCGATGGTGTTAAGGTTTACAGGGTATCGGTGTCAGCTCGATACCAGAGGCTTTGATCTAGTGTCGGCTAGATCCTAATGCGACTTCAAGTGACGATAATTTTCGTCATGGTGTATTATTACCACAATTAATTATTGGAATGTAGATGAACTTTAAGTATCCGAGAGAAAGATCGTGCCGCCCAAGAGCGCCTCGAAATCGCCCGGCAAACCGGCATTGAGATTTATAATGCTTCTCATTTCATGTAAATCATTTCTTGATGCAGATTTACTGGGTTGGTGATACAAAGTAAACTTTCCAGAGAAGATCACCGGTTATAAAACGACTCGATTGAGTTTGGAAGTGGAACGCTAGAGTTATATCAAGCGGCTTATTAAAAAATATAGGCTTCGCGCTTGCATCGACGTCATCTAGCTTCAGATGGCAGAATTTTTTTCCGACATAATGAGCTAGCGGACTGGATTGAGAAATACGAGTTTCACTGCGGGTACGAGAATATCAGCTTCAACTTTGACATTATTTGACTCACTCGACAACATCCTCACAATGGCCAAGGATCATCTACGCCGGCTTCTTTCCAACGCCTCGGACGAGTCAGATGAAGAAGGCAGCTTACCTCGACACATGAGCAAGGAAGAGTCAAAGAAGAAGTACCTTGTTTCGAAATCATTGCTCAAGTCCTTCTGCTTCCTCCTATTACTATTAACAGCCTGTATTCTGTCTTTCTGGGCTGGGGCACGTGTGATTGATCAGGAATCAAATACGAATAGATTATGTGCAAAGCACACGACTCAGTGGTGTGAGTAGTATGGCCCTCTTCTTCCATACAGGATAATTTGACACATCCAAGCTCCCCTCATCAGAGATGTTCCAGTTCATTACAGCTTCAAAGAGTTCAACGGCTCTTTCATGAACGAGGACATTTATCGAAAAGTTGGATCACCAGAGGTTGATAAAGCCTGGGAGGATCTTGGATCTGACTGTAACTATAGCCATGAGAATTGGATCTCAAGAAGAGATTTTAACTATCCACAGACCGAGCTGGCGTTATTTCATACAAAGATGGTCTAGCTAGTGGACTAGATCCATCGTTTGTTCAACGAGCCGAAAAATACGGCGGAGGGTTCATAGTGAACGTCGAAGGAATGCACCATTTGCATTGTTTGGTAATGCTTCCTCTCATATACAACCACACCATTGCTGTTTGGTTTATTAACTGGCTGCACAGAATCTAGTACGCAAAGCACTCTACTTCAACTACGAGCGATATAAAAAGTTAGGGGAACATGCGTTTGTAAACGATGAGTTTATACTACGCCTACATGTTAGTAAGTATGGCCAAACAAATGCAACAAGAACTAAAATTATGATCAATCAACTTACCTCCTTAAAGCGCACTGCCTAGACACTATTCGTCAGGTCTTAATGTGCAACGTAGATACAGGTGTGCTAGGACAGGTGTGGGTTGATCCGAAGCAGCCAACGGCGTTTCCAGATTTTCGCACCAAACACGTTTGTAAAAATTACGACGATATACGTGATTGGGCAGAACGCCTTCAGGTGAGCAAGAAGATTTACCAGCTGGTGTTCGGCGATTAATGTGTATCCAGGCTCCACCTCCCGACCAGATTCCTAATGACTACTTGGCTCGCCCAAAACGTGGAGAAGCCATAGAATTCACACCTTAATATTGTAAATTACATCATTTAGGACGTTTGAATGGGTGTTTTGATATATTCGATATACATAACGTTAACATATCTTAGTATCACGACAGCAATGCAATAAGTCAATCTTCTCGTGCTTTCTATACATGATACTCCTAAGCCAAAAGCGATGTTAAAGACACAAACAGCCAGCCCCATTAAATATGCCAATTTCTTATATAACTGTAAACACGTTGCGTTTCCCATTTCCATTAGACCCCTAATCTTTCTGAAAATTCGGCCGTGAGATCAAAAGCATTCATTTGCTCCGGATCGGAAGGCAACACGTTCACGCCATCCATGAAATCAAGAGTATTGCTACTCAGATGATTATCTGTGATGAAATCGTTATTTGTTGTATGCCAGAGCACATGCGTTGCTTTAAAAGTCTCCAGCAGCTTTGGATCATCAGCCGCAGTCCGCTCAACGCCCAGTATATCGCGCGCTTTGGCGCGTAGGTCGTCGTCGGAAGGCACATAGAGAGTCTTCGTGCAATCTTCGATATAGGCATTCAGGCCATCCTCGAGCTCGCGTGAGCAAAAAACAGAGGGAGGGAATAGGTATTCCCCCTCACAGAGGGCGCGGACATAGCGCTCGGCCGTGTCTTTGTTGACGTTGTAAAATCGTTGATCAATAAGTACAGACGTTTCATCTGCAACTTCTATTATTTTGCCGGGCTTTGGTTTGAGATACGGTGGCGTCAATCCTGTTCCACCGTCCGTCACTCTCCATGGTCGAGGAGGTCCGTTCAATGGTAAACCGTTCGCGTTGTCAGCAGAAGTAATACCGGTATCACGCTTGAAGCGTGCCAGCCACTCGGCATTATCAGCAGCCGTTTGATTCCACGGGTCGTCGTCGTCATAGATTATCCAGCGAGCTTGATATTGGATTTCTTCGTCGGTAGGAATCTGGCATGTGTCAGAATAGGTCTTGGTATTTAACTATAACAGATTAGACGCATGAAAGGGTGGGAAACATACGTGTTGCAGTGGATTGTTTGGGCTGAGACAGCTTGTTACAAATCGGGTGAGTTCTTTTTCCAATCTCCCATAACAGTTGGCATCGCTCAAGAAATACCGTAATGGTTGATTGTGCGAGTGGGCAGAGTGCGGCGTTTCCGTGAGGGCTGGTAGATAGTCATTTGTATCCATAGGCGATGCGCAACCAATAGCTTCATCTGGGACGCCCCAGTGCAGTGCTTTGGGAGATGGAGTTGCACCAGCTTTGGCCTGATGGGTTGAGATCAAATCTCCCGACTCGTGAGCTGCTATTAGGGTATCATGATACGAAGCCAGGAGATCATTACGCTCTTCTGAGGCACCAAGGTCGCTGAGTTTGCCCAAGATGGTCTGGCTGCCCTCACCAGGTATGATGATATTCGATTCGAACTGCATTTCGTCCCCCAGAATTGCTGCACTGAGGATCTGTGGTGCACTGATGTCACCTATTGAGTCTTGTTGCAGCCCTGGGAAGTGATGCTCGCCATTGGCTATGATGCCGTGAGCAACTGGTTGCATATGTCCATATAAATTTTCAGCAATCGATAGGACGCCCGCGCGGCGTTTGAAGGCTGAGAGCCAATCGGATGAAGAATTGATCAGGAATTTGAACCATTGGACGGCCTCTTTGCATTTAAAATTGGACTTTGGTTCAATGTCATCCAAGATTTTGCATGCTTGAAACTGCAGCTCGGAATCCGTGGGCATCTGGCCTACGGCCTGTCTGGACTTGACATATCGCAACAAAAGCTTTTCCTTTTCGTCTCCAACGGTGCTCATGTCGACGTGCGTAGACTTGGATGTCTTCATCTTCTCTATCTGTGATGTCCAGGTCGTGATTCCGGATGCACGGTAAACTTCCTCGTGTGTCGCATGATTGGACGGCTTATGGAGCATGATGAGATCGCGAAACCACGAAATGTCAGGGCCTGTAAGCGAAATGTCTTCCGTGTCCACTTTCTGTACAACTCTCTGGGCTTCAACAAGTAGCTGGTCATCTGTGGCCGCCATGCCCGCCACGGTCCGCTTGTTGATATAGTCAATCAACCACAGTTTGACGTGATCTTCTAATGTTTTGCCGTTTCTTACTTCATCTCTAGACGCTTCGAACGGGTCAAGAGTATTCCGTTCATGGTGGATGAGATCTGATCTGCGTGTTAATCTCTTCTTTTTTCCGATGGCTTCTTGGACAAATCAAGCAACTTACAAGGTGGCATTCCATTTTCGACAATCTTCAGTATTTCTCCCTGAAATCCCCAGTCACCCTTCCAATCTGCCATGGATTTCCCGGTTTTGAAATGCTGAGCAAGATGGCCAACACGAGAATCCCAGGAGCATAATATGATGCCACAAAAGCCACATCTGGATCGCACAGCTGGTGTGTCAACTTTCCAATCACTCATTGGCCATTTTTGGAACTTTGCATCATGAACGATACTTAGATGCTGGCGCAAGTGATCTTTCCTAAAAAAGGTCTTTTCTGCGTCTGGCCTTCCATGGCACACAAAGTCATTGTGCTGTTCGGCATGCTCCGGCGATGGCTTCTTCAATCCGCAATACACACATGCCAGGCAATCCCATTCGGCACAAAACTGTATTGGTCCGTTTGGTGAACAGACCCACTGTTCAAGAGACAAATGCAGCGATTTTTCGTGTCTTTGCCAGTCATGTTTCGTTTTGAACGTTTCGGTGCAGAATGTACACTGGTATTTATGGATGGACGGAAGCATGGCCGAAATATCAACGGCCTTGGGGATCTGCCGGCGCCGGCGCCGTCGCCCGCGGCTTTTCAACGAGTAGAGGGACTCCAAAGTCTCGCCAGATTTGTGAGAAATAGCCGATCCAAGCGAACCGTTGCTTGAATGTGATGTTTTTGAGCTACCAGCTGACGAGAGGTGATCGATAGAGCCCGGTAGCCCATCATCCATATCCTTGTAGTTGGCTGACGCATCGCCAGCTCCGGCTGAGAACCCTGCAGATGAGACTGCAGAAGCGATGGCGGTGATGGAAGCAGGTTCCTGATCCGGCGGAGAATGTCGCCATCGCTCCATGGGGCTCATGCCCCTCGTCATGGGAGTTTTCTTTCGAGGAATGTCAATGCCATTGTTGTTGAGTTGGCCCGGACTTGATGAAGTAGACCGAGGAGCTCGTACTTTTCCTCGGCGACGTGCGTTGGCAACCCAAGTACTGATTTGCGTCTTGTTCAGGCCCGTCTGACGAGAAAGGTTTTCTTTTTCTTCATTATTGGGGTAGGGGTGACGATGGTTGGATAACAGCCAGTTCCTAAGAATCCGAAGTGCCTCTCGAGAAAACCTGGCACCAATCTTGGGGGTCGCATCCAGCCCCCCAGCAGAGTCCTCGCCCAACGAATCATTGGCTGTGAAACTCGACTCCGATCTGCTATAAGAGCCCTCTGAGAGCTGCTGCAACTGACTCTTGTGTTCATTGCCAGCAGCCCCAAAGTCGGCCAAGGGCTCCAATACATTCATGGGTGCTCCCATGTCCACAGGCAAAGCGCAATCTCTTCTTGCCTCAATACAAGACTTGCAGGCACCCAAAAGAATTGTCTCCGGAGTCACCTGACAACGAATATGCTCCTTGACGCAATATTCACATGATTGGTTCGGGACAGCCACGTCCGTGTCCTCAATGCCACCAGAGAAATCTATAAAGTCATCAGGGTTCATCATTGCCATTTCCCGGGCCGCGTTAACGGGTATTGTTAAGTCGGACTATGAGATTTTGGCCTTAGCAGCTTCCGTGTTTGTGAGTAATCAATCGTAGGGCGTTGTTATATCGTGATGCAAATGATCCCTCAGAGTTGGATTGCATCGTATCCTCGAAGCCGCAGTGTTAGTAATCTTGGTCAATTGTAGGGCGTGGTGGCAACGTCTCCCATTGGATGCAGCCATTGGGCTGAATTACCCCGCCAAGATTCAGCTGCACAACTGTTGGCGTTTAAAAGGGGAGAGAGTCATTGGCTTTGTCATGATAACTCGAGACCAAATACAGAACCGCGACTAATTATAGAAGAAAATGAAGTCTTGGTTTCAACAATTGACACCATCTCCAGATCATGTCGGAGTAGATTTTCTCACGGCTGTGGTGGAGAACAAGAAGCCAGCGATGAACCGAGGCAATTGAGCAAAAGTTTTTGCCCAATCTCGGTCACAGAACAACTTGTTCAGTTATGAGAAACTGTTTTATACTATCCCATATTTCCACAAAAGCCGCCCTTCAGGATAGAATCCCGTGTATCAAGCTTTCAAACTTCTCTCCAGGAGGCCTCTCTTCAATGTGGAGTATGCGAGACACGAAGGTGAACAAGGTCTGCGCGCTGTCTGGGCAATGGACACCTCGATGACAGCACTTGAAGTAGGTATTGGGCGACAAAACGTGAGTGCATCAGACGATGCTTTATTGTATGCTACCGACAGATGCTGCTGTCCACAGACGGGAGAGGAAGACTAATGGAGTGAAGATGGCACCTCACATTTTCAAGCACTAGCAGAAGCCGGCGACGAAGATGTTACCACGCAAGGTGATGCAAGAGCTCAAAGCAAAGAAAAAAAAAAAAAAACACCAATATAACATTCTAGGGTGATTTGTTAAACAATGGACTCCATGTGGTTTGTTACCCACCAAAATCCGGATGTACTATTGACGGGTTACCTTGCACGAAAGGCTCTATACACAAAGGTATGAAATCTTGGGTGTGCCAAGACGGTTTCCTAGCGTATTACCGTAGCCATCGGGTTGTAACTCGCCATAGTTTTAATAGACGACATGTAGCCCATCTCCTTTCTACGTTTTATATTGAGCCTTGAAATGTGACGTCAAAGGTGTCTGAAAAGTCCCGAAACAGTGAGACATGCGGTGTGGATACTTCGTACTCCATGAGCCAGGCATGGATTGACTGCAGAAAAAAAATTGACAATCACGCACAGCAAGTGGGTGATGTCTTACAATGCTACACCCACGACTGCATGACACATGGAGAGTGGGCTCGGAAGTGATTTGTTTGGTTACTAAATCTGAATGAATCTGGGCATACATTATCATGCCATATTTTTCCGCCATCTCGAGCAGTAAGCAGTAAAAAAGTAGAATGCAACGTGTGGTCGATGATACAGACCAAAATGCGGAATCTGATATGCCCACAAAGACGAGTGAGGGGGGAAGCTCACCGTAGAAGCCAGTGGCAAAATGTTGAATATAGGACTGGGGTTGAAGAGGGCCAGCCTCAATGGCGGTTAACATTGATTAAGCTAAGAAATTCGTTTCGCGTCTTCTCCCTCCGCTCGAAGCAGCCAAGCATGCAACTCGTGATGGTGGTGCTGTTCGTCTTCTGCACTCCGCGCATGACCATGCACAGATGGCTGGACTCTATGACGACGGCCACGCCCTGGGGCCGGAGGACGTCGAAGATGGCATTGGCAATGTCTTTGGTGAGGCGTTCTTGGATCTGCAGCCGGCGGGAAAACATGTCGGCAATGCGAGGCAGCTTGGAGATGCCAATGACGGCGTTGTTGGGGATGTAGCCGATATGGACCTTGCCGGTAAAGGGCACCAGGTGGTGTTCGCAAAGCGAGAAGACGTCTATGTTCTTGACCACCACCATCTCCGAGTGGCCTTCCTGGAAGATTGCGCCGTTGACAATGTCAAAGACGTTTTGCTCGTAGCCTTGCGTGAAGAACATCATGGCTTTGGCGTATCGCTCGGGCGTGGCCAAGAGGCCCTCGCGATCCGGGTCTTCTCCAACGCACTCGAGGAGAGTCTTGACAGCGCCCTTCATGCGGTCGAGCCGGGCCGCCTTTTCTTCCTCGGTTTCTTCCAACCGCTGGCGCGTGCCCACGCTGGGTCGGCTGAGGCCATCGAAGTCGATGGCAGGGCTGTCCTGCCTTGATACGGACGTCGTGGCATTGCTAGAGTCGCGATCTTTCTCTCGGTCGTCACGCCTCTTCCGCTTCTTGTGCTTGAACACGGGCTCGTCACGCTGATCCCGCCCAGGCTTGCTTATGCTAGAGCGTCGCACGACGTGGCTCTTGGCTCCGTTGGCCAGCCCTGTGCTCTCGCTGTATGCGCGCTTCTTGCTGCTGGAACCGTCGCTGTGTTTGCGTTTCTTTTCGCCGGCAGACGAGGCGGGCGAATCTCGGCCTTCGGTCGGCGATGGAGGGGCCATTGGGGCAAGCTGGCGGGCTTCGCAGCAGCACAAGCCTCGAATGTTGATGGAATGGCCTTGCTGGGCCTTGCGACGACAATCGAGGCGATGCGTCGTGGTGACGATGCAAGCGAGGCCGAGGTGGAAAAAGTGAAGGGCCCAGGATGTGTCAGACCAGACGCTGCACGGCCGGTCTTTTTAAAGATCCGCTGTTGGTCTTTGTCCTACAGGCCCAAACACAGCGCCTCCGAAAAAAAAAAAGCCACCGAAGCGCCCGAAAAATTCGTAACAGTCATACAGGCACATTGTGCGACAGAAGATCCTTTCCATTGCAATTCGCGTTCGGACAACCTAGAATATGCTACGGAAATCTTTGCTATATTCATCACGTCAGTGGTAACCAATGCAACGGCCCTTTGATGCAGAAAAATGCGGCCTGCCGCTGAGGAGACCCGAGACCACCGCTGCAAGTACATACACCAACTGAGACTCTTGGGCAGCCAATCGCATCTACCAATTGGATTCATCACATGCATACGCCATGCAGAGCTGAGCGCTATCGGTGAATAGGTACTTATCTAATAGTATTTGGATGGAGAGCACACAAGTACCGAGAACTGGGTAGTCACAGTTGCTCGCTAAACAAAGCCAATGATTCCTCCATTACTATTTCTGAAAGAAAACAAATGCATTCATCCTCCCGGTATACGGGTACCTACTTGCTTCAGGTGTAGTATCGTGAGACCAACGGAAAATTTCCATTCCGTGTTTGTGTTCACGTAGGGTCTGTGATCCGGCCTTAAATCAGTACTAGGCAAATAACACCGACCAAGAGGTATAAAGAAGCCTCGTCAATCAAAAGAACGCAGTTAGACGTCTTTCATGTGAGAAGAATGGATTCAGCTGCTGCTATAGAGCCTGCGTTGTCGAAATGCTCCCTCTCCATTCTCAAGTACCACCTACTCGCATTACGGAGAAGTACGTGCGAGTACATCATTCACATCCCCGCCTCGATCCTTGCAGGTGTCACAAGCCTCCGAATGGAAGCAGCCGAATGAAACAAAACGGCTCAGGCTAGCCGCTCTACGCACCCCACAAGTAACTCGATGAGAGTTTAGCAACTGGAAACGCGGACAACAAACAGAATATGTATTTTCGGTCAGTGAAAGCGTCATAGGTCAGTACATCGTAGCAAAAGACGTGGCCGTGAAAGAGCCAAGGTATGGACGGCCGATAAGCCACAGAGTCACAAGTCGTCCCGGTGTCGCCCTCCCTGAACGAGTGGTTCAATTGACATGCTATAACCCGATAGTACCAGGTAGTAGTGGGAAGAAAAGGGATTCCCGTGAGCCATAGATTCAATTCTTCCTCTTCATGCTCTTCTACGTAGATGGTTCAATATCTCTTTCAATGTAGAGTGTGTATAAGACGGCACGCAAAGAAAAACAGCGCAGCCACCTGGGCTATTATTACATACAAACAAACGCCTGGTCGGTGGGCATGAATCCAGCTAGCAGCACACTCCTACAGCACAGCACAGCGCAGCTTATGCTATCAATGACATGCAAGCAATATGCTTCTCTCGCCTGCATTCTACAGTCGGCTTATGCGCTTTCTACGCCAAGTGTGGCGCGAGTTTTATGACCTACCGATGCAATTCTGTCAAACACAGCCCGCAGTCAGGTGACGCTGCCAAGCCTCTTGAGAAGCTGTCAGATGTAATTGCACATACGTCACCAAGTGGAATCTGTGGTGATGAAAGCTTCAACTCGGAGCTCTCAAAGCCACGACATATCATCCACTGTCTCCAAATACCGTGGTCAAATCATCCCCCATACAACCAGCACAAAATGCCTTGGAAAGATCAGCTCAATCGTTTCAAACAAGAATTGAACCATCTTGTCGCCGAACCAAAAGCGGCATCACAGCCACCACCCGTGCCGCCTCATCCGCCATCTGGGCCGCCGTTCCGTGGTGAGGTTTATTGGAAGCCGCAGTTTTATCCCAATGCCCCCGTCAATCATGAGTGGGACGCAAAGCTAGGCAATGGGCCGGATGGATGGGGAAATCAGGAGCTGCAGTTTTACACTGCCGAGCCGCAGAACGCTTTCCAGTAGGTCAAAGCCACGGGTTGCCTTCGAAAAGACGACGACGACGACGACTGTAGAAGGGTCCATGGTTCTAACATCATTTGCAGCACTCCCGAAGGCATGCTGGTCCTCCGAGCCCTTGCAAATAACTCTGCACCTTCACCAGAGCAGCGTTATACATCAGCTCGCCTTGTCAGCAAGCAGACTTTGGCTCGCGATAAAGGTGTTCTAACAGCCACCATTTTATCTCCCTGTGCTGAGGGTATTTGGCCCGCCTTCTGGCTTCTGCCCAAAGAGCCCTTCTCTTGGCCGACCGACGGTGAGATTGACATTGCCGAAACGTGGAACGGAGATCATGAGAACCGGTCTTGCCTTCATTGGGGACATCACCATGAACCACAGAAACATCGAGTTTTGGGCTCTCGCATTCCTGACATGCACTGCCGTCCTGTACGATATGACTTTGCTTGGGAACAGCCAAACGGCGTGCCCGGCCAAGGAAGGATGATCTGGTACATCGATGGCAGACCAGTCATGAAGGGCGAGGTTCCAAGCGGCACTCGTCCTCTTCGAGACATGACCATTCTGCTAAACGTGGCCATCGGCGGAAACGTGTGTGGCGGCAAAACACCTCGGGATGGATACTATGATATGGTTGTTTACAGTCTATTCATGGCGAGTGAGCTGGAATACGGAGGATGGGGCAGGTTTGAGCAAGACTGGCATCATCCCTCCGTGCCATTGGGAAACACATACTAGAGGCTTTCGATATAGAGACCTTTTAAGAGTTGGTAACGCCAAGCAATGCTTTTCTACTCATCACATACACTCGCATCAAAGAGTGCCAAATTAGATGCTGATTTTAACTTCAATTGTTAAGTGCTATATACAGAGTTATATACAGTATCCAATGACTGTATACGTTTTTTTCAAGTGAGATACATCAGAATTGAGACAGTCATATCTGTCAAGCACAGACAAGGCCAAATTAAGACTGGCTGGCAATGTTGGCAATCAGAGTCTGCCAAGATCCACCATATCCGTCATTGCCACCGTTGCCAAACTCTGCGCCGTTGGGCAGTCTCACGGTCTCTGCGACATTGGGTCCGGCGGTGAAGCCGAAAAGCTTAGAGTTGGTCACAGCAGTCTGGATATAGTTCATGATGCCTTGGTCAACGTGGGTCAAGCCGTTGAAGTTCCAGCTACCAGAGGCGTAGTGGTAGATATTGCTGTTGCTACCAGTGTAGTACTGAGCAAGACCCATGCGGCAAACAGTGTCACCGCCGCTGCACCACGAAAAGTTGGGGTCAGAGGCAATGGCATTGAAGGGCGCGCCGACGAGGTCAGCGCCGTTGTTGCCCTGGTGGTAGTTGGTCTCGCTCTGGAAGAGGGTGATGAGGACGTTGGCGGCGTTGTGGAAGCTCATCTGGAAGAGCCAGTTGTGCTCGGATCCAAGACCCGTCAACCAGGTACCGGCAGTCGCCTCGACGAGGACACCACCCTTGACGGCGCTTCGGATGCCCTTGCCGCTCCCGTCAGTGGCGTGGTCAGCGACCCAAGACCAGAAGTTGTCGATGTAGGCGGAAGAACCAGCAGCAAGGTGGAGACCAAGGTAGGCGGCCTTGCAGCTGTCCTCGTTGCTGCAGTTGATGGACGTGTCACGGGTGCCACCAATGGTGTTGAGAGAGTTGAAAACAGCGACATCACCGGGGTTGTTACCGGCCATGTTGATTCTGAGCAGAATGGCACCGGCCAGAGGCTCGTTGACGGTGAATCGAATGTCCTGGACGTGAGCGACGCCCTTCTGGCCGGGGGTGCTGCCGATCTGGACAACGGGGGTTGGGTTGGACTCGGAAGCAAAGGCGCTGCCAGATCCGGAAATGGTAGACCAGGCCTCACCGTACAGCTCAGTTCCGGGAGGGATGGTGATGGTCGACTTGACAATGTAGATACCGAAGGGCAGGTAGGCAATCTTGCCCTGGCTGGCAGCGGTGTTGAGAGCAGCCTGCAGAGCAGCTGTGTCATCGGTGAAGCCATCGCCCTGTAGGGTGTGTCCGCCGTTCTGGTTGGGATCCTTCAAGTTGACAACGTTGGCAACGGTCTTGTCGGCATACTGAGGGGCGTTGATCACGGGATATCTGCCGCCAGGAGCAAGCGCTGCGGGCCTGTTCACAGCTTGAGCAGTCGGGTTGGTCACGTAGATGGGGTTGGTGCCACGAGTGTTGCCCCAGACGTAGGTTCCGATGCTGGTAACGCCACCAACCTTGACGGCACCGCCAACGGTGACCATGTTAGTGTTGGTGGTGTCCTTGGAAATGTTCTCAATCATGAAGTTGGGGTAGCTGGGGATACTGGTGAAGAAATCACCAGAGTTCTGGCTGACACCATCGATGACAGCGACCCAGGGGTTTCCGGAGTTGAGGACAATGCAGCGGCCGACGGTGTTGCAAGTAGGGGCGAAGATGCTGATGGTGTTGCCGTTGTCAATGAAGATACCGTTGGTGCAGTCAGTGAAAGTCATGCCCTTGACCTGACCCTGCTGGTTGCCATTCCAGTGCAATCCAATGTTACCGAAGCTGAAGTGGACGTCGGAGACGGATATGGTAGATCCTGGATTGACGAGCAGACCAGTGTGAATGCCCTGGGGCATGTTAATCTTGACATTGACCTGGAAAGACGCATCAAATTAGCACGACTTGATTCTCTCGTCCGCGTAGCGCAGGTTTTAGCAGGCCAACACACCAAGGCGCAGTTCTGGGCAACGGACCAGCTCAGGCCGACGAAACCGCTTTGGCTAGTGACGGCAGTGGTGTCCAGAATGACGTTCTTGACTATAGAAGCCGTAGTGTTAATGCTTTGTACCAGTTTTCAACAATGCAGCGCGTACGTACTCATGACGGAGAAGTGGTCTTCACCACCAGAGTCATTACAAGGGTGGTAGGAACCATCACCCTGACCACCGACGATGAGGTAGTTGCCGTTGAAGTTGGCAGCCGCCTTGATGGTGGGGGGGTTGGCAGCGTCACCAATGATGATGGTGTCAGTGTTAAGGTAAATGGTGCTTCCGATGGTATAAGTTCCTATTGTGAAGCCGTTAGACCATTGTTTGACAGCGCGAGCACCTATTCATCAAACTAACCTGGAGGCAGGTAAACAAGACGAGGCTCTCCAGCCAAATAGCAGTTGTCTCTGGCACCAAGTGGTCCATCAGAATTGAGGGCACTGACGAAACCGGTAGCATCGCCAGAGTTCACCGTCTTGTAGACGGGGTAGTTATAGTCCTGAGCACCATTGCTGGAAAACAGGTTGGGAACATAGCCTCTGACGGCTCCCGTGGTGTGGTCAATGTTTGGCAAAAACCATGATGAACCGCTCTGCCTCTCTTGAAGCGAGGCGGCCGGGCTTTCAGTTGGCAGAGCCCAAGAGAAGGATGACAACAGGGCCACAGAGCCCACAAGGGAAAAGGACTTCATTTTCGAAAATGATCAACGCCCTTCTAGAAGACTGTCTAGATTGACCTGAGCGCGAAGTCTGGTCGCTCTTGGCACCAATATAGGCAACAGATCGTCCTTTATATATTCTGTCGCCAACGAACCACCACGCCCTAAATTGCAGGACATCAACAAAGCCGCTTACCACCACCACGCTTTTCCAGCCCATACCAATCATCAGCAATGGGTATCTTTCCAAACACGGTAAGTCTTGGAATCATGTCCTCAATTCAAAGCACGACCCGGCTTAGCGCTACTAAAACCTACGTATCCACGTCTATACTGTAATGGCAGCTGTTGTTGCCCGCTGCAGAGTCCGCTGAAGAAGCAGCTGACGCAAAGAAACAAGAGTAGATTCCAAAGAAGGCATACAGAAAAGTGGCATCGGGCCGAGCAAGCCATTCCCGCCTTCCGATTCCAGCGTAGGGGTCAGACTAAAGCAGCCGGACGGACGCGCTGCAAGCTGTATCCGGAAAACATTCAGTGACGTGAATGAAGCCCTCGAAACATATGGAGCGCTGTAAGCAATATGGACACGGGAAAATGAGCACCACGACTCGGGTATCCGGCAACCGATTGCATGGAGATTTCGCACTAGGTACATGCTGCTTCAGGACGGACAGAGCCCCGCCGGGAGGGATGGAGTCTGGTGTTTTTTGGTGGAAACAATAATGGATGTTGGTGAGGAACAGCGGCCGCCAACGACCTCGAAAGGGCCAAGTTTCAACGTTTCTACAGTATTATGACTCTAGTCCGACAATTGAAGCAATCGCAACTTCTCGGTGTGTGGTGAGAGTTGCCAGAGCTTCTCGGGAGATGCATTCCCTGCTGTCAAACCAGCGCCCATTCTCGTGAAGCAGAAGATTGATATAAGGGGTTGAGCCAGTGGAGTATCTCCTGCGCCCCCCGCCCTAGTTTCCGAGGCTAAACAAAGCCACAGGTCAGACAGACAGCCGTCCGGGACGAGGCAACGGGAACTCTCTGCTATTTTTGCTAGAAGCTCGTAAAGCGGGCTTGACCAGCGTGAAAGAAAAGTAAGAAAATAGGATATCTTTCCAGAAAATAAATCATGTCTTGTGATGAACTACTGCAGACTTGAATTCTAAATCCCGGTGCTTATCCAGAGCTGGCAGCGCGTGCTCTCCAATTGGCTACTAGTGCTACTGCTAAGAGGCAAGTAAAACGCCGGATAGTCGGATTTGCGATCTCACCACTGCGTGCTCTATTATCGGAAACATCACAAGCCTGAGCCCCTTTTGGTGTAATTCTTGAATCATCCTCCGGTCGTAGCCGGTGCATTCCCTCGCTGTAGCATTAAGCACCCAGTTATATATGCTGAGAAGACGGATTGTCTCAGCCCTATGTCTTTTCTATTCTGGGAGTGATGAATTGTTCCCACATAAAGAAGGATATACTTGAGTCGGAACCCAAACTAATAAAGCAGTGAAATAAGCATAATTCACATCGCCCAAGTCGCCGGAGCAGCTGAATTCACGGCACGCGAACGAGTGTTACTGATAAGGTAGTAGCATTCGTATGGTAACATTGTGTCTCCTTACATGGCACTTAACAACTAGGCAATGTACTTGCGGCTATCATCATGCTACACCAAATGACCATTTTGGCCTCTGCTATGGCCGATGTGAATACCTCTTTACGCTGTATTACATACTAATTATCATCATCATACGTTAATATGCTTGCTAGTCTTATCGTATCAACCATATATCAAGTGGCCTAGAACTTCTAGCGTAGTATAGGCATGCCCTGTAGTCGTATACGAAGAATAGGTAGACTTTCCCACGCTTCTTACCTATCCATAAAGCAACTCTCTAATTCACCACTTTATTTTTATTTTATTTTTGACTCATGATTGTTGACATCAGGTCGCGACTTGTTCTCTTCTTTCCTCTTCTTTGGGTCGCATTTGGCAAAAGTCGAATCCTAGTCCCGAGCACAGGTATTCGAGAGCAACACCAGCTTTCTCTGGTAAAATAATTCGTAATAGTATTCTGCATGTTGCTTTCTTGTACGTTCCATACAGGGTTCCCAAGTCTTACTCTTTTGGAAGGTCCTGAACCCCAGGCGGAGAAGCACTGGGATGGGACAAGCGTTGTAGCATTAGGTGTTGAGCTACGAAAGGAGATGGACACAAGCATCCCTGATCATGCAAGTTGATGCAACTATACCTTCGAAATGTGGTTCGTTGCAAAAGAAATATGTAGTGACCACTTTTACAGCTGCATACTCTCTCTTCACCTCCCGAAAAAAGACAGCCACAAAGGCAACTTTTCAATTCCTCACCATGATCCATCCTCTTTACACGAGTTACACGGGTCTCACAATGCCCTGTACGGTGCGCAGACCCGTAGCCTTAGCTTTCTACCATGTATCATGTCTCGTAATTACAGGCATCTGTGTCATACGACTCTCAGCGCATTGAGCAGGCATTTAAGATATGGCCCAGAATTGTTACTTCCGTAATTTATACTATAGATTACACATGGCCCAGCCAACATGCCACAAACACACTGCTGGGCCATTGGATTCAGACTGCAGTTGACCCCTAATTCAGCTTACTCCATCCTCCATTTCTACCGCTACAACAACAACAAGCCCCCCGCGTCAGTGATGGAGCATAGCCTAGTTTCTCACAAAGTATGGAAATGGAGCCCTCAACAACGACTTTCCGCAATCAGTGATCGGTGAATGTCTATTTGTTTGCAATACATGGCGAGACAAATATGGATAATGAGTGAACCCCTGTAGAATCGCCTGATATGGATCGATAGAGGGGTCTATGTGGAGATGCTAGATGGTAGTACGATGACACATATGGCAAGTCAATACGGGGTATGGAGTACAGAGTGAACGATGCCTTTTACATTTTCCGGAGCCAAGACCTGCTAACAAGGCTGCCAATCGACTTATCGCTCTTTTACTAGTATACAATTTGTCTGTGCTCCGATTCTGAACAATATTGCTTATGATAACACGATCCGCTGCCTCCCTAGATGGCGCAGCTTTAATCTGCTCGTGTAAGCATTAGCCAAAGAATGGCATCATGCTTTCAATCCCACTTGCCAATTGCGGAGGAGACAACATTTCGTAGCTTCCCTTTTGAGCATCCGAGCATTGACTCCCGTTGTTGCGACGGAATTTCGGGCTATAGCACTGCTTCAAGCAACCGGGAGTTGGGCGATACTAATACGAGATCTATCGTCGCATTAACCCTGCAGTGATCGTCGCTCTTGGCACATCGACGTTGAGAGCCGCTATCCCGAGGGCAACGTCTTGGCAGTGTTGCCTACTTGTACGTTCCTGTGCTAGTAGATGTATTAACGTCGTATCTATGCCGACTTTTCGGTGTATTTCCAAGGTCTCCCGCTCCGATTTCACGATTTGCCGAAGGATCAGCGTTTACCAGACCGACTCACACGTGGCAGGAAACGTGGACTGTGCAGTGCTTCAGGTACGGGCTTGGAGAATTACCCTAGAACGCGATGGTGTTCAATTTGTATGACAGCAACGGCGCATGTTTCCCAATTAACTCGAAGAGAAGTGCCGAGTAAATCAAGACATCGTATCTAAGTACATGTAGTTTATTCTAGGATCGCTTAGGGGGGATGGGTTTGCGTATACTGCACTCACCCCGATTCGTGTAGAAAATGATGAGTCTGTAAAGGATTATAACAGTTTCTCTACCTGTTTCCTTAGAAATGTCGGTGGACATGGCATTACAGATGCCACGGGGAAACAATCATCCGGTGGGGCCGCAGTCATGCAGAATGATGCTTGAACACTTTCTGCAGATTCCATTTGCAGATTTCAAAGAAATCCGCATAATGCACGAAGACATCCTGAACGGCAATACGTGCGGCTTTGTTCTTAATTATAGCCGATAGTTGAAAATACCTAGCAGCAGCGAATTTGACAAGCCTTTTTCTTCAAGCCGACTCCGGCGCGGCGAGAACTCGAGCAGCAACAAAAGGAGAATGAAATCCCGAGCCAGATCGATAGACGACCGCACCTCAACAGAATCGAATATATATAGCATACAAGAAGACGTTTCTGGTCGGCTTATGGATATTTTGGGCTCCGATACATGGCAGCATAGAGTTTCATTTCGAGCCCCCTCCCGTGTTGCCTGATTCAAGTCAAGAAACTCTCCAACGGGGCCAAGCTGGTTGATGTAAAACAGCTCTCAGAGATGGACGTAACGCCTCTTGTGTTTGTTCGAGAATGCTCAATATCGCAGTTGATCAATGATCATTTTCGGATGAGACAACTCTGGTTGTACTCGTATTTGTTCTGAATCTACAAGTACGTCCCATGATAAAATTGGTATCAACAGTTTGACCTGCAACGCCTCTCCAAGTGCATTACCAGATCTTGTCATGTAAATCGAATGGTGGCCCATTCTGTAGCCTGAACCCGGCATTTATAGGAAAACGCCAACTATCCGAAATGAACTCTTTGGTGACTGGTGCCGCGTCGCTAGTCCGGATTATTCGTTGCAAAAGAAAAGTCGTACAATATATATTCAGATTTTGGAACGCTGTCGGTCCAATTGGACGGCGGAGGGCATACTAACTAAAACAAGTCGCGGTTTCATGGCGGCTGTATGAGTAGTTGTAGCCACTTTATTAGGTGTAGAGGTGGCTGGGGCGCATTGGATTGCTTTCCATGTTGGTTCGGTATTTCATAGCCGGGGTCCTGCATTTTTGACAAATGGATTGACTTTGCAATTGCTTGGCCAGGTTGCGGAATATATGTATATGAGAAAATATATATATGATGGTATTTACCCTATCATTACGAATTTGGGGGGGGGGGGGGGCTTAAAGAAGTTCCTTCAAGAGAATAAATGTGTTGTACATGTTGCACGGCAGAAACGAATGACGCGCCCGGGTACTCCGTACTCCGTACATGTGACATTAAGAAAGATGACGTGCCCAAGCGGACCCTATTTCCGACTGTCG